CGAAAGCGTCGTTATGTGGAGCCCTTCATTTTTGGATCAACAAAATACGGACCTACACCAAAGCCCAAAAAAAAAGACGAAACATCTGTCCATCAAGAGGTGGAATCAGAAATTTCCATGTCACGATCGTTCTCCAATTGATATTATCTGGCTAACTTATTCAATTCTTCACCAAATCTGAAATACTGTTATTTGGGATGACTCCCCTCATATACTATAGCCATAACTTCGGTGACGTCGCCGTCCCTTTCTAGATCCACCTGCCGCTCCAAATCCGATGCACAACTCCGGTGGGACAAGTCGCCACGCTGCTCCTGTGGAACGGAATGGTTGAAAATGGATTGAAATTGGAGGATCATTGGGGTCATTTGAGGTCTGAAAATGATACCATGTGATACCCAATCTTTATACCATTTCATGCCATTTGGATGGTTGAAACATGTTGAAACTGATGATAAGGAATCGAATATCATCAAATTTTGGTGCTTTTCTTGGCAAACCCATGCCAGTTGTGGAGGCTTAATGGGGTACGCATTGTCACTTGACGAGCCACCTTAATATATCTCAGGTTGACAATGCTCCGCAGAATTGGGGACTCAGATTGTATTGCAACTCGGAGGAACTCGCTTAATTTCACAGGTTGTCATGAATGCTGAGCCAAGTCCAGCATTGATTGAGTCAGATGCATGTACCAGGAACCTGTGCCATGACCCCAAAAGCTGGGATAGTGAAATTTCATAGAACCCAGGGCCTGATTCCATCGAACCTGACCAACTTGACCCAAATTCTTTGCGTCGTCTGGTCATATTTAAGTCATGTTCTACACCTTCCAACCCTGGCAGTCCTCCACCAGCGTTTTGGGCATGTCTCGGTTTTCCATCACAAAGGTCAATTCCCTGAGCTCATCATTCTCCACCTGGATGATGGAGGCCCAGTCCCAATCTCTGAGGATTTTTCTTGGCCGCCGCCTCAGAATACCCGATTTACAGTGTGCCATCATGGCTTCACTTGCCTTGTCCCCTGAAGACATCAATCATCAGCATCCCAAACTACCAACAGTTACCAGGACGCCGGATCCAGGACTCACCAGGCCGGGCCCCGGCCCCGGCCTTTTCACAAACACAGTCCAGGAGGTTGTCTTCTGGAATTGGAAGTTGAATCGGAAGCCGACCATTGGCACCTTGACTGCACCAACTACCGCCCTTTGAGAAAACCATGACAAAAGCTCTCGCGATCAACCAGCCATTGGAGTTTACCTCAGAATGTACCAAGGTTGGCTCAAAAAAAACAGCAATGTACAGTGTTACAGTGCCCCAAACACCGGCGGCAAATGCCCAACTGCCCAACTGCCCAACTGCCCAACTGCCATGGTCGCTGGGCGTCCCAAGCACTTTGAAAACAGCTCCGACGACCTCAACGACCCCCGGGGCAAGAGGTTTTCGAACCACCCGGTAGGGGGGATCACTACGATACTAGCCATCAATGGTGAAATCTTTGAAATCCCAAAGAAAATTGATCAAACATTGGGACATTTCCATGCGTTTGCCTACTGCAAAAGGTTTCTACATCACTCCAGGGGTCTTGATTAGATGAAATTGGATGTTTGGGCGGAAAATCAAACCTCTTGGACTTTGGCATGTTCAGGGAGGATATGTTTTTTGGTCACTTCTGGAGATGGCTTGAGTCAGTGTCAGTCGCACTGTTCGTTTCATGTATATAGATGTTCTTGGCCTCTTTCATTTATCCGACTGTGCCTGCTGTCATCCCGCAACAAAATCGATAAGCGGTACGGATTTCTACAATAGCAAGGGGAAGTACCCAATTTTTGATCTACATATGTATATATATATATAGATAATATTAGATAATTATAGAGGTTGTCCGACACTCAGGAATACCCAACATTGCTGAAGAATTTACAGAATTTACCAGGACATTGCATGATGGTGACCCATCTGATGGTGCATTGGTATCTTGGGGTAGCCATGGGTAGCCTATCTTCAAATCTGCTGGGTCGTCTGACTGGGACTGGCAAGCGGCCGTCACCTCCTCGACCCTGCAACTCCGGTAACTCCGGCTCCGGCAGAGAAGTGGGATATCAATTAAGAGTACAGTAACTCCCGTTTAGAAAACAGAAAAGTAGCCTCTGGTAATGACTAACATAGCTATTGAAAATGACCATTTATAGTGGATTTTCCCATCAATATCACTGTTTTAGCGGGATTTCATTTTTCTATCTTCTTGGGGTATGAAAAATGCCAAGCACTTGATGGGGATGTGGGTGTCTCACAAGTCATTGGGGTCTCCCAAAGCCATTGCTTTCCTTTCTAAAATGAGCAATACATAGCAATACATAACTTGAACAATGTTGGGTGCCCCATTTTAGGTGACAGTCATTTGTGACTGTTTATGTATAATATATATATATATGTATATATACATATCCGATTACCTGACTCAGAGGGTTGGAATGATATTGGGTTCAAATTCGCAACAGAAGCAAGACTCAGAAAAGTTCAATGAAGGGACTTATGCCTAAAAAGGGATGGCTTACCCAAATGCTCATCTGGTCTGCCCAAAAACTGATTGGTGATTCTGACCCATCCCAAGAATATCGAATATGTATATATATATATATATTATACTCAATGTATATACACCCATATTATTCATGCTCCATAGCAGGGAAAGGTTAGAACAGGCCAAACAGGATTGAAACTCAGAAAGGTCTTGAAAGCCACCAGAAAACCTTCTTGTCCAAATGCAATCATCCACACTCCTGGCACCCCGCGCCTGTATCTCGCTGCCTCTCCACAGGCTTTTGCGCCCATCCGACCATAGGAGACCAAATTACAATCTAATGTAGCAGCTGCCAAATGTGGGTTATGCTATTGTCATCGCACTTTGTCTTAGTGATCTTAATAGCATTGCCCAAACATGCCCAAACTCAATGTGTGTAACCGTATAAATAATTACTTAGTCAAGTGGTTGATGGTTGAAGCACCCATCCCAAGAATGTGTAAGAATGAAATGCTTACCCTCTGGTAATTTAACATAACTATGGAAAATCACCATTTTTTATGGGAAAACTCACTATAAATGGTGATTTTCAATAGCTATGTTAAATTACCAGAGGGTAATTCAGATCATCATACCAGGCAAGATTTGAAGAAAGAAAATACGGATGAACCACCATCACCGACCCATTTGAGATACTCACAACTTTGTGTAGTTCCTCGCAGCTGCAGCGGTGACATGTTCTTGTCAAGAAACGTACAAAAATTGAGGTCAATATATATATATAATATATATATATATATATCCGCCGACCCCGGCCGACGGCAAGGGGGAGTGCGTCAGGGCAGAGATTTTTTTGAAGCCAGCAGCAGTAGTATATATATATGCACGATAGACTTGCGTACTTGTACATCTAGCCCAAGTACGGCACAGTTCGTCATATCACATCATAGAAAACACACCTCTCTTACGATGGAAAATCTGGTGGAATTGGAGGTGCCCTCCAAACCCCATCTGCTGGTTTTTTTCGTCATTTTCCCCGAGTCCAATCGCCATAAATTATGGTAAATTCCTCTTGTCCAGTTGGCAAAAACTAAAGTACTTTCATGTACATACAAGTATTGTTGGTTAATACCTGTATATCATTGTATATCCATTAACCGATTGACCCATAGAATGGTTGGCTTATGTTGGATTCATCCCCATTCGATCCTCCATTGCCAGACAAACAAACCAACCTTTTTCTTTCATCACTAGTGAAACTCCTCTGAGTGCTTTGCACGCATTCGACTGGAAGTACCCGCAGAGACATCGCAAGAACGCGCAAAAATCCAGTCCTACAAGGATACTGTAAGATACTGCAAGTGTCATGGTCGTAGTCCCAACATATTTTGATGGACGTAGGCATGATAAGAACTGAATAAGAGGCATTCTGGGATTTTTAGGTTCGCAATACAGCGCTCCAAAAGATGAAGAAATGCAAAAGATCCACCTAATATACTTCAGGATCATAACAAATCCATGGTCTGCCAGAGCAGGTTCATACACTGTACCTACTACCAAGCATTCCCATCATCACTGTACCAAGGAAGCAGGCCTGACATGAAAGAGACCATCTCAAATATCAGAAAGCCTATGTTTTTCGACAGCATGGGACAAACATGGTCAAACTGTATGGACAGCCTGGCTACCACATCTTGTGGACATTTTAGTATTAAACCAATTGGATTGGAGTTGTTGCTTTTTGGGGCCAAGAGATTTGATCCCTGGCCATATCATGTGACAATTTTTACCATGGTCAAACCATGGTATATGTGGTATATGTCGTATGGTCATCATCAATCCCATCATTGGGATCCTTATTTTGACCATCTTGACCATTGTAAATCCCTATGAATGGATTGATGACCATTCTCCAATGTGAGCAATTTAACCTAGATTTGACGGATAAAAATGTGAAAATCCAACCTTTGACACTACCCATTTGCGCGCTTGCTCTCCACAGGAACAACCGTGCCCGCTGCCGCCCTGGCCGGTATGTTGGCAACGGGCGGTCGGGTCCCGCGTCCATTCTGGAGATCGAGTTCAACACTCAGGAGCTTGCTTCGTTCCATTGATCATGGGGTTAACAAATGTTAACAGGGTATGGTCATCGCACCATCATCCACCATCATGGATTCTTCAAAAACTTGGTGGGATATGAAGCCCTGAGGGATGACATGGGATGACCATGCCCAAATGGGGGCTAGATAGATAGCAGTCTCTTCTCAGCAACCAAATGGACATGGGGTGAAATTCAACATGGACGTGCTGGGCATGTGGTCGGCTACATGGCCAGAGTCTCCACCAACAGCGTCTGAAAACAGTTTTTCTGCGATCATCATCCCAAACTAGAAAATTGATTTGATATGTTATGTAAGATAAACTAACTCTTAGACTGAAACCACCGACCTCAGGACCAACCTCTTGTTTTTCGATGTTTTTCGGCAATTCCAAGGGACCACATGCCCTGCGTGCGACGCGCCGGACGTGCAGCAGGTGGCAGTTTACCACCAACCGAGGGCCGAGCGCAGCACCTCATTCCGCTACGCGCTTGCGGAAGTCTCTCAGCTCCTCGCCGCAATCAACGTTGCTATCGGAAATGGACAACAAATGACAACAGTTTTTGGGGATGGATTCAGGGGTGGAAGATGATGCATGATTTTTGTTGTTCGGTGGCAAATGGTGACAAAAATATATGTCCATGTTAAAGTTAGAAGAGGAATCAATAATTTGAAGCCGCTGCTCCAAGCATCTCCAAGCTTGCCTTTGGCTCCACAAACAGCAGCTGCTTACTACACGCCTCTTGATGAATCATCAATCTGGAGGGCTCGAATCATGTTTCAATTGGATCTGGGATCATCATATTATGAAGTACCTTTGGGGGACTGCCATTGCAAGTTACCCTCTGGTGATGACTAACACTTCGCCATGGTATAGATAGCCCATAGAAATATGTAGATGGTTTACCTATGAAAAATGGGTGGATCTTTCCATGGCGAACTGTTAAATAACCAGATGGTAGTAGTTTTGACTTAATCCTGGGTGGACGTCAATTCATGAAACACGCCAAGCTCTTTTGTCAACAAGAATTGGTATCAACGCTTCATACAGTAAACGGTGAAACCGCGAGGTCTTTGCCAAATCAAGATGACGATTTTCGTGGATAACTCCCCCAAAGATAGAAAAGTAACTTACCACACTATTCAGTAGGATCTTAGGGAGTTACTGTGTTACTATAATATACTATAATGATCTATAATGCATATCATGATACATACATATATATATTATAATACATACATAACCATACATATTTACCGTTGGGTGTCCATCTCGACAATCCGACCATCCTTAAGATACGATGAAAAAATATCTTCAATGCACGACCAAACCCCAACCCCCTGGACCCAGTGGTCATCCTTGATGAGGGGAATCACATTTTTGCCCTCCGAAGAGTAGTCACGAATGACTTTCTGTGCGCGCTGCTGCGATATGATGCGATGGGACTTGATATGAGTTGACTGGGTCTGGTGAAGGGAAATTCACATGTTTCAAATAGTCTTACCATCTGGTTATTTAACATAGCCATGGAAAATCACCATTTTTAATAGGTAAACCATCTATAAATGGGTCATTTCCCATGGCTATGTTAAATAATCAGAGGGTAAATGATCTTTTGTGGATCATTTAAACACTCCGTGGACCGTGGATGTAAACCAAGATAACATGGAGGATATCCGTGACATCTATCAACAATATCACCACTGGCATCCTGACATGACTCCATTTCTAGCAAAGAGGGGAGAGGGGAGAGAAAATGGCCCAACTCCAACATCTGTGCCTCCGCGTAGGCGTGAAACTCCAGAGTATCTGCCTGACAGGCGTTGTGGCGTTGGGTGATCATAGTTGGGAGACCCAAAATGACCAGTCCATCTGTTCTCGGGCCTTTGGTTTCGTCCGTACTCAAAAGGATTAGTTGAAATCTCATTGTAAGACGTGTATCAATCACATGCATGATTTGCTGGTCATTCCGAATCATTCCGGTGGTTCCATCCATATTAAAACTTATCCAATGCTCCGCATGAGAAGAAGTGCGCCAAAAGGCCGCCAGGCCAGCCTCAATGACCTTCTTCGCATGAGCAGACACGGTCTTGTCACCATCCTTATCCTGATTGACTGCTGTACCAAACATCGATCGCGGGAGAACCAAATTTTTGGTCCCGCCGGTTTCATGGAGGCCTTGGAAATTCACCTTGCAAATCATGGAGTTTAAGAGTTTAGAGTGATCTACAAATTCAGTGTATATATATATATACATTTAAATATACGGACATTTAAATATACGTATTTTAGACATTTTTAGACTACCTCCGGGCAGGTTTTCCTTGGCCCGCCCCGGCCATTTAAACATACGGAATCCAATTAATTTAAGCATTCGGTAACTAAATTTAAATATACGAACTGGTATTTCATACTACCTCCGGCGCCTCGCGGTCTGGCCCGCCCTCCACATATTCAAATGTCTTTACCATATACATATATATACATATATACATATACGTATATCTATATATATGATTATTTATATATGTATACATGGTAAATTACTTCCATGTGCCATGTTTGTAAATCAAATGGAAACATTCCAGCTACGTTTCTGAATGCAAAATCAATCGCAAAATCGATCAAAGGTCGATCCCAGTTCAGCCTCATTCTTCTTTCTTCTCATCAGTTCAACCTCAAGCCAGGGGAGATCAGTTGACTATCAAATGTCTGGAGTTTTTAGATCGTCATCGAGAAAATTGGGGGATCCTTAAAGATGATTAAGAACCAACATTGATTCAAACTTGAATTATTGATATTTATTGATGCTGATCATTTATGTAAATTCGGATCATCAAGATACAAGTAATATCAAGTAATTACCAACAGCAATTGAAAATAATTGAAACCTGTTTGCTCGCTATCGTCATCCTTTCTGAAAGGGCAAAACCCTCCCCAACTCTTCCCGCGGTCCCGGTCCCACGGTCCCTCGGTCCCACGACCTGCTTCTTGTGCTCCTCGCAGGGCGGCTCGGGCGGCCATTTCAAGCCCCCGACCAACCGCTGACTGCAGACCTTTTATGAATGATCAGGTAGTTATTCATGGTACTGTAATAGCTGGTACTGTAATAGCTGGTACTGTAATAGCTGGTACTGTTAGTCATGGTCAGTTAATGTCAGCTATTAATCATTGATGGGCTGGAAAAAAAAACTTGTAAAAGCTGCTAATCAACCCTAAAAATATATATTGTCAGTAGCAAGATCAAGAATCACTAATATGGAGGTGTCCTAAGTCATGTGGGTACTCACAGTTGTCATCCATGTTCATAGGTTTTCTTCATCAAGCCATATATAAAAATCACCTAAAATCTGCGGCTGCAAGCAGAGAAGTGGCGTGACCCAATTCTTCAATCGTCCTCCGCCAGCTTTTTCGCGGCTTCGTCTTTGAGACGGTTCTCTTCTTGCTCCTACCACGCTGAAGAACTTCGACGAAGATGCAGATGAAGTGAAAATGGAGTATACCCTGATCGTGATCGCTCACCAACCATTAACCAATGATTAAACAATGGACAAATCCATTTGTTCTGGCGAAATTGCAGTATTTCACCCACTTGAAATGCTGGCCACTCTTGAGGATGACGCCCCTCATCATTCAGAGTGGGGTTCTTGTGAGGTCGTTGGGGTGGCCCAAGTCGAATTTGCAAAATACCTTCTGGTACCCTCTGGTAATTTAACATAGCTATTGAAAATGACCATAGAAATAGTGGATTTTCCCATTAAAAATGGTGGATCTTTCCATAGCTATGTTAGTCATTACCAGAGGGTAAACGTGGCAATGAAAATCCCCTAGAAATGAGGGTTTTTATGAGGAAAATCATCGGTCCATTGCCAGGTTTGATGGCTGGAAGGTACCCATCTGAATCCAATGTCATCCATGTTGTTTCAATTCGTGATCTCCCATCCCATCTTAGAACAACTATATATATATATTAACTATGCAATATATATATATTATTTATATATGTGTAAGCGTGATGCATAGTGCAAACACCATGACATTTGAGCAAATCCGAAACATGTCAATGGTTTAAAGAGTCCTACAGTAATTGTCATTGGCATCACACTGGATGCTATACCAACTCGCGGAGGATTTCCCTAGACGTGTATCCCAAAGCCACATGAAAAATGGGTTTCTACACAGCTCATGAATCTTAGATCAACATTTTGGCGAAACCGTTGGTCTTTTTTGATTATTGGTCACATGAAAAATCACCATAACGGTCGTTTCATTGATTGAATGCCCATTTCTGTAACGGTCAGCCCCATAAAAAAAAATAAAAAAAATAAAAATCCACTAATTCCTAGCACGTCATAAATTCATGGCAGGTTGAATCCTCATCCATTATATGATATGGCTATGGATCAATACCTATACATACCATTTTTAGGGGGATGAACATCCATAAATCCCAGCTATTTTGATGTGAACAGAAGGGGGATAGGGTTTTGACCCATCCCCATATAACCATCAACCATCATTTATGAACTGACCATTACCAATCCCAGAAATTCTTTTTCAGTGGTTGGTATGGTTTTCTGATGATCATCGCAACGGATCCCATGCGGATCTGTAGGATCGCATGCACCCGGGCTGCCTGCTTATCCAAGACCTTGCACCACTCAGCCAGGAACTTGGCTGTCTCAGCATCTTCCGCCTTCTCCTACGTCGAAATTGTCATGGACTCAGCCATTCCATGGTTGCCATGGTTGCCATGATGGTTGCCCACGAATCAGCTGAAGAATTTTGTAACCATTCACCATCATTAACAATTAACCCATTCGCCAATCTCACTGATTCCTTTCAAAAAAAGAACATGTTTTGTCTACGGCAACCTCCAATAAAGATAGAACATGAGCCAAATGGGAGCAAAATAGGGGTCGATTTACTTTTTTGCTGCTCTTTCTGGGGGTACTGTACTATCCTATGGTTATTTTAAGTCGAACCCTATATCTGTCAAACAGAAATGGCTGCTGTTTGGTGAAGCCAGCTAATCCCTTGATTCATGGCGAAGCCGTTTTATTTGTTTGGGTTGACCCAATCACCCTAGCATTGAAAACCCAAAGACCTACAGTTGGTTTAGGACCTCTAGGATGATCATGACCTGTGGCCCAAAGCTGATCATCGACGACCCCAGATTTCGTGGCTCGATTTTGGATTGAACTCGTTTTTGATGAGGATGGTTGATGCTGTTGATGCTACTTGATGATGTATAAGATATATATATATATATATACGTATATATATATATATTATATGTTGTATATATGTTGTATATATATATATGTGTTCATCCACACATTTTATATATATATACTTGATCAGCTAATCAATGCCTGACCGAATCACCCACCGCACCCTGGCGCGAGCATTCTGCTTGCGTTGGATCTGAGCCTGAAACCAAGGATTGGAATCCAACTCCCCCGGGTGTAGGGCTACGTAAGGGAATATATATATATATGTGTATTGTATTATATATATATATATGTTATATATATATATATCCCTGGTTTTATATGGTACAGTAGCTCCAGTTTAGGGACCATTTCAATGGCCATTTTTCTAAGCAGCCGGGTGACAGTTGCGTACTGTCACCATGGCAATCCCAGTCCCAAAAATCATCTGAGCAAAGGGACAGTTGTGTCACCCAGCAGGGACGATGGCTACCAAAGGTTACTACATAGCTATGGAAAATCACCATGTTTAATGGGAAAACTCACTATAAATGGCCATTTTCAATAGCTATGTTGAATTACCCGATGAGTATGCCTTAGTACTGTTTTTTACCCAAAAAATGGGATGCTTCAAAACATGATCCATGCTGTGGGTCCATGAGCACCAAACATCTCCATTTGGGTGACCCTAAACCCAGCCCTTCCCTGGCGACGTGCACAGTGCACCTGGCGACTTTTCTGTATGTCCTCCTCCCACCTGGGTCATCCCATGCCATGGCGATTTTCTGTTACACCCCTCCTTTTTTGTGCCCCCAAGTCATGAATAAATCCGATACTACACAATGGTTCTTACGGGTGTATCTACTGGTCGGGGATGCCGGACTGGATACCCACTGGCATCACTGGCCCATTGTGAAAACTTCAGCCCATCAGCTTGGAAAGGGACAGCCTTTTCCAAAAACTGGCGCCTTTGCATCATCTCCAGCTTCGCAATGCGCTTCCGCTCATCGTTTTCCTGTGATTTTCGCTGAGCGAAACTTCAGTGTTTTGTGTATATGAAAATGGAGGATAAACCCCCAAATGGCAATCAGAGTAGGGAAAATGGTGATGAACAAATGGATTTAGGGCTGCTAAAAGGGGTACCCTAATTGTTTTCAGAAAAACCCACATGTATCAACCTCCCTCACAAACGGCTATCCTTGGATGATCGTGGAATCATCTTTCAAATCACCAACTTCAGTTTTCTCTTGAATCAAAACCAGCACATGTTATTGAAATTAAAGCCAAATTCATCACCAATTGCTAAATTCATACTCTTGCCTCTTACAGTAAATCCCCTTGTTTTTTCTTATAGCTTTTCAAGGGTTTCTCAGGTCAGCTTTCCTCAATTTTTTAAAAAAATCCACCCAAGCCAGGTCCGAAAAGGGGCCTCCTTCCTCTTCACCTCACCTTCTACTCGCGCTTCCTCATTGTTCTGCATCTCAGCGAGCCGCTTGGCCTGGCTAAACCACCGATGATTTCGCACAAAAACATCCCAGTCATCCCAGTCGGTGATGAATGTCCACCGATGTAAAAATTATGTCATCTATTGAAACAATGACACTAAAACTTGGATTCATTCATAGTGCCATAGTGGACTATCATTTTTTTAATACATCCCAAAATCCTGTTAATCCACCCATCACCATTGAAATGACACTTTGTTAATACATCCCAATCCTTTGTTAATCCACCATAATCCACCAATACACTAAAAATTGGTGTATTTCGGGGTTTAAAAAAAAAAACATATTTTGGGACATCTATTGGTAGAGCACCCATTGAACTGGCCGATTTCATCGCCGCCTGCGCATCGATCATCGCGTTGCGGGCCGCCTACGCGGTCGACGACTGTGAAAGAGGCGACATGCAAATTCCAACGAGATCTGCAAGAATGCATCCAAAATACCATAGAAATACCATAGAATACAGAAAAGGTTCCACCAGATCCACCATAAAACTCTAAAACTCCTTTTCTCTCTCGTGATGTTCCGCCTGTTTTGATTGAAAGACTTCCTCCTCCTTCTGCTTCCTCAGTTGCAGCATCTTCTCTTTACGCTTGGCGTATTCCTGGAGGGACTGACAAGGCAGCTCTGGAAACAGACTAGTGACTAGTGAAGTGTTCACCGGGATCATCATTGTTCCAGGATGGTCAGAAATGAACCCAGCAGTCAACAGACACTCTGGAGCGGGCAAAGCCCAAAGCCATCAGATCCATCAGGAAACGCACTGCTTCAGGGCTCTCAGCGATCCCCAGCGATCCCCAGTGACTCCTCAATCTTCTCTTCTTCTTGCTGCTGCCGAAGCATGTCCTCTGCCTGGCAATGCTGGGACTCTTTAGCCGTCACTCAGTGAGATCCTGGTGAACTGCAATAAAATAGCTGGGTTTTTATGGGTGTAAATGGGGTTTCATCCCCTCCAAAATATGAGACAATAGGTTTTGATCCATATCTATATCTATATATATTTATATTTATATTATATAAATATACCTCTGCAAAACAAGGTGCGAAAGAAGACCAAAAGAGCATGCCTCGCCTCACTTGTGCTACAAGTAAAGTATCAGTCGAGGCATTTCCCAACAAATCTTGGCAGGTGACTTTTGAAGTTCCATCAAACTAGCTAGCATGTACTCTCTGGTAATTTAACATAGCTATTGAACATTGCCATTTTATGGTTGATTTACCCATGAAAAATGGTGATTGTTCATAGCATCTACAGATATCTTCAGCCCATGGCACCTTGATCTGCTTCAGATACTCATTGGCTTTCTGAGTCTCTTTCTGCGCCTGCATAGCAATGACCAGCTTGCTAGTGGCTTCCCCAGTGAAGGACATCCCAGGGGCAATATACTTCAATAGCATCTTCAACTGCTCATCTGTATGCCACTTTTCAACACATGATCTATGATATATGATATCCATCTCCCCCAATAAGGGTCATATATATATATATATATGCAGTTACATGGGTTACCACTCACTCAATCCCATTTCGCTGCTCTAAAACACGGTCGCCCTAATCTTGAATACCCTCAATAATAGGGAACTTGAAATAAGAACACGAGCTAGAACTTCTACGGCCATATTCAATACAGAGGGCAGAGGGACTACATTCCCATTTCACGATCATCATTAAATGGATTACAAGGATTGTAGCACCCTCAAAAATGGATAGAAAAGTAAAATTGTCCTAAATTTCAATTGCAATTTGCATTGAGTAAAAGCCAACTAATCCCTACTAAAGTAAGAGGTAAAAATCAACCTATCTTTTTTGGGTGGTTACTGTACTGACTATGGTTTGAAAGTAGAATAAGTAGAAGCCTAATGAAATATGTGTAAAATCCCTTAAATGCTCTGCATCTTTTTGGGGGTTACTCTATATACCCTCAAGGTAATCAAACATGGCTTGCCGGAGAATCCCCCAGTCAGTTCAATGATGGCTTACCAGCTGTAAACCTCCATTTAGCCATGGTTGATGACCAAGGATCCCTGTCAATCATCACCACATTCATCACCATTCATCACCATAGTATCACCATAGTATCACCATAGTATCACTATAGTATCACCACTAAACACCATAGTATCACCATTAAACACCATTAAACACCACTAAACACCTTTAATATATCATGAACTCATTGACATTGACATTAATATATTCGCCAAAGGGTAATCCACCTGACCAGCAATGCATGGCCGTTTTTTTTTTTGTCCCGCCTTGACGGCCATGTCGCGTCGCTTCTTTTCAGCTCCTCTCTCGGCTTCCAGGTCCTGGGCATTTTTTCGCAAGGAAGACGAGACGTATCCGACCTCTGCAGGTTACATGTACAACTAGAAATAATACTAGCTACTCATTGTGTATATATGTATATGTACATATATATATATATATATATATACATATATGATTATATGATTATATATGTATATTATATAAAGTGAAAAACATAAATGATAATATGATATACATTGAAATGTATTGAATATCACGTCTGTGATGCAAACACAGCATCATATTTCTACAATATCTTAGTCATGAAAAACAATAATGAATTATATAAACTACATACATGGATAGATAATGCTGCTTCCCTGTGAGCTGATACGGACATCGCTACAGGTGACCGAAATGTACCGAATCCACTTGACTTGGCAGCAGTACGGGTCATGTTCACGTACGTAGGGCTTGGAATTCCCATTTCAGTTGGTTAAATATGGCTACCATCTGGTTATTTAACAGTTTGCCATGGAAAGATCCACCCATTTTTCATAGGTAAACCATCTATTTCTATGGGCCATCTATACCATGGCGAACTGTTAGTCATAACCAGAGGGTAAATCACCAACGTTGTTGCTTACACCATTTTCCTCAGCGAAACCCTTCCAAAAATGCTGATTGTCATTTATGATAGTTGCGTTTTGCCACACACACACACATGAAAAAACCTCTGATTTGGGCGTCATGTTGATTACCTGTGACATACTGTGACTGTTGATATATATATATATATATACATATCCTGATTATATACGTAATTATGTTTATTAGCTGCGACTGTTAATATTAAAAACTGACTCCCAAGCTTCCCCCAACATCAGCCCCTCAAGAATTCTGCACCTCGATGGCCTTCCGCCGCAAGAGTTCGCCTTCCAACATGGCGTCCTCGACCTGGAAGACGTCAGGCGACGTGAAGACGTCAGGGGTTTTTCAGAAATCCATGAAGATCTCCCTGTCAATTGGGTAAAATATGATCAAAATACTGTAATTGGATAGTTTTAATGACTTCATATGACTTCATTATATTATAATAGATCACAAGGTTTATATGTTCCCTATGAATTGGATCCAATCAACAAGCATTTCATGATGGCTATCCCATTTTGTGATAATGGAAAGAACAACACGGAGCGATTTGAGGCTTACGTGAATTTGCCAACATTCTTCTCAGGAATTCAAGGTTCCAGTATGTCAATATGTCTAAGTTTTGCGGAAGAAAACAACTGTCATTTGTTCCAGCAGACCAGGGCAAGTCAGCTTTCGTTGAAGCGAAGTATCTTGAAGGCTTGGCTGGTTTGTGATCTGAATCTATCCCCAACTCACCAGCACATTTCCGGGATTACAAGTGCGAATCACTTTTTGAAGATGTTTTCCTCACCTGTTTGAGTACTGCCTGTATATCCCCAGCATGGTTGCTTCATATTCTCATATATGTTGTCTATATATGGGGTATATTTGTTTATGTTGTGAGTCCAACCCGGTGTTAGTTGGTTCATGTTGGTGCGATCCCCCTTCTGTCCCTTGTATCCCAATTGTTGTTGAAATATTTCCCAATAATTGATAGTTCTTGTTTTTCTTGATCCTCATCGATATCCCCAAAGGACCCATCGCATTTCCATGTGGCGGTCATTAAACACACCCAATATTTCAGCAGTGACTCCCACACCAAGCCATCGTTTTTTCATCAACTGTATGAGGGTCGTGTAGATGTTCCCTTAAACCAACTCGAGGAACTGTAGCAAAGTTATTGGGTATACAATATGTTTGAGGAATGTCAGGGTTTCAAAGCAAGGCCCATAACCAGCCACAAATGGTAGTTGCCACATCGTTGGCCGAATGAATGATCTTCAGGAGATGGAGTTGTTTGTCTCCACAAAAAAAAACGCAAAATAATGGCAAGTCCATTGAAATCCCCATGGTCAATGGGATGAATCATCTACAAGTAGGGATCTGTTAACCTCTGTTAAGTTGCACTGTGGGTATTGCCATTGTCAATAATCAGCTTGAAATCCTTGCATTTCACCGACTTTTCTTTGAAGCGCCATTTGAGGCCTCTTGGAAGCGCTTTTCCTTGTATTCCGCCAGCTGCTCCTTTCAGCTTTCAGGCAAGAGTTAGCCCTCTCAGGTGTCGATCACTTTCTGTGGTGGGTTGGTTGCCATAAAGCCACTGATTCTTGGAAAACAATCTCGACACGGTCTGGTTTTCGTAGAGATTACATATCTGTGTCTGATCATAATCATCAAAGCTACAGCTGATCATGTTTCAAGACAAATACATCATGATCTAAGTAGGTGACGACTTTGTTCCATCAACAGCAAACACACAGTCATCTGGCCAGAGAGATAAATTTCGGCGCTGATTGACCCGAAGAGTCTTGCCATCTCAATCCGCTTCGTCGTTGAACCACCCTTCCCTTAGGTTCAAAAAGTCGTATTTCAGGGGTCATCATCCCACTTAAATGGATGCGAATAAGAGCGATCACCGGGTGAACTTCATGGTTAACAAACAAGCCACAGAATTCATGAATCCAAGAAATCCATGGCAACCGCCATGCTCGCCTTCTGGGCTTTGGCAGCGATTTTGGAGAGCTCCTCCTTGGTTTCCTTCTCCTGTCGTATCATGGGGGTTAAAATCAGCAGGGGATGATTCGTAATCATGTCGGACATTGAGGGGATAAATGCAATATGAAATCATATAACTTGGAACATAGAAATATTTTACTATATGTCTCAAGCATTTGTGCAGTATGATTGTTAGAAGCAACCTAGAAAACAGAGATTGAAGAATTGCTTTCAGACCCCTCAATTCCTTCGTTGTGCTGTTTTTCACAGGGCGGCAACCATGGCAACCCGGGGTCTTTCAGATCTTTTTGGGGCTGCACCTTCATCTCTCGCTCCAACATCTTTCTATAGTTCCTGACAGGCGATGCACCTCTGGGAAAGTGGGAAATCATAAAACACTTATATAGTAAGGTATATATATATGATATGATATTATGTGTATATATATATATGTGAAATGTGTATATATATATATATGTGAACTTAGTATATATATATATATGAAATGTATATATATATATGAAATGTATATATATATATGAAATGTATATATATATATATATGAAATGTATACATATATATATATATATGTGAAATGTATATATATATATATATGAAATGTGTATATATATATATACACATGATGTGTATAGGTACATTTATATATATATATATATGTGTATGATATGTATGATGTGTATGTGTATATATATGAGCGATTGTGAAAACCCTAGGTTCACGGAAAGGACATCCACAAATTTGGGAAGGTCCCATCGCTTACCACACGTTTGTACAATAATGATATATGGTAAACTTGGGGGGTATCGCTTGCAGGAAACTGCTGCATTTATATATATATATATATGTGTGTGATGAACTATGAATAATATGTGATATTTGGGTATCGCTAATGTGGATATTAGAGAAATATGATGACATAACCTTGAAAAGGGGTATCGCTAATTTGGGAAGGTCCCATCGCTTACCTCGTGTTTTTAACAATTTCCATCAATTTCCATAAGCCAATGTCCGTCGAATACATATTTAGTATTGCCGGGGTTTTTACGGTTGCTCATATATATATATATATACATATGTGTTGAAATGTGTGTGTATATATATATATATATGTTGAAATGTGTATATGTATATATGTATATGATCATCAAACACTGGTATGATGAATGGGACTTCACCATCAAATAAAGGGCTTTTAAAGACTATCAAATCATAAAACCGATGAGTACATCTCAACTTCTAAAGCGCGGCTGACCTGGTATGACCTGGGCAGCTGCACTCCCCGGGCACTGGTGATATCAAATAGCCAGTTGCTTCATGTTGCCTGTAGGTCCAAGATGTTTCAAGATGCTTTACCTTGTTTTTCCTTGCTTTCCATTCTTTGGTCATCTTCACAACATTGGCACATCTCATCACATCTTCTTCCCTCAGCTCTGACTTTTCCGGCACCAAGCGTCTGCTTTTCCATCTCTAAGAAACGATCCTCTCTGATTTGTTCGAGCCTCGGCAACAGCGGCAGCTGCTACAGCCACAATGGTGGGAACCACGACATGAGAAAAGGACTTAAAAGGAGTGCATCTCTGAAATATTCACAGACACCTTCAGATCCTTCAGTGATCATGAGGTGATCAACAGGTGATCCACCTCGTTCGGATTGCGCGAAAATCCTCTATGTCCGCCCTCCGTTGAACCACTAGGTGTTGCACTTCTTCAGCTCCCCTCTCAGCGACATTTGCGCCTGGCCAGAGGGTTTCCTGCAAGTACCAAGGTTCAATTTTCAAACTACTTAAGGTTCTTAGAATTCCTAGGGTATCCTAAGTATCCTAGGGCTTTTCTGAATGGGCCATGGTTTTCGTATGTGCTCCACCGACCAACTCTGGTGGGCACCTCGCGTTCTGCAATGACATCGCATAGCATCATCTTGCTGTGGAAGGATTTCATTCGATCTGACCTGCGTCACTTCACCGGAAGGCTGACGCAAACAAAACAGCAGGAAACATGCCCGAGAGTGAAACATCCCATGTCCAGCTATATATCTTTCCTGAGACGTGCAAATTCTGGGCATCATTGTGGTTTCAGGACTCTACCTGGGGAATGCATTAATTTCATAACAACATGACTAATTTAACATATTTGTGCTACACTCCCATTGTATCCATTTTGTTGGGTACTCCCAACCCCGATTGGTGGCTCTTGGGCTCTTTGCATGACTGCTTCAGTTGAGGGAACACAAATAATCACCACGGTTCCAAAGTTTTTAGAGGCCGGGGCAGGTTCAGGTAGGTGACACAAGGTGAGATGCTAAGTTCGGGGAGAAGGGATTTGCCTCCAGTAAACTCACTATAGACTATAGGAACACCCACCATTAGATCATTTGTAGATCATTTCCTGTCTCCATATCTCCACCTTTATCATCCTATGATCACATCTTGATCAGTTCACAGCCACAACAGGGTTGACCCCAAAAATCCCTTAAAGATGAGACGACCCCAAATGGTTTCTCCAACATTTACGTGACATTTCTATGGGGTTTCCCCAATGGTTTGGGGTCTCCCCAATGACTTGAGGCTTCGCTCAGGCCGCAACTCTTCGTAAAGAAGCTTGTTGGCACCTAAGCTGCTCAGAACGCAAGAAATCACTGGAAGATGTCGCTTGAACGAAACATGGAAACCAACAGGTATTGGCTTAAAATGGAGAATTATATATATCAGTACAAATCCTAGATGTGAAACAGTTTTGCAGCTTTTATACAATAATTGTTCACCAAGGGGAGCCCTTCGGGTGCAATGAGGAGCCGCAAGCGTTCTGAGTTGGTTCTTTCGGTCACTACTAATAAGCATCAGCAAGACATAAATCCAACCGAAAATCAAAACAACTTGGCAAGAAAAGCATGGTAGCAACAATCAACAGACAATCTGTTCAACCCAAAAAATGCAGGGAAACCCCAAAAAACAAACAAACATCCATAACATCCATATGTTATCATATTGTTTAATAGTGGTGTCATAGTGTTTTCTCCAAAAAAAACGTAGGACCCATCTCCAACGGGCGCTAAGCGAAGCCATCCGAGGCACGGTCGATGGTCGCCTTGCGCTGGTCCAATTGGATCTTGGCCTCTTCGGCATCGACCTGGCAGATCTGTCGATGGGATTTTTTAGTGGGCTACATATGCCATGGTAGATAGATATAGTATATAGCATCTATACAGTATATAGTATAGATGTAGCTGTTATGATATTTACTGTAAATAGATATATATATATATATAATTTGTATATATATACTATATATATACTCTATATATAATTATATATATATATACATATATCATCATATATCAACAGCAATACGTTTTTTGTTCAAGAAATTGGTGATGTAACCCATCGAATGATGATTTCATATAATATGATATGATATGGGTGTTGTAAGGCAATAATGATGATATCGCCAATCATGTGATTTGGATTTGTCCAGAATGTGGTAATTATACCTCCATTTATGGCAATCTAATGGAAGATGATCAACCATCCAATTCTGGTGTTGTTTTCCGTGCTTTTCCATCATTCGCAGGTACCAAATATCGTATGCCTTGGCTGATATGGCCCACCCTCGCCCGATTCACGCGCCTTTTGCCTCTCAAGTTCTTCAATCTCCAACTTCTTCCTGCCCGCACTTTATGGTCGAGTTTGATGCACCAAGTCATCATGGCTTCCATTCCTATGCCACTCTCATGTCCATCCAACTTCGAAGGAACTTCCCAGCCCTTCATCCAGATGTCGGGCCAGCTGAGCCCCAAAAAATGCCACCGCGCCTCTTCTCTTCCGCCTTCTTTCTTCGGCTGCCTTCTAAGGTATTGTTCCAGGTCTTGGCTCGGGCCTGGTCTTATTAATGTCGAAAAGCCAGGGCGGAGCTATGCTGAGCTATGCTGAAATGACCATGTTGAACAAGGCAATGGCCAGTTGGATGGATGGAAAATGATGGAAGTGGAATAAAAAGTGGAAATGAATTCATCATCTTGCAAATCAAACATAATCAAACCACTTTTCTAACCATTCCATTGGATTCGCTCAGGAATCTCATGTACCTTTTTTTTTGTCGCTTCTGAAGTGGACCCGCCAGTCATCCACCATCCCATCAGATTCATTCAGATTCCAGGTTTGACAGATGCGTCCATGTCACGGTATCATACCGTCTGGTAAACAAACATAGCTATTGAAAATGGCCATAGAAATGATTTACCCATCAAAAATGGTGATGTTCCATAGTTGTTGGTGATGTTTACCAGAGGTTAAAAAAATGGGTATCCTCATTGTCGGCTGCATCCCTGTGTTGTTTTCCTCGCAGTTTTTGGTATACCCAATGTTCAAAAGAAAAGCATGACACTGCAGGGACCTATTTCATCCTATGTCTATAATATTCTATAATATTCTACAGTACAATATTCTATAATATTCTATAATATTCTATAATATTCTATAATATTCTATAATATTCTATAATATTCTATAATAATCTATAATATTCTATAATATTTTATAATATTCTATAATATTTTATAATAATCTATAATATTCTATAATATTTTATAATATTCTATAATATTTTATAATATTCTACAATAACTATTCTATGATGGTGTAAATCCAACATAATAAGTCCCATCCCCGATTTTTTCAGATCCCGACCTGGGACTTCTCATGCAACACTTGCGCACGAGTCTTGGTCCTGGCGATCGCGATCGTGTGGCGAGTCTTGAACCCAGGATCATTGGATTGATTTAAGGGAAAACCATAGGAAAACCATATGTCATTGGATTGATTTAAGGGAAAATCTACAGGAAACCATGGTTTTTACATGTTTTTACCATCAAATATAGGGCTTTCCGGTTAAAATTTTCCCATCATCCAATTCTATGATAGGAGGATAGGCTACATTTCCTGGTTGTTACTGTAGGTCGAATGGCATTTCATCTTCAATGTTCCCAAATTCTGGTGGTGAATGTCTGCTGGAAAGGGGAACTCATTAGACACCAAAATCTGGGTTTAATACTAGTTGGCTAATCTAGGCATTCCTGATCATTCCTATAGTATCTGGTCTGCTTTATCACAATCCCCACAAGAATTTAAACAAATGTAGTACCCTCTGGTAATTTAACATAGCTATTGAAAATGGCCATTTTATGGTTGATTTACCCACTAAAAATGGTGATTTTCCATAGCTATGTTAGTTTACCAGAGGGTACATTACAAACCCACGAAGATTCACCAACCGAAAAAATACTGAAATGTCATGGATGGCTTGCCACACTGAAAACGCTGCTCCGCTGGGTTCACACCACCCATTTCCCAGCTAAAGATGAATCGGTTGGTATGGATGTTCATCCAGCCATCAACTGATGGTCCAAGATCTTGTGATATCTTGTGAATTATGTCTGACCATTGCCCGAAAGAAACCAAATCTGTTGACAAAATCCCAAATGCCGACATGGGAATGGGTCAAAACCCTGGTGTCCTAGTGCTCACCTCAAGAATCTTGCCAGAAAATGGTCGTGGGGATATGGATAACAAGGCAAATTGCTTGATGGCTGGCTAACTATCGACCTGTAAACAACAAAATGTCAACAGCTTCTCCGAATAGTGTGATCACTTGCTTAAAAGGCAGTTGGGTCTCAAAATATAGTACCCTCTGAAATTTCATCGTAAATCATGGTTCCATCTAAATGGTCGTCGTTTTTCTGGGGGTAACTTGCATTTCAGACAAACCCAAGAAACATAGTAGTATATGTACACATATATATATATATGATATATGTGTGTATATATATATCATTCCGCAGTGTATCCTGTCATTTATTGGTAAAATCGTAAAATCCCCAAAAAAATCCCCATTTATCAACCTTTTTCAGTGCCAGTGCAGCAAGTCCACTAAAATTTTACGCAAAACACGCACCGGCCGGGGGCACTGGGCAGGATCTGAAGCATCCCCCACCTCACGGAGATGGATGTGGAAGTTGTCCATCATTTGTAGATCATTTTCAAAACGGGAAACCCCAATGGTTAACTCGACGGGAATAGGGATTTACTTGGACCCATTATTTTCAGATTCCCAATTTTTTGGATGGATGACCGTAAACTATGTTTTGACCATGGTTTTGACCATGTCACATATCACACGACATTGTGATTTCACGAACTAATCCAGACATTTTCCAAACGGGAGATGTGAATCACTAGACTAAGACCTCAATCAACTAAGCTGTTTTGATAATTGCTGGGTCAATCCCAATATTGAGAATGATACAATTGCAAATACCATATATATATATTATATACAATATACATATATATATATTAATGAACCGCCCATATGAGACCCCAAGTCATGAACAGATGCAATATCAAACCAAGTGGTTGGGGGTATGTTGAATTAGGGGAAAGGATTAGTAGGACATGGAAACGAAAAATTATGAAACTATCTTTGAAGAAAACTAAAACGAAATAAAAGATCTTACTCAATTTCAACAATGCTTGGAATAGAAGCAACGAACCTTTGGATCTTTGGCGCCTGGCTCAAACCTCGATACACTATCCAAAATTGGCTGGGCATCCCATTCCAATAGTCTACGTAGGTCAACACGACAACATCCCTTTGTTGGTGCCGAATGTGCAAAAAAAAAACGGATCAGTCATTGTCTTGATCGAAGTGGTCGATGACAGATGATGTTCTTCACAAGCACGCAGCATTGATTTGGACTTAGAGTTACAGCCACTCAAAATTGCTCAACAGATTTTATATTATATTCTATATGTATCTCTATATGAATATGTAATATATCCATATATATCCAGTGAGAAGACCACGTTAGTCCAAGAATTCCACTTGTTTTCCCTCGGAAGTTGGCTGCCAAGTGCCATTAGGTTCTGCTGAGCCATTCCCATGGGATCTCCAAGTTTCTCTTTGGATGAAAAAACACCGCCTCTATAGCTGTAACACGGCTCCAAAACAAAAGAATAGCTGAAGTCAATGCCGACTAAGTACGAGTACTTCTGAATGCACTTTCTTTGCACAAGCATATGAAAACACATCTAATCAATGTGTTGGAAAATATCATGAAAAAGATCTCTGCATGGATTTGTCTCAAAATAGGCTAGACCCAAAAATAACCACAGTACCCGGCGAATCAGCATTTTCCCATCAAAACTGCCATATTTTCTGGGTTTCAATCCTATTCAAACAACCAAAAAAAAACATATTGAACTAACCATTCCTGAATACATTTGTATAAAGTCTTTAAACAATTTTGACATACCACATGCCCAACAAAAAAAAGGTGGACATATGTAGAAAATATCATGATATATCATGGAAATCCCCATCTCCCCTGGGGGAAAATCCCCATGAAAAATCCCCCACGGCGTTGGGCCCGGGCATTGCTCACGCCGATGGCATCCTTGATGCGTCGCAGCTCTGAGGCGGAGATCACCTGAAATCTGCCGGAAAAAAGAGTGGAAACCCGTGAAAAAAACTGGGAAAATTGGTGAAACATGGTTAAGTTATGGTTCAATCCGGTTGATTTTGAATGGATGAAAATGGTGATTCAAACTGAAAACCTGGGTGGAGTTTGCTTGATTTCATGTGATGTCAACGTGAAGAATCGTGGTGACATAGCCATAAATGACCCAATCAATCCTGAGTTCATATGATTTAAGCAGCAGAGACGTTGTAATTTCACCAACAAATATGGGGATGGTGGGATAATTTTGATGATCTCACCATCTTAAACTATAGAATATAATTCTGGATATTAAGCAGAAAAACAGGTATTTAACTTGCAAAACATATGCAAGAATGCTCATATTCAACAATATTTTACCATGTTCTTCCTGCTTACCAGCAACACTGCTGATTTAAGACGATTTAGCCATCAGACCATGGCACTGTGATTTCAACGGGGTTTTCGTGGCTAACAATGAGGATTCAACATGGTCTAATCACGACTAACCAGGCATGACTGGCATGACTGGGTGAGTTGGGATCTTCAAAGTTGGGATCTTCGTGACTATTGAAACCATTTGAAACCACTAGTGCTGCTGGCATCGGCAGGCGCCCCAACCCCACCGTATTCTCGGTATGTATTATTCATTATCATTCTATGTGGATAATCCTATGATTTGCAGTACATGATTCATCCAGTGCTTCGATACGAAAATTTCACCCAGCCATGCGTCGCGTCATGTGCCGAGGCTGCCGCAATTCCAGCGGCTTCGGCCATTTCAGCAGCTGGCCCCCCTAGCAGGTTCAACTTCGCAGCCAGGGTGGATTTAGGAGGTACATAGGCAACAAAAAGCATCCAAAACCAGAGGGGGTCTCAACTCTTGTCCCTCTTCTAGTTAAAAAAGAAAGATAACATAACATTTGCACATAGATTTGTCAGGTTCCGCTTTAGGTGTTCATATGGGCTTTCCCATGATGGAAGATCCCCAATAGCTGGATGGGTTATAATACGCCATTTATAAATGGATGATCTAGGGGTACCCCCATGACTATCATGACTTAGGAACCATCCATATTAGTTATTCTTCATCTTGCTGCCGACAATTCATATTATTTTCAGGGCTAAATCAGCTTTAACTACTTTAACATGAAGCCATAATCTTATCAGTAGAGGTCTCTTTGGAGAAACATCTGCTCCACCAAAAGCCACTGGATGCAATGCTTTTCGTTTGAAATCTCCGAGGCTCGGGCCCAATGAGGTGCCAGCGCATGAAGAAAAATATGTCGAATCTCTCGAGCCCAGATCCAGCAGATTTGGAGGGATGAAAATGGGAATCCTTGGGGGGATTCACCCCAAAAAAAATAGAGGTTTCATATGGTTTCATGAGGTTTATCCAAGTCATGATTCTTGATGATCCAGAAATGACTTCAAGGTTTTTGATGATCCAAGGTTTTTGATGATCCAGAAATGCTGAGGCTTGTCGGCTTGTCCATGTCATGATGCCCCAATGGAATTTTGCTGCTCAAGCGGGCCCCCATCAGCCTCGGGCCTGATTCAAGAGCGATACATGTTTGAAACATTTTGAAACTAGCATGCAGATCCAAGCAGCACATCATGTTATTCTACACCTTCAAAGTTCTGGATTGAAATCTCAACGGGCAGGTGATCGGCAGTGCAGTCGCGCGTCGCGCGTCTTTTCGGACTGCCAGCCACTTTCCGACTAGGCTCGGCGGCCCTACTTGTTTTTCTTTTTTGCAGCCTTTTTGGCGCTGCTTGTCTCCTTCCGGTGACAGCGGCATGCACTATGACTGAGGAAACAATGCCGATATGATGGGCAGATGTGAATGAAGTTTCAAAGCGAAACGATCAGACTGCGGCTGCAACAAAAGTTCTGACAACGGCACAAGCGTCAAAATGTTACAATCTGGTGCAAAAATCCAGCCTGCAGAAGCTGCCACATCCTTTCTTCATCATTCATCAAACAAACAGCTAGTGCTGGGTTCATGTTCAACCCCAAAGCTTGGATTTATATCCAAATCTTTAGTTCCTCTTAATTCTAAGAGATTCTAAGAGATGTTACGATGTTTATATAAGTATTCCCCCAAGATACTCCATCGAAAAATCCAGTTACATGATGTTGCATGATTCCAGATTTTAGTTATCTTTTTAGTCATCTTCATTGATATTCATTGATATTCCTCAACTGTTCAGTTCGATGATTCATGATGATGCCAGTTCCATCCAACCACAGGGATAAGCCCTCCTTCTTTGCTTTCGGCTCGTCGTCTTCATCCCTGTCTTTTGGCTCCAACCACGCCACAGGATGCCTTGGGGTCAGGATGCCCATTCCACCATCCCACCATGCCATCATGACCCAGCCGACAGGCCCGACAGGGTGACTTTGATAGTATCATTGAATGATAACTACAAGCTTTTAGTACGCAACATATACTATGCAATTCTATGTATTTAGATGTATTTGAACAGACTGCACGGAATCATCAGTTGTGGTATAGACATACTATCATAGAGTTATCCCAATGATACCCAATGTCTGGTTGCTTGACGTCCCCAAATTCGTGTTCAGCCTATCATCTTGCTGCGCGGCAAAGGGCTGCTTGAACATGGACAAGAGCAAAAGAAACAATTAGTACAAATTCTTCTTAGTAAGCATCCCCTCTCTTACTATTGTCGGTGAATTCCAACCGCATACGTTATACACCGCGGAAAATTAACATACAACATCATACAGCCCAAGAACTGCAATTTCCAACCGGACTTTTTGGGGGACCGTTCATGAGCGTCAAAGATGACACTCTCCAATGTTTCCACAACACTCAACTTCCAATGAATCGTCCTCATTTCCCCCATGATCACCATTTTTGGGGGCAAAAATTCACCCAAAAAATTCACCCCCAGATGACACATGGGACCAAACACCAGGCCTATTCCACATGGGCCACGGGGGGAGGCACGTCAGCGCCACAAAAGCCGAGGTGCCTGGGCTGGACGGCAGTGGAAGCCGCCCGTGCAGGACCCCCCAAAACACTGAGCTGGGCACCAAAAACCCACGCGAAGGTGTACAGAAACCTGAATTTAGGGCTCCGAGACGGTATAGATAATGATAATCATACGAATCCACTGTTTGATGCTGATCTCACCAACAACAAATATATATAAATATATGTTTTGGAAGCAGCAACAAGAACTAGGTACATCGGCAAAATGAGCCACGGGAATGAGGAAGCAATGCAACCAATACTCTTTGCAAATATATGTGTAATGTGGTAAACCCAACCATATAATTACAATAGAATTACAACAGAATTACAATATCGCTACCAATTGACATTGGGGATGGCTATTTACATCCGATGGTGACGCTTCATCATGGTGTATGGTTTCGGCTTTTACCGCCAGGACCGCGGTGCCTTTGCGCGAAGAAGCCATGGAGAAATCCAATCACTCCTGCGACGCGAGCGGCGCGAGTCCCCGAGTCCCCGTCGCGGCTTCTCTGCAGTGAATTTGACACCCGTCTTTCATGTAGCCATCTGGTTATGACTAACAGTTTGCCATGGAAAAACACCATTTTTAATAGGTAAACCATCTATAAGCCATCTATACCATGGCTATGTTAAATAACCAGAGGGTAGCTCGCAAATTTCAACATGTCAACGTTTGATTCTCACATTTCTCATGATCTCCTTTCAATCTCTGCCGTCGAAACTTGACCCCAGTGGCTGAAATAAGACTAGGAATGCCAAAGGTCAACAAATCAGGTCAGCTTGAAGCCAAAGAATCGACCTGAGGCCCAAATAAAGTAGAACTGCATGTTGAAGGCCTGGCGACTTGGCTATGAATCAAAAGCCTCAAAATATCTACTGAATCTACTGGGTAAATGGATGTTCATCTCAGCCGCCGTGTACCATCCCACTGGCAGGGGCTGCATCGGGCCGCATCTCATCCACTGGCATCCCATGTCAACGTTGAGCACACCAAAACAGGTGTGTGTGTGTGTGTGTCTATATATGAATATATATATATATATTAAATTGTGTGTTAAATGAATATCATTGGTTTATATTGATTTATATCATCTCATATTACATCATATATATTATATAAGCATATACAGTATAAACCCATATCACCCAGTGTTCATCAATGTTTAGTTGGTAGTGATGGATCTTCATCCAGATCCCAAAACTTGGCAAAATCCATGGCGTTGATGGTTCTCTTGAGCCACTCATTCATGTTTTTCCATCTTTTGGGTTCATCCGAATGAAGGCTTCTATCCCAAACTCTGATAGTTAAATCCCCCATGTTTGATGGTTATATCAGGTATATCATCTCAAGTCCCTATTTTTTATAGGTTCATCATGTTGAATCCTCATTTGGATAGGCAAATTCTCATGTTTCATCCAGTTTTTTCCCATCAAATGACCTCGGATGGCCTGCTTCTGCCCTACAAAGTCCATGCTGCCCGCTCTGAGCATGGCATAGAGCTCCATGACTGGCGCGGCATGGCTCCATGGGGTACTAAGAAGGTCCTGAGTTTAGTGGCAAAATATTGCACAAATATTGCACAATCATAATCATCCATAAATACGGAAGTACAAGTTGATAAGTGTTTTGGAATATAATATATTAGAATGATGTCAATTATCTGGATAAATTAAAATAAATTAAATATACATGTTGGTGTGCATTTCGTCAAAATACACCTGAAGAGTTCGGCAAATGTTGGGATAGTACCCTTACAAACCATGGAAAGCAAGAACTGTTTGAAGCCATCAGTGAGCTCCTCATCACTTGGTGTAGTACAGGAAATGATAGAAACATCATCCTTCCAAAATACCGTACTTGTCTGACAAGCACGAATCTGGTTACGGTGGCTAAAAACTGTAAAAATCCATTCCAACAAGACTAGTCAGTTGTGGATCATCCAATTTAAGTGCATCAAGCACGAATCTACATAGTAATTCACCCAAATAGATATAAAAGATTATAAAAGTATAGTCCTTCCAAACTAGCGATAAATTCATGTTCTATCTTCTTGGGGGGTTCCTATACATTTTAAACTCACCCAGTCACCTTTGACCCACCCGTTTCACGCCAAAAACGTCGCGCCTCCCACCATGTCTCAGGCTGCGGCCGGAATCACCCCGCCCCACATGATCCACGACTGACGACTGCGACCCACTGCGCCGACTGAAGGAATCCCAATTCAACGATTGGCATATGGGATGAACATGGATGAACTAGGGAAGGAATAGGGATTCCTCCATAATCCTGTCGAAAATCCTAGAAATATGATTTATAAATTCCCAATTCGACGATTGGCATAGTTTCAAAGTGGCCTTTTTGAACGGTTGGCTGGAATTTTTGAGTCGTCCTTTCCCCAAAAAATATGAAATATCTTATTGGAAAGGGAGCCCATCCACGGTACCTAGTATACAATATGGAGATGGGATTATTTTTGAGCTCCAAACTAAAGCCAGGGAATCAAATTTGCAACCAGGCTCACAGATTGTTTGGCTGCTTCTTGGCATTAACCACTTACCATCCCCAATTAACTTAGACCCTGCCGAATAGGATGATGGAAGATTAGCTTCCACCTAAAATGGGCTATTCTCAAGGTCAAACTGTTCATTTCGGGTAAATATCCATAGCCAGATACACCTTAAAATAGCTCTGAGAGAAGGGGCAAAGGTGATGATTAAGGATGAAATGCGGGGTACCCTGTCTTCAGACGAACCCATATCATTCAAAAGGGATGATAAAACTCTAAAATCTCATCAACTTATCATCTGGTTCGCTGCGTCTGGCTTTTGACCCATTCCCAGGTTGATTAGTTCGAATCTCATTACATCCCATGATATATTGATTAAATCTGCATGTGCGTTTGCTTAAATCGGCCATATGAATCCATCTAAGGTAAATACCCACTTCAGTTTGCTAAAAATCCCCGCTTTCTTGGAGAATCAACATCTTTCTTCAGTTCAATCAAAATCGCTTTACTAGATCACCATAAATGGCAGTGTGTCAAAACCTTGTACCCCTGGTGAACATCAAAATAGCTGGGATTTATGGATGTTCATCCCCCTAAAAATGATATTAATAGGTATTGATCCATACCCAAATCTCAATTCCGGCAATTCATCTGCGAATGTCCAGGAAAACTCCGAAATCTGCAGATCTTTTGGTCCCGATCGGCGCATCAGCTGACCGGCATCAGGCGCACACGGGATAGGTTGCCGCCCATGCAAACCACCGGCATCAAGGGCGACCTGGTTCCAGTGTGGCAAGGAAATTCGACCAGTTCTGGGCTGGAAATCATCGTTTTGTGATTGAGAAATATTATGTGTATATATATATATTAATTTTTCTATGATTTTCTAATATTTTCTATGTAGATGATATTGTATGGATTAATTGTGGAACTGGGACATGAGATGGAAAAATTAGCATCTAATCCATATTAAATGGAAAATACACTCATGGTGGAGAAAATATGAACAAAAAGAAAACCAATCACATTCAGATTCTGAATCATCTAGAAACGGGAACATGCCGAGGATTTTCTGTTGCCTTTTGATGATTTTTTCCTGCCCGGATGCACTCGCAAAGGATATCCTATGGCTCTCATTGTGATGGGTAGGGTTGCATATAGACTGCAGAAACTGGTCAAAAAAAAAGCAGCCAAATCCAGCCGGAAGAGCCCGTTTGTGAGCGTAATGTCATCGAAAATGACCTGGCAGTCCCCAGGTTGATTGGCTAAAGCTAACCAGGGCTGCTGACTAAGCATCTAGTTGCGGAATTCGACGTGTTTACTTCACTTAGTCCACCGTTTTTTGCTGATGTTCAATCACCGTTTTCTTGATGTTTCTTACAGTTTTGGGAGCCAAGTCTCCATTCTTGCGGGCTATGATCTGATTGGATGAAATCAACTACCTTAATTCACAATTTACATCTTGGTTGACCTACCCCTCTGAAAAAGATGCTCGTCAATTGGGATTATCAAATATTCCCAATATATTCGGAAAGTATTGGAAAGTTATTCCATATCTTATTCCCAATATATTCGGAAAGTCATATAAAATTCCATGGTTCCAGTCACCACCAACCAGACATCTTTTAAAAACATCAAATCTCTTGCAGTGCCGCTGGGCACCTCCTGAGGTTCCGAGTTGATGGACACGGCCATGGTGCCGAAGGGCAGGTAGAGGCCCCGCAAGTCCACCTCGGATCGATCTTGGGCACCGAAAGGTGGATTTTAAGGTGACATGGTTCGCTTAAAAAACGATAGTAATTAGAGTGGTGTGTATGTCAATCAATCAATATATATATATATATATGTGAGTTAAGATCTTATGATATGATAGTTCAATATATTTCATTATATTTCATCTGTATTTAGATAAATGATGAATATGGATGTTTTTACCAAACTTGATATTGATTCTGATTGCAAAAAAAAAACTAGTCACAGTGTCTATCTAAATTAAAGTGATATGGACAGCCCCAAGATGGTTTGACCAAGCAAACAATGAGACCTCCATCAATGAACACATGGGCGATTTTGACAGCCAGATTTTGCGATCTGCCTGTCAAAATCTCGCCAGTGGGTTTTTGAAACCAGTGGGACTACAAGAATTCATCATCCATCAATATCTACCTGAATCTACCTGAATTGGTAAGAATTAATTACATCCAAATTGAATTTAAACCACTCATGAGGACATTGGGTCCATTTGGGTCCAGGTTTGTTTGGTGGAAAGTGGACTGGCAAAACGTGCATTTCGTCATGTTTATCGACAGACAAATGAGGATTTAATATGATTTATAATCTAATATTCCATATGAATCAATAATATTCCATAATATTCAAAAATAACAATATTCAATCATATTCAGTAATGTTCAATCATATTCCATAATATTCAGCATGTTTTTGACACACAAATATGACATTCACAGGATTCATAGAAGGGACTTTCGCCCCAAGAAGCATAGAGCTGATGGTTTTTTACTGATGGAACCATAACATCGCGATTTTTTATGTGATCCTTTCATGTTTTTTTTTTAAGAGATATGCAGTGGATATACGCATTGAATTCAGCCATCAATTATGGTGGAACACGGGGGAACATGGCAGGGCATCCCGCCTCAATATGCAGGTAGTCACCCTCCAACAGCATCCGGTCGCCACCTTGGGATCGATTCCCAGCTCATGGAATATGCTCATCCCCGATATATTGGGTGGAATGAGCCCCAAACTCATCATTAAACGACACGGCTTTGGAGCATTGCTCAAGTATTTTATTTGCAATCAACACATCTTTTCTGCGTTGCGTTCAGCCTCCCGCCATGCATTTGCAGGCGGTTGCGTTGCGAACCATGCAGGTGGAACTGTTCCACGAAACCATGAGAGGAGCGCTTTTCAAGAAAATTAACAAAAGAACAAAGACGCAGCAACAGAATACATACATGGTGACTGTGCATTCTAGTCTTGGACATATATATATATATACATATAATAGCGGGTACCATACGTATAATTGTATTATATCATATCATATCATATTATATTATATTATATTGTATTATATTATATTATATTGTATTCTATATATACTTATAGTTGGATCATCTTGGATCATCTTCTGAATACACACGGCGAAGATTTTTCAGAAATCCCTGGGAGACCTCTCCGCTGTGCCACAGCACAATGGATACTCTGATCCTAGCACTGCATTCAGCCCTGCCCCGCGACTGGACGGATGCATCGCTGACTTTTTGTCATTGGCACATCTTTTAAAGGAAGCAGAAATGGACTGTCACTGAATTTTAGTACCCGTCTGGTAAGTCTGGTAATTTAACACATGCATGGAAAATGGATGATAATGGCCCATTCATAGATGATTTACCGATTTAAAATTGTTTGTTTTCCATAGCAACACTAAATTACCATCGGGTAACTTGGAAATGCGTCCATCAAAAATGTGTGCAAAGATTGCGGTGACTGGTCAGCATGCACGTTCCCGTTGCCAACAAATGGCGGTTTGACAGCTTTGAACATGGAGTTTCGGAGTCTCCTGGATGAATTTGGGTCCTGCGGGATTGCTCAATTTCAGCAACCTCGCGTCGTGACCAATGCAGACCTTCCGTTTCAAGCTCAAGGCCTGCCCTGGATTCTGAATCCGCAAACGGAAGGGAGATATGGAAATGCTCATAAATTTGTCCGCGATTTTGAAAAGTAGAACCTTCCGATATCGGAAAGACATGTCAATAAATAAGTTTGGAATATGAGGTATGGGTGTTTCCTTCAAAGATGTTTCCATATTTATCAGCAAACTGTTGATCTATGGTGAAATTGTCATCTCCTCCGCGCAATGCCACCCTCAAGACTTCGGTTTGACGGCCATATCCTCAAAGCAGCAAACAGCACAAAAAGAACGTACACATTGACATGTATATCTGATGATTCAATACATATATTACTATCTTATAGTTCATATATATATATATGTGTGTGTGGATCATATTTGACAGAGTTTACAATATATTCTAATAGTACATATGTAGATCTGACGTGTGTGTACATGTATTATTCATTTATATATATATTATTATATATTCTATTATATATTATATTATATATTATACTAATATATATATACTATCGAATAGATACTCATGGTGTACATATGTTGTCACCTGGACCTGGCTGAGCCACAAAGTCCGGGTTGAAGCTGCTCACCACGCAGTTGCCAGGGAACTCCATGACAATCTGCAGGGAGACCTGAGGGAAAGAACCCGAATTCATGGCGGAATCAACAACAGATCATAAAAAAGGGAGTCAACTGCCAACATACAAAAAAGGGTGTTACCGGCAAGAATGGCAACTTAAAATCTGGGGGTTGATCAGCATATATTGGGATTTTTGGTGAAATTTTATAGGATATAACTCGACATGACTGGGTCATATCAGCCAACCAGTGGGAACAGGACATCTATGGCACCAATGGATGGTCGAAAAATGTCTGGCCGTCCATGGCTGAAAGATATCCTCCAGCCAGTGTCAAAAATATCTCGGCCCTTGGAAACACAGATCTCTGGTCATATTTTTGGGTTTAGGGATGTCTTGGAACATTGTGGTAAGTATTAACCAAGGACTAATAAACCCCAACTTTCTTGACAGGGAGGGGTACCAAATTTCATCATCATTCATTCCCCCCACTTTATAGTAATGCAAATCAGAGCTTCAATGCGAACATCTGCTCAAACATGTCCTATAAATCCCCCAAAGTTTACCATCTGGTTATTTAACATAGCCATGGAAAATCACCGTTTTTAATAGGTAAACCATCTATAAATGGGTCATTTTCCATGGTACTGTAACCAGATGGTAAATCCCCCAAAGTTTACAGTAAATTTGGGGATTCCTGGCGGATTTTCCCAACCCCCAACCGAATCCTGCAGTGCCGTGCCCAGTGGCTGACCCCACCGGTGGCTTCCCTCGATCCACCCGCAGCACGTTGGTGCCCACCATGACGAAGTCGGCTTCAAAGTTGTTGGCCTCCAAGCCGTGTTGGTGTCGCCTCTGGTGATGGAAAATAAGTTAGCCTGAAATCAATGACCTATTGAAAAATGGATAAAAATGGTGATGTATGATGATTCATGGAGTTGTTGATGGAATATCAGGTGTTAATAGATGTTTTTTTAATGGGAAAAACATCTATAAATGAGTGGATTGTCCATGGCCACGTTTGATTAGAGGTATCATTATTCAAAATGGTACAAAAATATGTCATGGTCTATGAGTGTTGTTTTTTGGTTAACACTAGTATAGAAAGGTAAACACAAGTTCAGAATGATTTGGAGCGATGTCATTGTTTTTTCATGTTTTTCCATATATTATATAGATATAATTATAATTACAATTATGTACTTAGCTATAATGATTCAAATGATGGTTTCCGGCTTGTGATGAATATCGCCATTCCCTCGGCAGGGATTCCATTTTTCGATTTTTTGCTGGTCGATCGGAGAGTCTATCATCCTAGGGAATAAAATTAGAAGCATATTGCCAAGTATTGCATATTAGCAACCAGTCATGGATGGGTACAGGTAAAACATGGTAAAACCATGTTTACCCTTCAAAATAAGGAGTTTTGAAGGTTTCTGGTTTCAATTTTCCCATCATCCAATACTGGGATACCACCAATCACTCAACGGATATCACATATGTCACTAAGAAGAATGGCGGGTTTTTCACCAGCAAACTCGTGGATTCAAGCAGCAAAAACGGATGCGTTGGAACTTGGTTCACCCAAGTGTAATCAACAACCACCGGTTTTAGCCAACAACAGCATTTGCCAAAAACTATGTAAAGAAAAGGTGGGGTGCGCCATCGATCGTGGCGTTGTGGTAACTAGTGGATATAGGATACAATAGGGATAGTTGGGTAAACCATGGTCATCGTACCCTTTGGTAATTTAACATAGCTATGGAAAAGCACCATTTTTAATTGGCAAATCCACTATAAATGGCCATTTACAATAATTAGCTATGTTAGTTTACCAGAGGGTAAATGATTTATGTTTCGGGTGTTATCCCACATGCGAAGTTACACCATGAGTACTTGTGTCCCACAGGTAGTCAAATATGGCGATGTAAAATCCCGTAAATCCCACTATTGTTCGATGAAGATCCCATCAAAGCCAACTAAATCCCATTCATTTTGAAATATATATATATATTACATTATTATATATATATATATATTATATTATATATATATAGATATTGATATATATATATATATATCCCTTTATCCAAGTATGGCTAGATGCTTCCACCGTTCCCACATCGCGCTTTTTGCGCTGATTCAAGCGGCATATCGCACCAGCGCTTGAGCAACGCCTTCATTGATGCCTTGAGGAGCAAAGACCTGGGGAAAACCGCCGTGGCCATGGGAAAATCGCCATAGTTTCATCGGGAAAAAAAAAAACGTCGGACAAATATGGAAAAATGATGGAACAATGAACCAAAATGACCATTTTTTCAACAAAAATCTGGAAAAATGATGGAAACATGAACCAAAATGACCATGTTTTCAAGAATTATATGGAAAAATTATGAAAACATGAACCAAAATTGTTCAAGAATAATATGGAAAAATGATGGAAAATAAGGCAATGTTCATCCATTCTTCATCCATTTTCCCATATTTTCCCCTATAAAAATGATGATTTCATATGTCGTCCAGGTCACCAGCTTCACGTTGCGATCCCCAAACTTGACCATCTTCCCGCTGGGCCAGGCGGCCGGGTCCTTCATCCCTGGAAACGTCTGGGATTTTTCGGGGATGATTGGAGTTCTTTATGGAATTTATATAGGATTTATATGGGATTTGGGATTTCATGAGGATATAGATGATGGGATATAACTTTGATATAACTAAGAAATACAATTGATATGATATAATGGAGCAACCCCTAGGTATGATAGATAAGAAGTTGGACACCTGGAGAATATATATGGAAATAACTATAACCAGATATAACGAGATGGTTTTGTCTGAAAATAGTGCACCCCGATTCCAATGGGTGAGGATCATTTTCTCCATTATATGGCCACTTAAGGGGACAATGTAATATACTTCACATATCTTACAATGTAGCAAACCCGAAAGAAGTAGTTGAGAAGTTGGAAATATAATATAGATAGAGATATATATATATATTATATATATTATATTATATATATATTATATTATATTATACTATATATTATATTATATTATATCATATAATATTATATTATAGTATATTATATTATAGTATATTATATTATATTATATTATAGTATATTATATTATATTATATTATATATATGCAATATGAAACTATGGGGGAAACATCATCGAACTCACATCCTGGAAATACATTTCGCATTTTGGGGTTACTGTATTGGAAATGAAGAATTGGTCTACTAATTACTCTAATGTAGACAGTACGTAAGATATTTGGCATATTGAATATCGATGAATATCTACTCTAGATATTGAAATGACTATATAATTAGGAAAAAGAAAAGGTATAATTACGCAAGGTATATTTGTTCAAAGATGACGTCCTCGTCTACTGTAGATGATGAATTCTACGAATGATATAAAAAGAGAATGATGGGTATGTACTAACAAACAATGGACTAACGGTGAACCATTGATTTTTCTTCGAGCTGCCAAGAGTGAAAATCAGGAACTTGGGAGCGGAAGCTACAAAGAACTTGGTCCAGTGGATTGTTTTAAGTAGGTAAAATTCACAGAAAACCCCTTGTATTTGATGTAATAATAATATATAATAATATGATGTGATGTAAAAAACAATAAAAAACATTCGGCATGTTTCCGGTCATTCTTTCCCCTTACACCAATCATTACTTACACCAATCTATTGATGCCCCCAGAAACGTGGCCTTCGAAGATGGAGTCATACTTGTGGCGGATAGCCGTGGTGACTTTACTCTCCTCCAGGAGAGTAGGTGATGACAGTGATGACTGTGATGATGTGTGCCTATTCAATTTGTTTTTCATAAAATTATGGGAAGTGTGTGCATGGGAATAAGTGTTTCCCGAGAATTCCCAATACTTTTTGCTAGTGATAGGGATTTGTCCGAAGTTTATGGTACCGCTACGTTTGGAGATGAAAAGAAAACAGGGTTGTTTCCCCCGTTGTGGCGATGTTTGAGGTGGTCAAACCCATCTCCTAACCGACACAACGTTCTGGTGAGTTGTGATTAGTTCTGCAAGTTGTTCCAAGAGACAGGCATAAGCATCGCCCATGGACATAACATTCGGTACCAGATAAATACATAGAAATACAACAATTCGCAGACCACAATTCATTTGGGTTGATATTTAATTACATTTAATTACGAAATCTGCAAGAAATTGGCATCTCTTGAAATCTCTTGACCCTGAAATCGACATCTCAACACATTTCTTTCTGTTCCATGGCCATTGCTGCGTCCTTGGAGTGTGGCTCCAGGTAGGGCCGGATGTACACCACATGGATCTCATCTCCTGAGCCAATCTTATTCAAATGGATGAGTTGGGGGTAGCCCATGGTAGCCCCATTTCAGGAAACCTCCATATAGATATATAGTTCATGTTATTCATAGTATATTATAGTTATATATAGTTATAGTACTTGAGAAGTTTTGAGCCACAAAGACCGACAAAGCACGGCCAGATCCCGTCGCAGTGACACCCACCTGGTCGTGACAATCTGAGAGCGTCGTAGAATGCTTTGGTGGCTGCTGGGTTGAGACCCGTCGAAACCACAAACTTGGCCTGGGAGAAACATCGCGGAACGCGTACAACTCCGGGTCGTTCCAAACCATCTCAAATCTCAAATATATGTCTGTCTATATATATATATAGATTAAATTAACTTACAGAAATATAACAGTGTCACACAAGATCTATAAACCGAGGCCAAAGTCTTTCCAACTTGGAATGCATCTGTGGATAGCATTTAACATGATGTGACATGTCTGAAACCAACAACAACAAGAACAACAACAACAACAACAACAACAACAACAACAACAACCGCAACCGCAACAACAACAACAACCAACCACAACAACCAACAACAACCAACAACAACCAACAACAACCAACAACAACCAACAACAACCAACAAAAACAACAACAACAACAACAACAACAACAACAACAACAACAACAACAACAACAACAACAACACCAACAACCAACAACCAACAACCAACAACCAACAATCAACAACCAACAACTAACAACCAACAACCAACAACAACAACAACCACAACAACAACCACAACAACAACCAACAACCAACAACCAACAACCGACAACCAACAACCAACAACCAACAACCAACAACCAACAACAACAACAACAACAACCAACAACAACAACAACAACAACCACAACAACCACAACCACAACAACAACAACAACCACAACCACCACCACAACAACAACAACAACCAACAACCAACAACCAACAACAACAACAACCAACAACAACCAACAACAACAACCAACAACAACAACCAACAACAACAACCAACAACAACAACCAACAACAACAACAACCAACAACAACAACAACAACAACCAACAACAACAACAACCAACAACAACAACAACCAACAACAACCAACAACAACAACAACAACAACCAACAACAACAACAACCAACAACAACAACAACAACAGCAGCAGCAACAACAACGACAACAACAAGGAATATGGTGTTTCACTTCTGCATGGGTCTATCTGCAGACTGGTACTGTATAACCAAAAAAAAGCACTGGTGAATCATCATGTGTCTTATTCAATTTGCCTAAAGTGGCTTTATAGGTGTTCCCCCATTTTCAAACCCAAAAGATCATAGAGACTTCATAGAGGTGTTGCCAAACTACATATCCCCTTAACTCATATCCCCATGACGATCCCATGATAATGATTGCCATTATTATCCCATGTATCATGTGCAAAAAAATGCAAAGTTGTGGTTTTTTCATGGTCCCATGATTATCCCATGTCCCATTACTGGATCCGAGGATTCTCCCATTAGTCCGTTACACAACCATCAAATCCCCCAAAATCCCCATCGATTCTGAAAGCTGCCGGTCGCGATAGGGGTAGTTTGCTGGGATCCGACTCCTTGAAGACCTTAGCAAAAAAGGCTATCGATGGCTTCCCTCGGCTTCAGTGAACATCAAAACGAATCAAAACTATGGGATCTGTTTTTTTATCGTTGGTTCGTATTGGTTCATATTGGTTTTCCTCAAAGACGCAAACATTGTTCAATTGTTCTGGCATAAAATCTTCAAGACAACTCCGAAAAACCGCGGGAAGACAGCCGTTGCACGATGATGCGCGGCATTTTCAGGACCTTGCAATGCAGCTGCACTTTCCGCATCGCATCACCTGCGGATCTGGGATGCTGGCCGACGAACTGACCATGAACCGGGCCAGCATGATTTTGAGCCATGTACACACCATACCAAACCATGAACTCGTGAATGTCATCCATGGTGTTTGTGTTAAATGAATCATTCATACCCTGATCATCTAATTATATCTACTAGCTTGGTTGATAGGTTTCTCGTAATCCCCAATAAATATCAGTAAATTAGGTAGTAGAGTAAGTTATATAAGTCATTATAAGTCCCTATATTCACCAATCAACCAGGGCTACTTTTCATTTGTCAAATCTCTTGAAGCACCGTGTCTCCCAAGCCTCCAGAACGTTGGAGCCGATGAGGTGTCTGTCTTTGCCTGAAAGATCTGCGACCATCTGCGACCATTGACTCAGCAGCTGAATATTGTGCTGGAAAAAAATCCATCTGAATGCGGGGACAATGGGGATGTGTCAAGACGCTGCACCCTGGTGAACAAAATAGCTGGTCTTAATGGATGTTTATCCCCCAAGTCTGGAAATTCATGGGTTTTGATCAATCCCCATATGTGCCATTGGTTGGTCAATCATGGGAAGGAAGCGGATCCCGCTCCTCTTAGACTCAGACAGGCCGATGTGAAAATTTGGAAGACTTTGGACATAAAAACGCTCGAAAATCTATAGCTTTTTGGTGTGTTGAAAGATGTTGAAAGTGAAAACTGTTCAACAGTCCCATTCCAACCCAATGGTTCCATGATGTTCCATATTGAGTTGGAACCAACAAATCTTGCCTTTGCGGCCAGCAAAACCCATGACGCAGAAGCCCGCATTCTGTTCCTTAATGTCCTGACCATCTCGGATGTCGAGATGTGATTCGTTGGGGGGATTACCACCAAAAACAGTGATCATCTGCAATCCAAATGGAACATGGAACAACGCAATCAAACCATACTCAAGCTGTGTGTTTCATCACCCTGTAGGTGGTTTGACCACTGTCTAAGTAGCAAAACGTCATGTTGCCTGTCCAACAAAAAAGAACATCCTTTCGCACCCCTGTGACCCTGAATGGGGCTGGGGAAAACTGCTTGTTCCCTGATCATCCTCGCAGCAAAGTAACCCACTCAAATATATCTAAGGAATTCTAAGGATAACTTGGGAACGCTGGAATATGACTCACTCAAGCATTAATTGCCCGGAATATCTTGGGACCAGGTACCCACCTGGCTAAGATTTTGAAAGGTTTATCTCTGTGTACCTGTCTTATACCATCGAAATTGCTATTTGAACAGGAAAAATGATGATGCCCTACTGACCTACTGAGCCTCCTGGTCATGAAACGATGGCAATGGAAAATCTGTTCACATGAAAACATATTAAAAACCTCCATCTATTGTTGATTTCACAGCCATGTTGGATGGTCGGTAAGCCTAAGCCACTGATCTTTCGCCGTGTCCTGGCACAGCAACTGCCCAATCTTCACTCCCGGCGTTCGTTCCTTCACACCTCAGCCCCATTTGGTGGGACCAAATCCAGCGCTGGAAGCCTTGAAGGAAAAATCCACCAAAACTGTCTTTGAATCAAGGGTTCTGTAGCTTGATAGGATTTGATGCGTTCATTTCATGCGCTTGAGGGTTTTTTGCGACAGGGTTAATAAAAATCAAACTCATCATTTATATCATCTTATTCCTCTCCACTTGGAGAAAACATGGATGACTAGTGACCCTCCATTCCAAGTCGCTGATGGCATACCGCTTGGAGACCAGGTAGGATGTACATTTTGCCTCCACATCCTTGCGCTGATCAGCTTTGGAGGGGTTGGATCCCACCGGTTTCAACCCATGATCCCCACCGGATCTCGTCCCAGCGATTTTCTGCTCCAGGAGTCTGAATGGATGGCACCTTTTCTCCACTTGGGCGGCAGATATTCCTCGAGGCCACGGCCATGATGAAGACAGGTCTTGGTATTTTGTATCACCAGGGCTATCAAGCTACCAAAATGATCCAACATGTAAATCCGCTATCCTCATCTTTGCTGTCATTAAAAATGGCTGCATGACCTCCACCCCCCATTTCTTCAGCTGTCTTCCTCACCTTGGTGTTGTCATAGTAGTGGACCTCAGTGGCTTGTTTCGCAAGTCGAGTACCTGTCCCATTGAATGGCAATTAAGTTAGGGATATAGCGGACATACCGGGTATTCCTTCTGTTTGGACCAACCCAAGTCGTAAATGTGGGGCTTCACAGCTGAGACTCAATGGGACGACCTTGGTCCATTCTCTCGCTGATTGAGCCCCAATGATGGCAGTCCCATTCCCATGAGCCTTTTCATACACTTTCTATATGGCCATATGAGAATGGTGCGGGAAACTTTATGTAAGCTCGTGGGAATTGGGAGTCTCTGATTTCACCAACCAAGATTAGAAGTAAATCAGTAAATCAGCCAGAAACAATTCCCTCACCGCTTTCAAAGTTTCAACCAAAACTTGGGACGAAAAATCAACAAAAATAACAAAAACCATGGATTTGAAAAACAACTTTGCTGGTGACTCCATGTTCCCATGGCAAAAGCAAAAAAGTCACGAATCCGGGGCCAAGTATGAAACCATTCCCATCCAGTTCCATTTGGGGACCAGTGGTTCACCATGAGACACCCCCATCCTTGCAGGTCATCTTTATGGTTATGACTTATGACTCATAACCTCAGATTTGGCTGAAAATACTTCGATTTGATCAACATTGAATCACCATACAAATACATCACAAGATATCATAAGATCACCATATTTTTTCACCATGCTTCAGATGTCACCATTGTTTTACCCTCTGGATATTTAACAAAATAGCTATTTTTCAAATGACCATAGAAATAATCATAGAAATAGTGGATTTTTGGATTTTCACATTGACAGCATGGTGATTTCCATGGTTTTTTCTATGTTTTCCCATGGTTTTACCATGGTTTTACCATCTCCAGTCGCAGTGGACAACTGATGACCACTGGGCCTTCCGGCGATGAGCAGATCCGTCTCCCGGTCGCTTTGAGCAAAGCCGTGCAGCGCCCATTCAAAGGCACAGCTGGACTGGCGTGCCGGACGCTCCACGAAATAAAACATTAGTGTCACTGGATTGGTTTAAGGGAAAATCTACAGGAAACCATGGTTTTTACCATCAAATATGGGGGGTTTCCTGTAAATTGTCCCATCATCCAATTCTATGAATAAAACATTAGTGGTAAGATTACATATATAATTTTATATCATCATATATACTATGTAAATCTATGTAAATCTATGTATGGTATTATACATATATCATACATATAGTATCAGATAGTATCATAAAAACTAAATATGTTGACGGAAAAAATAACACGTAATGTACATACATACTAATCACATGGTACAAACAGCATCAAGAATGTATTGTTTGATAGGTGTCTTTACATTTTATGCAATATTGTTTATATTATTTTATATCTTTATAATACTTTATCATCAGCCGCTGAATCAACGGTTCTCTGACATTGGACCTGCACGTCCGCGACACATGAGCCTGGTCCGAACCATCAACGCTCACAATGACCTTGACGTGATCCTGTAGAAGCTCGTCAATCCTGGGACTCCATGACGCTGACAATGGGGCCATATGGGGCCATGGGATGCCACGCTTGCCGAACTGAAGGTCAAGTTTAAGATATTCAGATATTATCAGATTATTCATATGATATTCTGAAATATTCTGAAAATGGAAAGGATATGGAGGATTCCACTCACTCCACTCTTTTTAAGATCTTTTGCTGGTGGGCTATGAATTCTGGCACACGGGCATGCAATTTGCCAGAAAAAATCCACAACAGTCAAGTCATGTCAAGTCATAGCCGTCATGTCGCCCAGCTTCTTTTCGCAATCGATCCAGGCCTGATTCTCCAGATGTGTCACCGTATCCTCCCGGTCCATTGGCCGATCCATGACCAGTCAGTTGAGATGACAAGTCATGGCTGGAGGTGAAAATATTCAAGTTGAAAGTGTGTGTCGTGTCTTGATCTGTGTCACTGAGCTGTTGACATTAGCTGTTGACGTTCGCGTAACCGCAAGCTTCCGCCATTTGAGCCGTGATTTTAGCGGTGACTCAGCTCACAAGCAGCTGAGAGAGACGGGTGACATCGGAGTCTGGGAGCTGGGAACGATTGCATTTCATGGGATGAGTATCCTCTGGTAGTCTAACATAGCTATTGAAAATTGCCATTTATAGTGGATTTACCCATTGAAAATGGTGATTTTCCATAGTTACGTTAGTTTACCAGAGGGTATCGATCCCGAAAACTGCGAATTGAGTCACTGCTCATGCCTGAAACCACCCAAAACTGTGCCTGAATTCAGAAAGTGTTCGAAAAAAAATCGCAAAAAAACTTGACATCCAACCCCAACCCCATCCAGCCCCATCCCACTATTTCACATTATTTCTGTCCCCCATGTCTTCGTTTCGGGGGAGCCCAGGCTCCCGGACCGGGCCGTTCTTGCCAGGGATCCTCGTCTTTGGCCCGGGAGCACCGCGTGGTTGTCATGAGGCGCCTCGAGGCCGGGATTTGGGGGCACCGTTAAACCAGCTGCAGTGGTTGACCTACCCCTCTGGTAAACATACCAAAAACTATGGAAAATCACAATTTTTAATGGGAAAATCAGGAAAATCCACTATTTCTATGGCCATGTTCAATAGCTATGTTAAATTACCAGATGGTATTTTTCCCAATATATGGAAAAAATTGGAAAAATAATCCAAATGTTCCAAACCACCAACCAGCCAGGCTTTGAAGCAGCAAAAACCAGTGATTTGTTTGGAAAAAAAAACATCTGATCTATCCCAAAATCAAAAAATATGAAGTTTCAACCAACAAAAATCAGGGATTTGTTGCTCTGATTTATCCGAATGTCAAGTATCAAGTAGCCCAAAAGAAATCTACCAACACAAATTGTTTTTTTTTCCAAAGTGTGTTTGTGATTTCATCAACAAACACGTACAGAAAATTTGCTGTTTAGGAACAAGGAAGGGGATTTAATCGACAAACATAGTAAAAATATGAAATATGGGGATTTCACTGTCCATTGATTACCTCTCTGACTGTCCATGGTGGGTTTGGCCGGGTGCCAGAAGCTTGCATGCACACAAGCTACATGTCATGATTTGAAGCATTACCTTGTCTGAAACTAGTCTTAAGATGTCTTAAGTGTTTATTAAACCTCTCAAATCTAAGCGAACGTTCAAGTCTGCGTCAAACAAATGAGCAGTGTCTAAAAACCTCTCTCATTCCATTTAATCCTGGTGAAGAACGGATTCTCATAGTGATATGATATGATGATATGATATGATGATCATCCTGGACCAGTCAGTACAATCCCCTATAAATCCTATAACAATCCATCAACAGAGGTTGCGGTCACACCGCTGGGAAGCCGCTGCCACGGCCGACGATGATTCGCACCATGCACCTCAGATGGTTCCCAAATGTGAAGTCTCAGATTTTTTTTGACCCCTCCCAACAGTTGGATAAGATGGATCATATAATCTACATATAATCTACAATTGGTGATGATTGATGGATTGCAATACATCATCAATACATCATATTCTCCTCAATACATCATATTCTCCCGTATGATCAAGATGGATCAAGTACAATCTACACCAATCTACACCATCAAAAAGAATACACGTACATACGGTACAGACATTGAGTCCACATCCAACTCATCCAACATCCGTTCTTTTTTGGTATCCCAAAAAATATCCAAACATGTTGCTTCGGGTCCTGAGCATCCCATGAAGGAATCAGATGAATAAGATTTCAACTGATGAACCCCAATACACATATTCCAGCAATACATATCAATACATAATGACCTTGGGATCTCAATTTGAGATCTTATGTGAGATTTCTCAATGCACCTCAAATCCTTCGATAAATTTCGACACAGTGCCCCAGTGCCCCTTCCCAAAGCCCCAACGTCGAGCTGCTCCAATCTGCATTTGGGGTCGATGAGCGCCTGGGGATGGTGGTTACATCGAAAATGAAATCCTCATGATTTCTTGCTTACCTCCCAAATCTTCTTGAAGCAATCCCTTCGTGCTTGTTGATGCCCCAGTCTTGTTGGTTACAACGTTTACATCCCATCTATAATTCCAATTGTTTCCCTGGTACCTTCAAAGACTTCGTCGAAAGGAAATCGGAAAGGAAACCATGGATTTACCCCCAAAATATTTGGGATGTCCTGCTGAATTTCTCTCCAACTCATTCTACAACTTATTCAGTACACTAGTCGTTATCCCCTCTTACCTTTCAATACCCTGACTTGATTGCCTAAGCCCTCATCTTTGCTGGTTGAATAACTATCGAATCCTATGATATACTCCTATGATCTCCTATGCATGTTGGCTTCCAAGACTTAGTTGAAGGGAAAAAATACCGGAAACCCGAGCGTTTCATGGTAAAAAAATGGTAAAAACCATGGGTTTCCTCTAGATTGTCCCTGAAATCCAGTCCAATGTTGTATGGTATACCAAGGCTTTCCAACCCTCAAAGCCACGTTTCAAGAACAAGCTGCAGATCTGTTCCAGGCGCAAAGTCCAGCGATAGATCCCTCCCTGCGCTGAGAAAACCAATGGCGTTTTGAAGCCATTGTTGCCATGGGAGAAATTTCTGTGTTTTTTTCCCTTGAACCATGTGTGATCAACAAAAAGATGCCATATAAACCGATATAAAATGACGCAAATGGGTTCATTGGTTAGATGAGCTAGTTGGTGATTGACAATTAGTAAAAACCAGTGTCAAAAACGAATAGTCAAAAAAGTGGTCCCCAGTCAATGAGTCATCCCACATCTTGCACGGCGGGTTTTGGGAAAATGAGAACTATAGATGTTGGTACGCATGATCACCTCAGCCAAAAAAAAAAGGCACGTGCATCGGGACTCCTGACCCATGCCCAATTGGCAGGACTTCGTATGCAAAGAGAAAGACCTGGTTGGGGAGATGCCTAAATCCAGAAACCGACTATGAATCTCTCTAGAAATGATAAGAGCCCAAAAATTGGACGGTTTGAATGATCTCTACATACCAGAAATGACAGGGTTCCTTCCTTTAATGAACTCAGCACCCGCCATAGCCATGTGGCACCTTGACCAGTCTCAATGTACCACCCACTGGTATCACCCACTGGGGATCCTGAGGCCAGCGGGGTTTCCCAAGTTGATCGTCGAAATTCACATCGACCCGAAAAGAAACAGCCAATGTGTAACCTTCCCCCTATTTGAGGGTATAGGTCAATTCTGTGTCTATGTCAGTCTATGTCAATTTGCGGATTTGTATGGTTTGTATCATCCATGTCTTAAAATTCTCTTTCAGACATGTCGAAAATGGATGAAAATTGTGTATTGCATCTCCTGTCAGATGGGAGTGTCACCCAAAAACAGCCACGGTTTGTATGACAAATTGCTCTTAATTTCTAGAACCATCTGGATGAGTTTTTAAATACAAAACGTACGGAAACTCTTTTTGCTTCAGCCCAATGTATTACAATGGTAGCCCAATGATAATATATATATATATATATTGTCGACTGCCTATGGATATGAACTGTAACCCCCCGAAAAGATGAATATAAGCGACAAGAATCACTATTTTTGAACCGGAGTTTACCAGAATCTATCTCTTTGGGGGGTTACTAAGTTAGTAATGAATAAGTTACGAGGTTGCTAAATTAAAACGTTACTAAATGTCTAATTACCCTCTGGTTTTCATGAACATATGGAAAATCACAATGTGTAATAGATAAATCAACTAGTTAGTAACTAGTTAGTAACTGCCATGTCCAATAGCTATGCTAAATGACCAAATGGTAAGTTGCTCAGTGACTATATATATATATATATATGCCATAGCAATGGTGGAACGAGACAGTTGCACCGTGCCTGGAAGTCCCCGAGCTTGGTGGCCACGTCCTGCTCCGTGCCACCTGGAGAGACAGTTTGGAGATTGCCAACCTCAATAGTCTCAATTGGGATCATACATTATATATATAATATATAGCTGACTTCTATGATGTGGTATATATATATATATATATGTTAATTCACATATATACATTGCATTACTTTACATTACATTGCATTCCATTGCATTGCACTGCACTGCATTGCTCTGCATTGCACTACATTGCATTACATACAAACATACAGACATACAGACATACATAGATACATAGATACATACTTACAGTACATTACATTGCATTGCATTACATTACATTACATTGCATTACAATGCATTGCATTGCATTACATTACATTATATTACATTACAGTACAGTACATTACATACATATGTATACATATATATATATGATTATTATGTAATATATATATATATATGTACATATATATATATATACACATGTGATATATGTATATATACACATGTGATATATGTATATGAAGTGGCTGATGGTTGAGCCACCGATCACCAGAAATTGTTCCTAATGGTACACTCAGGTCATTTGGGGGCACCAGTCATTCCCTGCAATGATGGCAAAATCAAAATTTGAATTCCAAACTATTAGTGAAAAATATCGGACTTGGATTATCTATGATATTCTATGATTATCTTGGATTTACTTCCCCAAACCCAACTGCAAGAAGATGTCCAGTAATGTCCTGTAGTGGTCGAGTAGCCCATAGAAACATAAAGCATCATTGTCTCTAGAAAATCCAATAGAAACACCTATTGAATGGTGAAAAAAAAGTGCTATAGCTGGTGTCCACACCTAGCCGCCTTTCCAGTTTCGAGAAAGGCGGATTTGGGCCAACCATCCCATCCACCCATCTTGGAGCCATGCTGATCTCAAATTCGCGCTCGAATTCCGGGGCCACTCTCCCTGCCACGGAAAAAAAAACATCACAATTTTTCTAGGGCCGCCTGGAATGGCAGCAAAAAACTTGGACATTCCATGCAGAAAGCATTTAGAAAACTAATGAAAACATTTGAAAACTATGCAACACCGGTGAGCTACGCACTTCCAGTTGAGTTACCCAGAAGGTACCTCCATCTTTTCTTGATCGTCAATTCAACCTATCCGAAAGCTACTGGGCTTCCACGCAGGCAAAGGGCGGATATTGCCGCGGGGCACAAGGTATGTCCTCGTTTCTACAAGACTTCAGAATTTAACAATATTTAACATAAAAAGCTGTGATGCTTACCAGCAACCTGATCTCTGCACAACTGCTTGTCTTGGATCGACATTGCAAAGCTTTCGAACATCACCCATCCAAGAATCTAGCTACTACAGCAGTTGAGACTCCAGACTTTGATGTTTTTGAAGGGAGTCAAACAATGTCGATCACACTTTCAGTCGGACAAGCATCTTCCGAAACTTATTCCACTCAAGATGTTTCAAGTAGGGTAAGTTGAGCAATCCCATGGGTAGCCATGGCATCCCGCGCGCGTCGATTTGACCCAACCCCCAGTCACAACTCTCGGCTCCTGGGGGAAGAGATCCAAGACATCCTGCTTGCCATTGGGGGACCATCGCTGCCAAATGTTCTTGAAATATATTAATATTAAAATATATAATTCTCTAGTTATTTCACCTAGCAAACTGGAAAATCAACGAAAATCACCCTTTTTAATGGGTAAGTCATTAATCATTAATCATCAATATGTAAATCATCTTACTAAAAGTGGTCCATTTCCGGAGCTGTGTTTAAAACCAGAAACCACCAAGGTAACCACCAACCAGGTCTGCTTGCGGAATTTTACAATTGTGGGATCAAAATCGGCTGTTGTAGGATAACAAGCATTGCATATCAACTCGTGTCTGCATCGATATTATACAAAATTACGCACAATTGATCAAGATCGTGCAATTATGTAATTGTTTGTGTTGTGGGATAGTTTGCAGCATATTCCTCGTTGAGAGCGAAGAATGAAAAGGGCTTTCCGTCTGGTGGAATATGAAATACTCCTACCTCAAAATGGATCCATAATCAATAAAACGATGCTTTGTTACCATGTCTTATATAGAAAAAAATGAGTTGTCAGCAAACGCATGTTCATGCAGCTTGCGCTGGCGGATGAATCCAACATCTGGGACTCGCGGGGTCTTCACCTTATTTCTATATCTATTTATTTATATACATATATTATATATATATATATATGTATGTATCTATAGTGTATATATATATATATACATACGCGTACACACGCCATTGTTTCATGTTCTGTCGTATATCAAAATTAAGCACGTCAAAAAATCAGTCCAGTCGATTGCGGATCACTGATATCACTGGGGTCCGGTATATCGACCCATAAAGACGTGCGATCATTCTGCTTCTTCAATGACCAAAATTGATTATCTATCATTATTCATACATCATTATATATATATATATCATTATATATCATTATATCATATCCCATTACATTCTATTACATTCTCCATTGTTGCTGGTTAAATGACCCTTTTTTTGGCTAATACCCCAAACCAAATCTGATGAATCCCCACTGCGCAGCATTCCGCATTCCTCGTCCACATCATTGCAAGGCTTGTGCCGGCCGGAGGCCTTCTGGCGAGCCTGGCCCACTGGCAGCTGATTTCAGCCGTGTTTCGTTGATGCGAGTTGCGGATCTGGTGGTGTGAGAGCCATCTTTGGCATGTCTTTCATCGTCTAAAAGCAAACAAGTGCGATGATGTGGAGACTTCGTCTCAGTCCAATATATCAGCACGCTTGGAGAGAAATCCACTGCTGATGCTTTTCCAGGCATGATAAAAGATATAAAAGTCTCCTAATTTCTGGTTTTCCAACTTCCAACATCTTCCAAGACTGCACTCCATCCAATTGTCTCAAGATGTTTAACACCTCACCGGTGAATTGGCCATAAATTGGCCATAAACTGGGGTATATACCTGAGGGTAACCCAGTACATAGATGTGGGGAGTTTTCCATGGTTTCCCTGGTTTCCCCTAGGAAACTGATCTACAGATAGTGGGTTTCCACCTCTATGGTAAGTTTACTGATGCCCCATACATTTCCAAGACCCAGCTGCCTCCGAGATGTATCGCAAGTCCCAGCCGTCTTCAGCCATTGTTTGCTTCAAGAAACTCTGAACGAATATGGCTGACCATGCTGATTCCCATCGATTCCGATATGGATTTCTTCACATCGCTTCAAAAGCTAAGCCGTCCCTTTGCGTTCTTCCGTCATGGTGAAAAAAGGCCACGTTTCCTTGTGATGTTCCAACCATCGCCGAGTCATTGAGTAATTAATATGGTTGGATTCTTTGCAGCCCTGCTGTCTGAGACTGGTTGGATCATATCAGCTGCTCAGCTGCTCTCCTGGTTTGCTAACTTTGAGCAAACAAGCCTAGCAGAGGTAGCAATGAGCCACATCAGAGTTGCTTCTGTTCCATCAACATCATGAACAGGAACAGTAACATGTTGGCCACTCAATCTATATATACGTGTATATATATATGATGTTAGGTACCTTTACCAGCAAACTGGCCGTTTGAAATGGTGTTATATATTGTTATATAGTTTTAATGGGATTTCATGGGATTACACTGTATATTGGCACTGTTTAACGATATTGGCACTGTTTAACGATGGTCTCTGTCCCAGCTCCCAGCGATCGAGCCGTGAATTTTCGCATCACACGCCCTCTCTGACGAACGCCAAGCTGGGCGGCGTTCGATGGTCCAGCAAGGACATGCCTCGCAGCATCTCGCAGCAGCGCTGCATGGTGTTGGAACCATGCAGAAACGGCCAATAAAAAACACAATGACTCTGACCATCTCTCAACTCTTATGAATTCTGAATCAAAAAGAAACCACTGGCCTTGGTGTTCACATGTGTTCACTACAACTGGATACGTCTTGGTCGTTTACATCATGATGAAATATGATGAATGTGTTTTGTTGGGCATATTCCTTGGAGCTGTTCCAGAACAGTTCATGAAACACTAAAGGAGCTTGCATTCACTTCATTGCAACACTGGAGTCAAATTTCTACAAGAACAGTTGGCATACACTGAGAACTGAGATTGTGTAACGTATCAAAGAGTCTTCACAGAAAAGAGATGAACAAATCACATTACGGGGATCATTCACTCAGACCCATCCACCTGAACTCCAGTGGTGACGACCCAAACCTGACACAAAAAAAACGGCGAAATTGACTCGACATGACTCGACCTTTTTCAGAGATGTTGGGGCATCGCAATGGGTCTCTCTCCACTTTCGAACATGCAAAGTCATAGCTTTCCCCTTCCCGAATCTTCCCGATAGTCAGAATAATCAAAATGCTGTCCCACTGTCCATTGAAAATCATTGAAATAGCTCACAACGCTATGTAATGCATATATCGACTATAGTAATGCGGCAATGGCTCTGGTAAAAACATGTTAAAAACAATCCCAGCAACCAACAACGGCCCGGGGGTTTGGTCATGTTGCATCATCCCAGAGGGGGCGATGATGACCTGACGCTCGGACGTCCAGATCGCCGCTGCTTTGAAGGTTCTCATCAAAGCCTCCTGGAGGTCCAGGCATCAACTCCCAGGGATGTACCGATGTACCCCTCCAGTTATCAAATATGGCACTTGATGGCACTTGGCAGTCTCCAATGTTTTTAAGTTTTTAGGTAGATACAAATGGTGGGTATTTGCTCTGCTATGCTTGTTTAGTGGCGCCGTAGACCAGTAGACCAGGAATCGTTTTGGCCTTTCCTCAAGGTTTATACGTCAAACACGTCACTGAAAGCTCGACGATACAAAAAGTATTTATCCAAGTATATCCCAGCGCGCAAGCGTGCAAGATAGGCTCTTCAACTTAAAATACAGTACACAGAACAATCGACATGTTGGGAGTTGGGATGTCTCTTCTTTACGCATTGTTGGGCATTAAGCTACTCGCTGCGATTATCAAAACAAAATAAAACAAGTATGACGCTTGGTGATGTTCCCTGATTTCCATCAATACTGCATACCTGGAAAAATGATGTGATGGACACAAAAAATGACCAATATCTATATGTTGATCTGAGAGTTGTGACTCCTAGCCATCTCATCCATCAAAACCTTCCATCATGGGAAGAACAAGAAGAGAAAATAGATGAGGATACAATCAAGAGGGTGGATATTATCTTGTATCACACAGGGTGATACAAATGTCATCAAACGTTTGATATGCATATTGAGATATGCTGTATAGAAACTACATCTATACAGTGTCTACATACACAAACAGATGTAATTAATTATGTATATTATATATATAATTATATATATATATTATAGATAATCCATATCCCCCATGACCTTTGGGTGACCTTCCATGTATCCCATAAAATGTCCAGCTTCCCTGAAATGCCTGGAGCATCTTTTTGAGCTCCGCGCATGGATTCAACGGCCTGGCAGATCAAAAAAAATGTATTTTTTATAGTAATAAACATAGTAATAATAAGACCTATACATATATATATAATTTAGTAAGTATATAATTATATAATTGTAAATATTGTGTGTGTGCAATGCTGTGTATCTATTTGGTGTGTATAAATTTTGTATTATATGTATAATTTATATATATGTATACATATTCATACTATATGCATATGGCACCACCGAAAATACAAGCTGTGAAGTGAAGGATGGGTGCAGGGTTAGCACCACCAAGTGCGTTCCAACAGATCCTTTCCAGTCCATCATAATTATCACATAGACAATCCACTATCAATGGCCAAAAAAAACAACCGTCCAAAGTTCAAGATGAAAGCCATTTGGAGTATGGTTCAGGTACAAAATCATAAATCCTCACCTCCCAGACCCGGAAAACTAGGGAAAACTTTGACAAAAAACACCATGAGTTGATCTAAGTTTTCACAAATCATGGTTCAAAATCTTCCCAGATCTCCCTTTTTTGATCAAAAAAACAGCCTGCCTCGCCTGGCAAACAGCTTGCAGCTCCAGTTGATCCTTTTCCAGTCCGCTGCTTTCGAGGTGCACCTGGCTGGGCCTGGAATGATAACCGAAATATACTGGGGGACGTCTAAAAAGATGTGTTCATGGTTTTATCTAGGTATTTTGATCTATGCAGATAGAAAATGATAGAAACATTACATATATTTTATATATATATACATATGTGATATAGTACTGAACTATATAATGCAAATATTATTTATATAATATATAGCATTATATAACCAGGGGAAATTGTTATTTTGGATGATATTGGTGAGTCTCTTTTCTTCAAGTAACCTGGGGTGGTGATTTTCAATCCCTCTGGACATGTTGCATCCTGAGGTGCCTGGTTCTCCAAGTTCTGAGTGGCTTGTGCGAGGGCTCGACTTTGGCCCTGCCAGTGGGAAAATCCGACAGCTACCTTGGTCTAGAAAATACCTAGTGAGTGGCGTAATTGTGGTTGCTCTTGTGTTGGTATGAGTATTGGCACCAATCATTACTTTATTCTCATTCTCATTCTCATCATCATCGTCGTCGTCGTAGAAGAAGAAACCGTAGTGGTGGTAGTGGTGTTGTCATCATATAATTTATAGTGGCCAGGGCTAGCTCGTGGTTGAGCCTCCGAAAAACATGTGGGTCAAGTGGTGTCAGGCACCCCCTCTTAAGGATGAAAATTACTGTAAAATACTTGGAAACAACGAGGTCAATAAATTTTATGCAAATGCAAAGGGAAGGTGATGTTCCAATCTTGTAGCTGTATTGTGGAATGTGGTATCCATCCTTTACGTCGATCGTAAAGGCACAGCTTTCTCACGAACGCTTCGCACATCTTCTGGTTTCTGTATGTTTCCTTCATTTGCATGAAAAAAAAGTGTGCCGCCTTCCAAAAATCAAAATAAATCATGGACATTGAAATCACTGCAGAGAAATCACTGTTTCATCTCCCAGCGAGTGAACGTCCAAATCGTGCAAACCGCACAGCTTTTTTCTGCTCATCCTACATGAGCTATGGAACAGGACACCCTTTACAAGGCCCTGCCGACCTTGCCGGAACTGTGCCGGGCCAATCACTCAGCATCCGGTGGGGTGTCATCTACCAGCAGCATTTCATCATTCAAACATATTCAAACGACTTTGTACCTAGGCCACTTTGGCGCCTACTTGAAGAGATTTGATGTTGTTTGGGTGCTGTCACACCATGATCTGGGACAGGTTGACAGATCTTTTTTCGCCTGGCAGACAGAGGGAATAGAAGTCCCAGTTCGACAAAAAGAAGCCACAGCCGGGCCAGCTGTTATTGGGAGCCTCAGTGTGGCCGCAACAGCAGCGGTTGTGAATGGCTGGGGATACTCTTGCACCGTCCGTGTGGCCGAATTAGTGGCCTAGGCACAAGTCTGTCTGGCATTTGTCAAAACCAAAAGTGATAGCAACTATACATTGCAGAAGGATATAGAAGGGACAAATTCCAGCTTGTGCTCGGGGCACAATCTAGATAGACCCTCCTGTCAGCCAACCTGGAAGTTGCCACTTCCATGGCTCTACACATTTCTGTTGCTGCATCTCCCGCTTTCCTAGGTTGATGGCTTCCTATCCCATTGAATTATTGAATTGTTGATTGTTGCTTGAATATCTTGAATCTCACTTTTTTCAATGGTCAACTTCACCATGGTCGCTGGTTGTAATGATATACGAAGACCCATCTTTTCTTTGTTACAGTACTTCCTTCTTGTTTTGGCTGATGATCGGCTAATGCTGGAAATACCGTTTTTCGGCTTCAAATCCCTCAAATGCATACGAGTGTGTGTGTGTGTGTGCGCGTGCGCATGTGTCTGTGTGTGTGTGTAAGTGTGTAAATGTGCGCGCGCGTGTCGAAAACTGTGGCACCCCAAAAGAAACACCTTGTTTTCCCTGAAATCGCAATCATGTTGCTTTGGGGTTGGCCACAAGAATTGGTCATTTTTACCCCTCAACCATCTACGCAAAAATCCATTTTTAGGATCCCTGGTTGCCGGGTTCCCAGCCACGGAACCTCCGCCAGCACCGGCTGGTCACTGATGTTCAGCAACGAAGCCGGAGGCTGTTGCCAGGAAGGCCAGTGGGGCAAGCCGGGGCCATTGGGGTCACCTCATCCAGGCGTTTCAGTCGCTGAAAGTGGTGGAAATGGTGGAAAATGATGGAAATTGCTGGGAAAATAGGTTCAACAAAGAATTTTCAGTCATCCAAAGATGCTCAAGGAGAATGACGGAAGATGCACAAAAATGATCGGTCTGGGCAGATGTCGTGCAGGAATTATTTTTTCTGATTTTCAATGGCAAATCGCTGGAGAGATGGGGTGGTTCACCTTTATGGGAACAAATCCGAGTGGCAAATAAACGAGAAAGACCCAAAAAAACAAATCATACAACAATAAAACTAACTATTGTATATAGAGTACATTCATGTATAAATATATAGATTACGGTAAACGACAAGAAATCTACAGCACCATGTTTCGATAAGAACTGATTGCAGCACCCTTGCAACTGTGCTTTGGAGCAAGTGGTTTCCACCGTCTCTGCTTTTGTGTTCCGCCCTGCCCCCCCTCTATGTGGAAATCCCACCATTTGTAGATCGTTTTCATAGGGTTTCACCATGGGTTTCACCATGGGTTTTCCAGGTAAACGTTTACCCTAAAATACCAAATTGAGCTATTTCATTTCAAACTCCCATTTCCTTCTTGAAGATCGAGCCTCATGTATCCCTGAGTTTGGCATCTACAGAATTAATTGCCCCCAATATTAACACCCCCTATACACCCCCTCAAAGGTCCCAAATATGTGAAAATCCCCACTAAACCATGGTTTCTGGGGGTTGTTGAATATTAGGGCAATGGGATTAGCGATGTTCCACATTATAGAAACTCAAGTTGACGAATGGTACCTTTTTTGCGCAGGACCACAACAGGCAACAACAATTACCACGATCACCGCAGCCGCAACTCCAGCTTCCAAAAAGCCACATTGGCTGTCGCCGGTCAGAACACCCGAAAGAAAACAAGGATAAAATCATGAATCATGTCTGGCAATATAGTCACACCAATGGAAAATATCCATCAATAATAATCCATACCCTCTGGTAATTTAACATAGCTATGGAAAGATCCACCATTTTTAATGGGAAAATCCACTATAAATGGCCATGTTCAATAGCTATGTTAGTTTACCAGAGGGTAATATCCAAAACAGGTTCGAAGTGACAGATGTCCCGCCTGTTTTTGCAAAATTGGCCCAGTACTTCATCATCCACTGTGATACTTGAAGATCACTGCTCGATGGCGATTCCAAGGTTCCGAAGATATAAGGGATCTCATCCCCATGGAGTGTCAGACCTTCAGGGAGGTCTCGAACTTGCCGTTTTCAAACGGTATAGGTCAAAGTCGAAGAGACCATGGTGTTTTTTTGGGCCAAATGAGATATTTTACCGTGTTTCAAGGGTATTTCGGGCACAAAAAAAAACGGGGTCACCATGTTTGAACATGTTTGGACCTTGGGAGTCTGGCTGCGAGAACTTGTAAACAAAGGATGGGCTCGACCAAGTTGAAATCCACATGGCAGTGCAGGAGTAACCTCGGATCTGCTGGTCGTGCCCATGGCGATTTCTGGAAGTCCTTTTTCAACGCTTCTTTTGGTTCATCTTCATGAGTGGGATGTGATTCTATTGTATCTGATGGGGCATATATATATATATGATATATGTATATGTGTCATGGTCATAATGATATCTCTACATATAATTACATATACTTGTTTGACATGTATTTATTTAATTTTATTTATGTACAACCACCATGAATAGTTGACAACCCACTTGCCACATGGGATACGGATAACCACATCAGTACTGAAAGGTCCCTGCAGCCAAGGTCAACACCACCTCCCCGACAATTTCATTCTAGTGGTACAAAGCCAAACCCAAAAAAAAGGCAGGAAAGTAAATCGTCTATAAACATATGTATATATATATATATACAAATTATAGATATAGACATAGACTAATTATTAGAATATTACAAGTATATATATAATATATATGTCTAATTATATATATACATAAGTATAGATATAAAGTATAGATATAAATAAATAGATAACATCTCATCTTGGTCATAAATATTTAACATTGAAATGTAAGACAGTAAAAGTATGTCAAATTTGAGGTGCAAATTTATGTGACATGTTGACATTACCAGGTGACTGAAGTCTGTTTCACAGGCTTGGGCCGCCTGGAAGTACTTGGAGATCCACCAAGTGCCCGTTGTTTTTGGAGGAAAGAGCTGTTGCAGCTGAGATTTTCGCTCCTCTCCATAGCGTTCAGAGAAGTAGCTGTCCAAAGAACCTGCTGGACAAAGATGGCACAAGTGAAAAGAATAAGTTCAGAATTTTTGGCTGATTTAAGATTATTTACGGGAAAATCTATGGAATTGTTATATAATGTTATATATATATATGAAATCCTGGTTGCTGCCACAGCTCTACAGCGGGCGTTCCACAAAAAAACTTGTCTCATCCAATTCTGGGATCTTCATGTCCGCGGATGCTGAGGAACCATGGGGAACCCATATTAGACATCTGCATCCCTATGCCATGGCTGCCATGCTGTTTTAGCATCAGCTGCAGCACTTCAGATCTTCCAGAGATGGAGAAGAGTTCAGATGATAGGTCTCCTGTTCTCCTCCATTTTGCTGCAGTCAGGAGGCTTTGCGACATGCTCACCATAGAGATTGGATAGCCAGTCACCTGGTGCTTTTGGGCATCTGCTGAGCAGGTATGATACAAGGGGCACCAGAACCAACCGTGTATTATAAGTTATAAGGCATAAGGCATAAAGTCAATGTCCAAACTCACCACTTTGTAAAAAGGGAAATTAGTCGAAAAAAAATACTGCCGTTGCATGCCTACGGTCTCAAGTCTCAAACCAATCCTGTCCCAACAAAGTCAGCCTTGCAGTCAGTTCGGCTTGGAAAACAAGAGGCATCAAAGAGGCAATTCCACGGATCAAGTGAATCAAGTGAATCAAGTGCACGTATTTGAACTCCTCCTTTTCTGGCCTCTCCAGAAAAAAAACAAATTGACACAGGTGCACATAGCATCAAATAACATCAACATACATCAACTATCATAAACTATTAAACTATGCTTGTTTTTTCCAGAGCCCCCACCATTTCTCCCAGTGCATTCCGTAGAACGTCACCCAGTACTGCCGGCAGGTCACGAACATGGCGCCATCATCCTTGTTGAAGCCGGAGATGCTGGGAGTGTTCGGCCTCCAGCCGATTCACACCATACGGTTTGCCAACCGTAGCACGCGCCAACACATGTGATTTTACGGTGATTTTACGGTGATTTTACGGTGATTAATGGTGATTTAATGGTGATTAATGGTGATTAATGGTGATTTTACGGTGATTTTACGGTGATTAATGGTGATTTTACGGTGATTTTACGGTGATTAATGGTGATTAATAATGATTTTTTTTAGGAAAAGGGTTTTTCAGGGGATTATAAAAGCCTAACTTAATCCAACTGAGATAAAAATTCGAACAAACATGAAAAAAACATGAATAAACTAGCTAGACATGTGTGTATATATATATATACACTTGTACATACATATATTATATATACATATTAGGTGTACCAACTTCCAGCAAATCAAAAATCTCGCCTGAGCAAGCCAGCCTTGGCCAGCTGCACTGGCGTACCTCGCCTTGGAAAATCATCTAAATTTTGGGGCTGAAAAAAAGAGCTACCCCGAGGTATTGCTCGAAGAGCATCCTGAAGATTCTAATCTGCAGAACCAGCAAACTGACAAGACCTCCGTTTCTCATATGTTCATTGTCCGAATCACACTACTCTCTTGGTGAGCCATACAACCAGCAGCTCAACCTTTCACTAGCCCCCAAACCAAGCCCCCTCCGAGCATTTGCCTCGCCGGCACGGCTAGCCTCCGAGATATACCCTTCAACACAGTCCATTTGCAGTTGTATGAATGCAAATAGAAATTCAAATAGAAATAGAAACAAAAAACAATCAAATCATCTACCACATATATATATATATATATTGTAAATCCATCATCGTTGCACCCATCCAAGGTCTTGAAAGTACATGCTATCCCAACCAGCTTCCAGGTATCACCTTTACGTTTTCCAAAGCACTTGCAGGCTCAGGAGAGCCCACGGGCAGACGGTTGGGTGGGATAGCAGTGTTGAGCCATTTTGCATACGTGTGGGCGTGGCCGCCCTTCCAGTGTTCAGAGCCAGGGAGCTCTTTCAGTCGTTTGGCCGACTTTGCATATCCGAGAACCTTTTGCCATAGGTGGCATTCTGACTTTTGCGCAGTGCGTGGCTGGAAAACACGCTTGAGCGCTTTGCAGGTTGGGAGCCCGTTGCCAGTGTGGGTGAAAGCCCATTCACACTGGTAGCGGAGCTCAGCTCCGTTGCTGTTTGATCCAGGGATGTCAGAAGGTGCTGCAGCAGAGACGTTTGCTCCATCACTTGTACCCAATCAACTGGCAGTCCTGGTTCCGACTTTCGACCCATCAAAAGATGATCTCCAAGAATACACTAAGAAGGTTAAGCTCTTGATGAAGATGTGGCCGGACGGCAAGTGGACCGAACTTGCGACCAGGCTCATCCTTGGATGCTCAGGGACCGCTTTTCAGAAACTGCAACTAAGTAGTGAAAAAGTGACCGCCAATTCTCAGGCATCCATCCAGTCCATCATCGAGATCTTGGGAGGCCAATGGGGCCAGATCCCTCTTGAGAGGAAATATGAAACTGCAGAAAAAGCACTTTTCCGCTGTGTCCAGCGACCCGATGAGACCAATGACAGCTACCTCGCCAGAACTGATGTTTTGTGGCAGGAGATGTTGAGCCGTGAGATCAAGTTGGAAGAACTGCAATCATACATAGTCTTGAGAGGATCGAATCTCAGTGCAGAGGACAAGAAACGCGTCGTGCTGGAATGTGAGGCTAGTTCAGAAGCCAAACTGACCATGAACCGTGTATCAGCAGCCACTAGGTTACTGGGTGCAGGATTCTTTCAAGAAGTGACCACCGGAAAGAAGACCTCCAAACTTAAGACCTATGACGGAAACGCCACCATGTTCACTGACCAGGTTGAAGGTGAAGAGACCTTCATGACCGCCGACATGTCCGAGGAAATTCCTGAGGATGAAGTCATGGACATTTTGGTCCAAGAAGGCGACGAAGATGCCATACTGATCAGTGATTTCGAATCCGCTGCAACAGACCTTGTACAGTCAGATGAGGAGTTGGCAGCAGCCTTTACAGCCTACACTGATGCTCGCCGTAGACTCAGCGACAAAATGAAGTCGCGCGGTTTCTGGCCCATTGCTCAGAAGGGCAAGTCCAAGGGTGGTGGAAAGTTTGTGAAGGGCAAGTTCTCGAAGGGACAGGGCACTTCGAGGAAAAGTTTGCAACAGCGGATCATGGAGTCACGATGCCGACTCTGCAACAAAGTGGGACATTGGAAGGCAGAATGTCCCCTCCGAAATGATGCAGGAAACAATGCAGCCAGATCCTCGCAGGCACCAACATCGTTTGTGCAAGTCTCAGCCGAAGCCAACGAGCCCACGGCGTTGGACATGGAGTTTCTGCAGTTGCCACTGATGACCGAAACCCCATTGGATGTAACTCAGCAGTATATAGCCTCAGGTTTTGTGCAACAAGCGTCCAGTGCTAAGGGTATCATAGATCCCAAAGCCAAGCTGGCCCAATCCCTATGTAGGTGGAACCAGTCGGTTGCTGTTGATCCCCTGCTATCCAGGATTGACGACCTTGCCAAGATCCGAGCCAGTTTGCGTCACCGTGTTTGCACTCGTGAGCCTGACCCAAGCCAATCCGTGAGTGTCAGCAGTGAAGCCGCAGTTTGTTTTGCAACCCATGGCAGTTTTGGAGTGTTGGATTTGGGCGCAACAAAGACTGTAATAGGTAGTGATCAGGTATCTGATTTCCTTAACAGTTTACACCCCAAAGTCCGCAACGCAGTCAAAAGATGTTCATGTAATATCACTTTCCGCTTCGGTAACCAGGGAACCCTGAAGAGTGAACATGCCATGATCGTGCCGATAGAGGGTTTGTTGCTTAAGATTGCGATTGTGCCGGGTTCAACACCGTTTTTGCTGTCAAACACCTTGCTCCGAGCACTTGAAGCCGTCATAGACACCAAAGCCCAGGTCATTGTTGCAGGTAAATCTGGAAGAACCATTCCTTTGTCGCTCACGAGCAAGGGTCTTTTCCTAGTCGACCTGAATGACTTGATCGGCCAACCGGGCCACCATGCACCGTTTTCACAAGATGCCGAAACCCATTCGACAGTCGATGTATTGTCGAAGAAACCAGCGTTGCAGCACCATTGTACCGAACCCAGTCAAATATCCATGCCTCCTTGCCAAGAGAACCGTTTCATAACCATATTCAATAAATCATCCCAACCTGTGACACAACAGAGCCCGAAAGTTCAAGTTCCATGCCATGTTTTCTCACAGGAAATCGCATCACCAGCTCCAGATCAGGATGAACAGCCTTTCAGGTCCAAGTGTGATTCCCACCGCAGTGAAAGTAACGTTACCGGCCATAGTCATGTCGCTGTCGAAGCGCCTCCAGCAAATGCAGGACAAGAGCCAAATGACCAAGCCCGACTTCTCCAAGATGTCCATGGAGGACATGGATCACCTGAAGATCGATTTCGGACGCCAACAACTGGGAAAGACCTTCAAGGCTGTGTGGGATCAGGAACAGACATGGGTGACATGGTTTGCTCAGCACTACGAACACAGCCACAAGTACGAGCATCAGGTCTTCTTGCACTATGTGGAAATGAAGGTGGAGCGTGCAGAGCTCACCCAACAGGCCATTCCTGTGACCAACCCAACACCAAAGATCAAGATGCCAGCCGCCCTGGCGACCAAGAGCCGGGCCATGCCAAAGAGCTATGCAGCTCCCAAGGGCAAGGCAGTAGCTCGCCCGACGGCGATTCAGGAGGAATCTCTGGCGTACGACTACGACCTCGATCCCGAGAACTTCGAGGTGATCCCAGACCTGGAGAATGTGGCAAGTCAGAACCTCCCAGAGGAGGACAACCCTCATGTCCTTGCGATGGAGCAGCGCCTTTACCAGATGGAGAACGTGATGGCCAGAGTGATTCAGCACTTGGAGTCTCAGGCACAGACGCCAGAGGCTGTCGATCAGTAGGCGAATGTCCGAGCCTAGCCCAAATGAATCATGCCGGTGACCTCAGTGGAGACTGCTTCTACTCAGGAGATTTCACCATGGAATGCCATCAGGAAAGAAAGCGTCTTTGGCAGCTAGTGCACCAATTCACCAGTGAACTTGATCAGTGTATCGAAGAACATGCAAGCCGGACATCACATTCCCCAAAGCTTTCAATACTAGAAGTTTTCTGTGGTCCAAACAGTCAGCTGACCCACCAAGCCAGACAGTTGGGTTATCGAGCCGAGCGTTGCGGCAGAGCTCAGTGCGATCTTCAATCCGTGAGTGGACGCAAGTACGTGTTCCAGCAAGTGATTGAAAGACGTCCCAAAAGTGTTTGGTTCAGCCCAACTTGTGGACCTTGGGCAGGGTTCTCATGTTTGAATGGAAGTAGATCCATAAAAGCATGGGATGAGCTGCAGAGAACACGACTCACTCACCTGGAGCAGGTCGCTTTAGGCATTGTGCTGTTTCGACATCAACGTTCGGTAGGGCAGCATTTCCATTGGGAGCAACCCAGAAACTCACTCATGTTTAGGTTACCATACCTTCAAGAAGTGTTGCATTACTTGATGGCTGTTGATGTTGATTTGTGCATTGCAGGTGATCTTAGGGACCCCGTCAATCAACTTCCAATCAGAAAAGCTTTAACCATCCTTTCCACTTCAGAGACAGTGATCCAAGCCCTGACAGGACTTCGATGCACCGGCCAACATTCACACCAACCAATTGAAGGTCAAACCAGGTTTCAAGGTCAATCCATGAATCGATCAACTTTCACTGAACATTATCCTAGGAAGTTTGCACGATTGTTAGCCAGAGTCCTTGGAAAGATCACCATTTGTCCAGAGCAGCCGTATCGACACATGGATGCCACAGCCTTTGCTGCTGAGCACCCTGATGCTCCACCGCCAAAACGTGCCAAACCAGCTGCGAGACTCACGTGGAGCCGCACGAAGCCGGTAGGTGTTTTGCCTTGGGGAAAGCGTCGGAGATGCCTGGGTAAGATCACTCCAGTAGACAGTGAAGAACAATGGAAGGCCATTTTCCAGAAAGTAGACCAACTTATCCCTAGAGTAGGCAAAGCCGAAATCACTGACCCCCAGATCAGGGACCAAATCCAAGAACTGATATCCGATAAAGAAGTGATACATATCAGGGGTTGCAGGGGCAGTAGCCGAACCATTGCACCACCTGATGCACTGATCAAGGGTGAAGCGCCTTGGAGAAGAGCCATTTTCACGGAAAGAGGGTCAGGGGATATCAGGGCTGAAGAAGAATGGGAAATGTGGGAAACGTTGGCAAAACGAAACCTCATCAGACCTTCACACCCATGCCGACTGAATATCACTGTTTTTGCCAAGACATCGCAACACCCGACAGTAGAGCACCGTGTTCCCAGAGGTGATTCCCATGAAGAAGTACCTCTTAATCCCAATGCAGTTCCCGCCGTCGAAGGGATCCCAGCCGAAGAGCCGGGAACCATTGACACGGATGCCAGCCGGAAAGCACTTTTGACACCGTCTCAAGAACAAGACATGCACAATCCACGGCAGTCCGAACGATTCAAGAGGCTCTCCAAAGAAGAACAGCAAATGTTACTTCGAGCCCATAAGAATTTAGGACATCCCAGCCCTGAAAGACTCAGTGCTTTGTTGAGATCACAGGGTTACAGAGCCGAAATCGCCCAGGCAGCCTTGGATTTGCAGTGTTCAGTTTGCCAATCTCAGGTTCAGCCCAAGATTGCCAGACCAAGCGCAATCAAAGATGAACTTGATTTCAACGACCGAGTTTGCTCCGATGGTTTGACTTGGACTAGCAGAAGTGGTCAGAAGTACCACATATATCATGTTGTCGATTGGGCCACCAGCTTTCAGACTGCATGCTGTGCACCAGATCAATCCTCCAATGCTCTCATCCAGTATCTAATCCAAATGTGGTTTAGCTGGGCAGGGGCACCCCAAGAAATGCTTGTCGATCCAGGTACGGAATATAATTCAGAGGAGTTCACACGTTTTGCACAAGCCCACAACATAAAGGTAACCACGACCAGTGTCGAAGCACCCTTTCAGAACGGTAAAGCTGAACGACATGGAGCTGTTCTCAAAACCATGCTGTCTAAGTATGAAGCCGAACACCCAATTTCCAGCTATGCCGATTTGAATGAAGCCTTATGGTGGTGTGTCCAAGCCAAGAACGCATGTAGCCTCCGCCGTGGTTATGCCCCAGAAGTGCTGGTATTGGGTAAACATACCAGGGTACCAGGTGCGATCTCCTCAGATGAACTGCTTCCAGCCCATTTGCTTGCAGAATCTGAAACGGCTCACGGAGTGGCCTTCCGGAAACAACTGGCCTGCCGAGAATCGGCAAGGCGAGCTTTTCACCAAGCCGACAATGACGCTTCTCTGAGAAGGGCAATCCTTAGACGTTCCCGTCCTGGACAAACCCTTTTCTCACCAGGAGAATGGGTCATGGTTTGGAGACAGGGCAAGGGAGACTATCCTGGGTACTGGGCGGGCCCCCAAAAGATAGTAGTTCATGAGAATTCTCAGACCGTATGGACGACAGTTTCAAGCAAACTGTTTCGGAGTGCACCTGAAAATGTGAGACCAGTGACTGCCTCAGAAGCCAAACAGATCACCATAACCGCCAATGAACCTTCCATTTCCATAATCGCACAACAACTTCCTTCGAATGGTACTCAGGGAATGACCAGAGCCATAGATTTACCTGCCCCTACACCACAAATAACCTTAGATGAACCAATAACTTCACCTGTAATCCCACCAAATGTACCAGCATCCAATGACTCGAATTCAGATCAACCTGACCATGAACCAGAAGCCAGCACCAACGAACCTCAGACAGAATCAGGAGGTCCCACTGCAGAGGGTTCCTGTCCAGTAAACCCAGGAACGGCAGTGAATACACCCATTCCTGTCGATGATGATGACGACCTGATTTGCGACAGCCTTCTGTGCATAGATGATGATTCAATCGTGTGTCCTCTTGACGAAGACACCGCTTTCCACATGGAAGTCACGGTAACCTCCGATGACATCAAAGCCTGGAAAGCAGAGGAGAATCCTCATGAAATGCTTTTTATTGCATCCGCTGCACGCCGTCAGAGATCTGAAGTCAAACTTTCTTCACTGACTCCAGAAGAGAAACAACAGTTTCAGAAAGCCAAAGAATCCGAAATTCAGAACTGGATCAGAACGGGGACCATTTCCAAGATCCTCCGCAGCCAAGTCCCACAACATCAAATCATGCGGTGTCGTTGGATTTTAACATGGAAACCTGTTGATGAAGAGAATTCCGATAACAACCCCAATAAGAAACCATCCACAAAGGCCAAGGCCAGGTTGGTAATCTTAGGCTATTTAGACCCCTAACTTGAAGAATTGCCACGTGACAGCCCGACCTTGGGAAGGAATGCCAAAATGCTACTGTTGCAACTGATTGCCTCGAAGCATTGGGATCTCAGATCTTTTGACATCCGTGCTGCTTTCTTGCAAGGAAAACCTCAGCCTGGAAGGACGTTGGCCATTGAACCCGTTCCAGAGCTGGCACAAGCCTTGCAGCTAGCCACCAATGAGATCTGTCGCTTGGAGAAAGGTGCCTACGGACTTATCGATGCACCCTACTTGTGGTTTGTAGCCATTTCGGATGAACTCAAATCCCTAGGTTTTGAAGCCAGTCCGTTTGATCCATGTCTTTTCACTCTCAGAGACCCCCATGACCAATCCATTGCTGGAGTCATAGGACTACACGTAGATGATGGGATCTGTGGAGGAAATAGCCTATTCATGTCAAAACTTGATCAATTGGAAAAGAAATACCCATTCGGTTCAAAGAAATTACACCAATTCACCTTCACTGGAATCGAGATGAACCAACTTCCCAATTATACCATTCACATGAACCAATCCAAATATGTCAAAGCCATTAACCCAATTCCAAAGATCGAAAAGACCAACGTGATGTTTTGGTAACTGAAGATGAGCGCCAGGCTCTTCGAGCCATTGTCGGTAGTTTGCAGTACGCAGCCGTGAACACCCGTCCGGATCTCTCCAGCCGAATCAGCATGCTTCAATCATCAATTAACAGTGCCACTGTGGAAACCTTAGTTTTTGCCAACCAAACCCTGTATGAAGCCAAGAAACATCATGACACGACAATCCAAATTCAACCAATCCGGGTAGAGGACTTCCGATTTTTGGCCTTTTCAGATGCCTCCTTTGCATCTAAGGGAAACAACAATTCTCAGACTGGAATTTTGATCATGGGCACCCACAAAGATATCAGTACCAACACAGACTGTCCAGTCAATCCTTTAGCATGGGGTTCAAAGAAGATCCAACGAGTGGTAACAAGTACCTTGGCTGCAGAGACGGTTTCTCTAAACACGGTTCTCGATCACTTGTCATGGTTACGCCTATGCTGGGCTTGGATGCTGGATTCCAAAATAAACTGGAAACAACCCTCAACCACTTTGCGTAAGCTTCCTGAAACCTATTCCACCGCTACCATCAAATCCCAATATTTCCCAGACAGTTTAGCAGCCACCGACTGTAAATCACTCTACGACCTTGTAACCAGAACAGCGATGCCCAATTGTTCAGAGTTCAGAACACAACTGAATGCCAGGGCCATTAAAGACTTACTTGCTGAGGGAGTATCCCTCCGATGGGTACATTCAGGCGCCCAACTGGCAGACTCGTTGACCAAAATCATGGAAACTTCCTTTCTCAGAGAAACCTTGCGTCTTGGAAGATACCGTTTGAATGATGAGTTGGAGATCCTCAAAAACAGAGCAACCAATCGCAATCGCTTGAAGTGGCTGAATAGCTCCTGTACCGGCCCAGACCATCAAGGATGCAACGATGATTGTTTTCTTTTAGAAAATTTGGATTTTTGATGAGTGTAAATCCATCATCGTTGCACCCATCCAAGGTCTTGAAAGTACATGCTATCCCAACCAGCTTCCAGGTATCACCTTTACGTTTTCCAAAGCACTTGCAGGCTCAGGAGAGCCCACGGGCAGACGGTTGGGTGGGATAGCAGTGTTGAGCCATTTTGCATACGTGTGGGCGTGGCCGCCCTTCCAGTGTTCAGAGCCAGGGAGCTCTTTCAGTCGTTTGGCCGACTTTGCATATCCGAGAACCTTTTGCCATAGGTGGCATTCTGACTTTTGTGCAGTGCGTGGCTGGAAAACACGCTTGAGCGCTTTGCAGGTTGGGAGCCCGTTGCCAGTGTGGGTGAAAGCCCATTCACAATATATATATATATATGATTATATATGTATCCAATTTCACCCATCGAACTCCCCCAGCTTCAGCCAGGTATCAGAAAGACGCCATCCAAGACCGGTGCCCAGGTGCAGCCATCGCGACACGGCACCAGCTCCACTGCGTAGGTCAGGACGCTACTGGAGGCCGACAAAATGCAGGCCACAGGACCGTCGGGATGCGCGTCCTCCGGCGGCTGGCTGAAACAACGATGGCGGCTGGCCCCTTCAAACACCGAGAATTTTAAGGGGCGATGTGGTTGGCTAAGAAACCCGTTTGGGGATATTTGGGGTTTTAATGGACTTTGGGTCAAATCCTATAGGAAACCTTAGTTGTGAAGAAAAAATACAAGGAAAACACGTGGGGTGTTTGAGGGGTAAATTCATACAATTCATGTGAACGCAACCTCTTCTAAATCTGTTTGGGTGGTAATTACTGTACGATCTATATGGTACTATAAGGCGAATCTGCAGAAAATTACGCAACATTATCATCAAATAAATGCTGGAAATTACCATCAGATATCAATATGGATAGATGATGATAGATTGTAAGAGGTTCTTGCGGATTTTCGAGACTTTTCCACCGCTGGGAGCTGTGATGAGCTGTGGGGGTTGGATCCCTAGGAATCTGCGAAAGTCTTCGATTCTCGGCCTCGGAGCTGCACTTGGTGGCATTCAGCACCTGCTGCCAGTTGCCCTTTGCAGCATCCAGGGTGATGTAGCTCCAGAAGGAGCCTGTGCCACTCTCCATAATGGCTCGATGGTAGTAGGGCCAAGACTCCTGTGCTGTATCCCCTGGGTGACAACTGGGGTTCAACCTGCCCATGCTGAAAAAAATCCACGTTCTTACACTGCTCGTGTCCCAAGTCGCTGTGCATTTGACAATGAAATGGAATGACCACAACAGCAATAACAATGATGAATTTGTGTAAATAACATTAAATAATTGTAAGTAGATTACAACGATACTATAAATACGATTAATAGTAATACTGATTCGAAATCACAATCAACAACGTAGTCCGATTCTCAACATCAGAATCAAATTTATACAGATTTATATCGACCATGCCAGATATTGCTGGCATTTGCTGGCTATTGTACATTCCCCCCATTCCTTGCTAGCACCGCTCCTTGACGCCCAGCAAAAGGCTGACGGAACCTGCACCTCGGCCCACTGATGGGACAAAAAGGAGACCAATCATTTGGACCCCCCATGGGCCATCGATTGGAAAGCTACGAGTGCACCATGTCATTGGTGTTAAACGTCATCATTGGGTATGAAAATATGTAACGTATTATACATATTTTATATATATGTACATATTATATATTATATTATATATATATATACATATTATATACTATATTATATATATATGTATATTATAGCTCAAAACATGTCAAAAGCATGTCAACACAACCATCCTATCCACAGGTCCGGTCTACCAGAGTCTACTCCCAGCCCCAAGGCGCCTGATGACTCTCCGAAGATCGTCACTCGATTTGGGTCACCCCCAAAGGCCGCGATGTTTTGCTGCACCCACTGCAAGGCAGCGATGTTGTCCATGAGCCCATAGTTCCCTGGAAACATGGGACAGTCGATCCAAAAGGCTTTTGTTTTTCTTTACCGAGAAAATTGGGATCAAACAACAATAGTGCGGACATGGTGACCAGTCATGTGTGTCAAGGTAGCAAGTCTAAGGACTTGCTAAAGGTTCAAAAGACGGTGCTGCAGAATATCGAAAAGCAACCAGAAAAACCATGGAAAGTCCCGGAACATCCAAAATTGGAACCCCCATTTCACCCGCAGTCGACCAATGTTCAAGAGGCCACCTGAAGAAATCAAGTTAAATGCAGTTGTCAATGATTATCTCCAAGGGTATACATAAATGTATTTATATAACATGAATTAATCTGAATATGATAACGAACACGAATTCACCTGAACTAAGTCCATTTGCGGAAAGTTACCCATAGATGTGGAAGGTTTCCACCATGAAAGTATACATCATTTTCCCAACGGGGTTTCCCATGGCTTTTCCACATCTATGTTGGCAAACCCCAGGGTAATCAAACATGGCTTGCTGGAAAATCCTCCAGTCCGATGATGTCCCATTTCAATGTCCATTTAGTTCGGGAATTATGCCATATTCTTCTAAATATATGTATATATATATATATCCTGAAATATAACTATTTAATTGATATAAGATGATATAACTTATGTCCATTTCCATCCATTTCCAGTGTAGATTTCTGCGCCTGTGGAGCCCTTTGGATCCCTGGAGCGGATGTGGGGAGATCCCAGGAAGCCGAAGACGCCCAGGCGGTACTGAACCGAGACCACCACCACGTCCTCACCGGTGAAATCCGGTGAGATTGTAAGGGAAGTCTCCTAGGGGATATCTATATATATATAATTATCATTATCATTATTATTATCATTATTATTATCATTATTATTATCAGTATTATCATTCTTATTATCATTATCATTATTATTGTCATTGTCATTATCATTATCATTATTATTATTATCATTGTTATTATCATTATCATTATTATTATCATTATTATTATCATTATTATTATCATTATCATTATCATTATTATTATCATTGTCATTATCATTATCATTATTATTATCATTATCATCATCATTATTATTATTCTCATTGTTATTATCATTATTATTATCATTATCATTGTCTTTATCATTATTATTATCATTGTCATTATCAGTATCATTATTATCATTATCATTATTATCATTATCATTATCATTATTATTATTATCATTATCATCATCATCATTATTATTATCATTGTTATTATCATTATCATTATCATTATTATTATCATTGTCATTATCATTATCATTATTATTATTATCATTATCGTTATCATTATTATTATTATCATTGTTATTATCATTATCATTATCATTATTATTATCATTATCATTATCATTATCATTATTATCATTATCATTATTATTATTATGGATTACACATCCATGTGTAATTGTTATAGTCATTGATGGATTCTGTGGATTTCATGCTGGATATGCTAACCACCAGCGGGCAATGAACATGACAGCCCTGGTTACAATGGTTCTGGCAAGACCCAACTGACCAATGGGTCAGTAACATGCAACGTGTCACTTCCTCATTGAAAATGGGGTAGACATATCTATACGTACGGTATACTTCCACTTTATCGCCCTTTTTATAGGGAAGATTGGGGGAAATGAAAAATGATGACAAACCAATGGGATTTGCGATACATTGAGATGCCATGACATCCGACAACCCCAGGGCGGCTCCATCCTGCTTCTGCGCCAGTTCGGTGGCGTTGTATTCGGCATCCGCGGCAGATCCACTGACGTAGCATCCCCCGTGGATCCAGAACAGCACTGCTTTTGGGGCAGCCAGGCTGGATTGGTCGCTGGGAGACCAGATGTTCAAGGTCAAGCAGTCCTGCCAGGGGAAGGAAATATCGATGTGGGATTCACCCCAATGCCATAAACAAAATTGAACAACTAGCAGTTGGATGAAATCCCAACCATTTACGGATTTAAGGTCGTGGAGTTTACCGCAGTAGGCCTGAGGACTAATTGTCCAACTGGATATCTCGTTGTTGAGAAAATCCTTAAGACACACTCAGTTGAATCCATGGGCTGCTCTCAACGGGCACTTGTAGAAGGGGTGACATGTCAGAATCACTACTGGCTATTTGCAGGTGGTACCGTAGCTATCATGAGTCATGCATAGCCATTGGCTTTTTGGATGGCAACGACTTCGCGTATGGCAAGCCAGTGTATCTGATTGTTGAGTTTATTTTCACAAAATGCTTGACCCTCGAAATTGGATGGTTCGATCATGCTACAGCTACAAGTTACGTAAGAGTATCCGGGATTGTATGGGTCCCTTTGCACACCATTTTGAATCGTGGCCATTGAACCAGGTTCAACCGTGTTCAACCCAGATGGTCGGCAATTGAAAATGCATGTGTCCCTTCCATCAGGGCAGCCCAAACTCTCAGCACTTCTGCCCGAGATTCGGTTGTAAACCTCCAAGTGACAAGTCTTTCAGACCAAGAGTCAGTCCATTATGTCCATTCTCGTAGTCAATGCAATGGTTAAAATCTCCGTGTTTTTATCTGTTTTACTGGACATTTTAACAGATGTATGGTTGTGGCTAAAAAACCCTTCCCGCATTTTTCCCTGCCAGGTTGGATTGAGGGAGGATACCCTCTGGTAAACTAACATAACTATAGAAAATCACCATTTTCAATGGGAAAATCCACTATAAATGGGCCACTATGTTAAATTACCAGAGGGTAGCACGCAGTACAAACATGTGGTCAATGTGGTCCTCGGAATATCCAAGGCATTTCCCACGTGTGAGGCCTTGGCACTTTCCAAGGCTTCCAGCGTAGTAGCCGCTTTGCTGTGCACAGGCAGCGCTAAATTCTGTGGCCTCACACCAGGAGAAACCACTGGGTGATAGATAATGGGGATATTGAATGGCATAACTGATAATAACATTATGGTGTGTTTGCACATGTGGTATATTTTAAATGTGATATCAGTGATATCTGATTAAGCATCAAACTTTGGGGCATCCCATTGTTAGACAAACCCATTTGGGCCAGGTCCTATGGAGATTTGACATTATTGAAATACCCGGCCTGGTAATGACTCATTGTCTTGCTTGAAGTTCCTGAGAGAACCCCCTCATGTTTTCCCCCCAAATGTTCACCCAAATCTCCATCGTTTTCTCCATCCTTTTCCTGGCCAAAAACAATCTCCGAGTCTTTGGACTTTGGACCACCATAAAATGTCATAAAATCACCAGAAAGGACCATTTCCACTCATTTCCAGCCAATTTTCAGGCATTTTCCTATGGCATCTTTAAGGGGCCCCGGGGCCCCACCTGGAAGACCTGGTTCCAACTCTCCATCTTCTCCGAGGGTGCCCAGCGGCGCTGCTCCACCGGCGCCTGCGCAAAGGGAATGCCCAGGAACTCGGCCAAGCCAAGAAGCTGGTTACCTGTGGCAGCCGAAAATGGCGAAAACTGAGAAAAAATCTGGGAAACAAATCTGGAAAAAACTGGGAAAAAAATCTGGGAAAAAGGATGGACAAAGGGAATGGCATCGAATTTCACCAAAAACCAAAGGGCTGAAGCCATGAAAGTTGGGATTTTGGCCATCAAGATTGCATTAAACCAACCATTTGATCAGGATATCCTGGTGATATGGCATGTTTAACCAATCTTAACCAACGATATGGGAAATAGGTCAAGTCATACCTTTTTGGACCCACAAGTGGCTGGTGAATTTCATATGGCAAAAAAGAGCTGTAAGGAGCAGGGGTGAGATGTTGGGGGTATAGATGAAAGTTTGAAGCAGGAGGAAACTGTCTGTGAAGTTGTGAACAAATTCGGAGTTCCTGGAAACTCCAAACGGCCATCTGTTGAAACACGCAGCAATCATCCCCCGCAAAAACTGCGGGAAATTGCTGGAATACTTCTCAACAAGACCAACCAAAGCAACTTCAAAAAGAATCCGCCCCCTTTCCCACAACCATCTTCCACCGCTCCAACACGCTCCAACCTTGAACGGGTCCAGTGCTGGTGTGCACCACTTTGCTACTCCCTGGCCGTTTTGGCGCCATGGCCCGCTCCGCCCTTCCGTGCGTATCATGGGGCATCAACGAGACATTGGCCGATGGGATGCGACAGGTGTCGAAGCAGACGTTGGGGCCAGGACGGGAGGCCATGTCCTGCAAGGGAAAAACCCATTCAGTTTTTTGGCCAGCCAAAAATTAGGGGAAGTTGCATACGGGTTAAATATGGTTAAATGATGTTAAATGTGCCATGGTCAAGATAGATGGGATGAATGTTACATGTTTTGTTTCTAAATGGGTATGTATGGCCCAAACATTGGGTGGAAGTCGCTGGGGTTGAGGCATCGTTCTTTGTATTGTCAGTGTTGATGGGCTTCAACAGCCTTGTAAAAATGGGAATTGGAAACCACTGGACAGGACTCAACTCGGTGATTTCAGTGGTACAAGTATGAGGGAGCACAGAGTCATGGCAACAACAGACACTCTCAAGTTTTAGCTCTATAAATTTAATAAAATGAAGCAAGAAGCAACAATACACCAAACCGCTGCGATTTTAATAGTCATTCATGTCAAAGAGCAAATGCTATGTTCACGGGATTTCATGAACCATCATGATTCATGAGCCCTTCCTTGCCGATTTCTCTCTTGGAACCGCGCCTGAGGTGTGCACACCTTCCTCCACGAGCATTGGGCTCGAAGACATTCCTCCTTCCCAGGCGCGAAGCATTCGTCGCTCCAGCGGCATTGCTTCATGCGCAGGTCCCAAAAGCATTGGTTCTGCGTGTCATCCCAGGTGGCTCCTGCGATCCGTGGAAGAACCTCAACCAAACGTATCAAAAATGGGAAGCACTAACTACATTCTCTCCAACCCAGCCCAAAAAGCGATCTTCAAAAATACCCTTTTGTTCACCATCACCGTGATCATCATCCTCATGATCTTCAAGTGACCCCCATCCCCCACTCCAAACTCAGAGCACTCAGAGCCCATCCATACCCATCCCAACGGTCCCAACCTGTGGTCAGTTCACTTTCGCATTCCCGTGGCGACCGTCGCGCTTCGCAGCCTCTGGCGGCCACACAGCGCTTCGCCGCCACATCCCAGGCGCACAAGTCTTGGCGGCGGAAGGCCAGGCACGTGCTGAGCGACCGGTGCTCCCCACAGGCTGCGGACACAACGGGGAACGCAGAGATCCAAAGGATCCAAAGGTTGGTTAGCTTCAGAAACATGGCGGACGCTGAGATATTGCAAAATGGCTCAAATCTATTCAAATCTATTCAAATTGACATTGAACTAGCACTGTTCCATAGCATTCTGTCAAAGTTTCTCATGCTTTTGTGTTCATTTCTTGGAAGGAACTATTGAAGCAATTGCATGTACCTCATAGAGGTATGGACTCAAAGTTTGGATCATGAACGTGCCCAGTTTCTGCTCCACGGTTCGGTTTAATTGAGTTGTCTAAAACTTCAAGGATGTGTAGATTGTGATTCGACCTTTGAAGATAACATTGTCAGCTCTTCTTCGATTCAGTCATTTTGCAAGCCATTTAGACCTATCTCCATGTTCCAATGACCACGGAGTGTTTTCTGGCAAGTTCAGCGGTCTTTTCCAATCCGTTGATCTCATTTGATCTCCTATCCTTCAACAATCCATAAAGTGGCTGCTGGTCAAAGACCGATCGTCAGTCTGTTCCCGAATTATAAACATGGATACAAGTACCAGTAATTCTGGCATATTCATGCATATTCCATGGTGATCTTGTAATGGTCAAGCATGGTTTGGATGCCCCAAGCCCATTTATGTTCAGTACAGGATAATACAGGATGCATGTTGTGCAAACTCTTCAAGTCCTCCAATTCGCAGCTCGTATACTCGGTGTTGCTTGTGAAATCTCAACATATAAACACAATTCATCAAAAACATCATAAAACATCCAAGGTTCAAAAATGTCCTAACCTCAAGTTCCATCTGCAAAATGCTTCCCTTGAAACATCCCTGGAGAAACCCCTGCCAATCCAGCCACCTCCAAACCGAAGGTGGCATCTTCCAAGAGACCAATGCTCTGTTCAATTGCCTGAAGAGATGGGCCACAACTGGAACCCCCATAAATCCATCTCCAGAATCATGTGTTTGTCTGAAAATGTGGTACCAGTATATATAGATGCATTATATATATCCCAATTTTTGTTTGTGATTGAGCATGTTTTATTATGGTCATTAGCGGTCATGTTTTCCATGAAACAAATTGTGATTTGGATCCCTCTGAGATGGGGCTGGGGATTGTGTTTGGGCCATCCCTGGTGGATCTGGTGCTGTGGCACGTTGTCGCAAGTTCTATCTACGGGAACATTGCGGTTTTTGTTGAAGAATAAGCTCAGTTGTCAAGCTGTCACTCTATCAATCTACTGTTTTCGGTGAGCTTCCGACATAGTAATGCTATGTAATGCTGCAAGTGCTGCATCAAATGCAAAGCCGCAAAGCTATTCTCACGTGATCACGTCTAGAAACGGTAGTATCTTCAATCCCTGGATCCAATTCCATCCCAACAGACTGCCTGGGAATCTCGCTGGTATTCTTCCAGAAGTACTTGCAGGAACTGCGCCTGGCCAAGAGGACGTGGGACAAAATCCAAGAGTTCCACCGTACCTTGTGACACGATGCCGGTTGGTAAAACCGTCTCTTCCCCTACAGAAACCCGCCTCGGATGCGTACTTGTTCTGCTCATGCCTTGACAAAAAGATGTGTTCCATATTGTTCCATGAAGCAAATGTGAGCCAACATCCATCATCTAAGAGGATTTCTTCAGCATCTGTCCACTGACTTTTCTCAGGATACTGCTGAAGCACGAAGCTCTCTCGCTGCAGCATGTCGTACCTGGCTCTCGGAGTGTCAATGACAGTACAAAGTTTGGGGATAGCCAAAGCAACTATGTTTGTTCCCTTATGTTGTGCATGATGTCCATTGATTTCCCACATGTATATGAGCAAAAAAAAAGGCTGAAGTTTGAGCATCGTCATCTACAAAAAATAATGCTCAAAAACTCCCCACCCCAATCGATCCTAATTGAAACTTACCTATTGCAGCCTGTCTGCCAGACTGCAGCTTACAATTATGGGTTGAGGGTCCCAATTTCAATCCGTGTACCTGAACCCCCGGTAAGTTGTTGAGTCAGTCCAGCCAAAAGCCGCGCAAGTAGTATAATGATGTTCAACATCTTTTCAAATGGAGGTAACCTCGGCCCACAGAAGTAGTTGGGTCTGTCTGAAAATACCACACCCCAAAATCCATCAAAATCCAATGCCTTACATTGGTTCTCCTCATTTTCCCATGAAAATTGCCATTTTTTGGGGGGTTTGTCATTACTTTCCCAATTCGCTTCTGGTCATTTCGGGGTATCCCCCAACTTTGACACAGCCAAACTTGGAGATCACCCGTCCAAAATCGCATCAGAGAGGCTCGCTTCGGAGCTCCACTAACTGGTTCTGGGAAGTCTCCAACTGCCTTGGAAGAAGAGCAGAACAACTCTACCCTCTGGTAAACTAACATAACTATGGAAAATCACCAGTTTCAATGGGTAAATCCGCTATAAATGGCCATTTTCAATAGCTATGTTAAAGTACCAGAGGGTAGGTGGTCCTTGAAGCTTCCCCTTTAAAAATGAGATTCACCCTCCCCTCAAACGTGACGGTGTTAATGGGAAAATCATCTATAAATGGTCTAAAATTTGCCTTGCTCTGTTTGATTACTGCAGGGTAAACATCGAAAAAACGGAATTTCAGCAGCGCCAATCACAGTTGTTTTGGAAAATCCCCAAATCATGGTGGGTTAATGGGGAACCGCATAAATTATTATGATACTCCCCAATATTAGTACACCCCCTTTTATAATCATCAAGCAACTTCGGGTTTTTGAAACAGCTCAGTTGATATCATTATCCCAGCAGTGGGCTTTAAATCTCAAACATCTTCAAACCAACTGGGGTCCTTTGAAGCCAGGAAAACCGGAACCGTAATTACTTTCCTGTTGCTCATCACGATTTGCCATCACCATTTGCTGTTAAAACACAATTCTTCTCATGTGGTAAACCTGACTTGAGAAGGTAGGGTGGACAAAAGGTAGGAATCTGGTATTAGAATGCTAGCGAAGAGCGAGCAGCTCTTAGCGCACTGCTGTATTTCAAAGCTGAATATATGCGCGAAATCTCCCCGACCACCGAGGAATCGAAAGGGGCCAACTTAGGACCCCCGAAGTGAAGTTAAGGGATACGGAACCAACAAAAATCAGGGATTTCAACCATGCTCCAATTGGGGTGATATTTAGCTTTACCACCTGAGCAGTTGTATCTCCTTTTGTTGTTCCCTGTGGGTGATCCTATTGAAACCCCAATTTGTATAGGTTGTATAGGTTGTATACCCGGCAGAGCCCCACATTTGAAGGTTGATCATCATTTTCCTCACTAAAATTGTCATGTTTTTTTTAAGGGCAAACCCCCATTTTTGGACATATAAATATGTATGTGTATAATATATATATAGCTATAATATACATACATATATATATATCGGCATATATATATATATATATAGCCCAATGAATTTGGGATCATCAATCCCATGTGTATCCTATATGTATCCCATATTTCATCATATTAAGGACGCTTGGGGTGATGGCCACAGTCACACCATCGCCAAGTGACTCCAGCAAGTGCCGTCGTTGGGCGTCGCTGTGTTGGAGTTCGCCCATGGTCTTTGCAAGGGCCTACCACGGGAAATCACCGCTGACACAACTGGAAGTAATACAAAAGGAATTGAAGTTTGGGTATGGCGACCCATACATGCCCTACCTTTTTGTCACTTGGACAAAAAAACCATCCATCCCATGAAAGTCAGCGGAAACGCAGGGGAAGAGTCACATGATGTCGTTTAGGCACCTGCCCAAAAATAGCCAGCAATAACGATGGGAATAGCGTCATGTCCCAAAAAATGTTGTGGCAAAGCAGGATTCCCGAACCAGAATATATCGAATCATATCTTTTGGACACACCCAGATCTTTCAGGATTTCTTCGGCAAAATCCTGCGAAATCTTTGCCAAATCCCCTGAGATCAACGGGTGACGGTTCAAAATTGCCAACTCTGCGGCCTGAAGTGCCACCCCATAGCACCTTGTCTTCTTCTTTGCAAGCACTCTCTAATCGTAGAAGCTCCTGATGAGGTCGTGGATCAGGTGCGGTCTCTGTTTTTCTCAAAATAAATGGAGGGACTCAAATCATCAAAGTGACCAAATAGCTATGGATCCACTGACAATATTTTCCCCATGGCAAGGTGAACGCAAGGTCCATGCATCCCTTCCTTTAAAACAAAAAAAATAGTCATTACTCGAGGATATTTGGTTCAGTTATAAATACATATAAATACTAGTTGCTTAATATTGACCACCGCTATGTTTTCGTAGTTATTCATCATACTATTAATCATCCCCCCAAACGAAACGAAAAACCTAGCACTTCCCCTTGTCGTTAGTGGAACTCCCAAGGGGCCATCCCTTGGTCGGCCTCCTTCGTCTCGTCAGTGTCCTGACGCAAGCGCCTCATCATGACCTTCCTGGGCAGTTGGTGGAATGACTGACAAATGGCCATATGGGGTATCCATTGATAGGGGGGCTGGGGGGGTTAGCACTGACATATTTCACTTTTGGGGAGGTTACCCCCCTCCCCACCCAGAAATAGTTCAGCTAAAAATGTATGGTTTATATACGGTAGAATAAGTCAATTACGCATCAGCAGGCACCGGTGGATGTGGTCAGGTGCGTGCAAACCAGCTGAAGCGCACATTTCCATGTTTGTTTTCTCTCTCCAAAGCGGGGGAGGTGCAAAACCACCCCCCAGAAATTCCATTGCAGCAGTAGGATTCCGTCCGTTTCTGACAATCTTCAAAGACCAGGGCTAAAGTCTGACATCCGGAAGACCCCCCCACCTCTTTTGGAAGCCCAAAAACACGTGGGGGGGTGGATATTTCACGTGGTTGGGTGAAATATTTCTCAAAAAAAATCTTGCCTTACCCCCCCCCCAATATTCCAGGGTTAAAGGGAGGGGGATCGAATAATATGGCCATATAGGACAATAATAGGCCATAATATGTCATATCCTATTACTGTATATCCACATTTCTCCAGTTATATCCAATATGGTAGTGGGAGAGAATGGGATATAATAGGATATGACAATGAATATGGGGGTGCAATGAGATATAATAGAATATGAAATTGTCGACTTACTTGGAATTCATGAGTTATGGTAATCCATCCCCTAGTGGAGATCCAAACATTATGGGTACATATTGGTATATCAATCCTTATGAAATGGATTGATGACCATGCCACAAGATGGGTAAACAATCCAACCTTTGGTTCATGGCGCAATATGGATGGATGCAATATTGTATGTGTCCGTCTATCTATCTGGTCACGCGTGCGTATTGGACCCTGGAGGTTTCATGCCAATGGGATACTTTGGCTTGTCCATTTGGTGAACCCTTATATGTTGTTCCGCTTTTTGGATATTGCTGACAATGCTTTGGCTGATAATTTCGCTCATTAGAAGCATGTCATATTGTAATTTACAGTGTTCCTATGAAATTACAGCTTTTATGTCGAAAATGTTCATGAGTGTGCAAGGCTGAACATGTTCGCAGCCCCTCGGCGTTCGAGTTGGCTGCTCTGGCGGCATTCCAGGCATCACAAAAAGTAGGATTTCTTGGATCAGGATCTCTTAGTTCAGATTTCCATAATTCGAATTTCTTCCTGGGGTATGTAGATATTTTGCAGTCACCTCTGATATAATATTCCTTGGAATTAACGGTTGTGGAGGCTCAGACAAAACAAAATATGCATACAGACTTTGCGTACTTTGGGAATTCCTCGTTTCGAGGTAAATGCCAATTCCTTTTTTATTTCCATGATTTTGTCAGCTTCTGAATACATATAGAAAAACATGTACAAATACATATGCAGCATGTAATCATATATATATGTATATATATATATATTCTTGTGTATATAGTACAAATATAAAGAATTATAATATATATATATACTATATATATATATATAGTAAACATGCGTAAACTATTTGATGTATGTAAATGTAGACATCTGTGTGACACGTGCATCTCTCACGTGAATGCAAGCCAGAAGTGGAGCATGTTTTTTTGTCGCACTGCCAAGGTTCTCGTTCTGCAGGAGCGCTACGAGATGTTCAATCGGCTGGGCAGGCACCACCGCATCACGCAGAGCATCGGCGTCCATGTCCTGACCGGTAATCCAACTCCTAGACCTTCCTTCCATGAATAAACATCTTCTCCAAGTCCCTGTGTGCATGGGGATCTCTGACTTCCAAAATTCCTCTACCGGAAAAACAAAATTGAGGTCACCACGAGTCGGGAAAGTGATTGGCTGCGTCCCAATTTAGGAAAGAAACCGCGGCACCAGAGATTCCCCGGACAATGTCTGGACATGGCAAAACACCAAATCCAACACATGTGGCCATTTGTTGATATATTATGATATAATATACAATGATATATTATTATTCCTCTCCAGTGACCAAAAGATTGCTTGAAGCTTCAAAAAAAAACTGGTTGGAATAGAATATCTACATCATTTACTCCCCATGGTTTCGGCATAGACTCCAGCATCAAATCCCTCAAAAATGGCCGGTCACCTTGTGCATGGCAAGGCCGTGCGTCCGATTTGAGCCATGGACTGGCTGTAAACGCGTTCAATTATCCCCAATAGACCAGTGTAGTGACGACCACTGTATTGACGGTTAACCCATCAACCATGTTAAAATCAAATCTAACATGGTTGGTTTTTGGATGAAATTCGGATTCTTTAGACTTCAACATCGCAAATTGAGGCGGGTCTGGTCGAATCTACTTTTTGCAAGGATCACCCCCCGCCAATGGCTGGTTTTAACGAGTCAAGCTGTGCAAGTTCAACCAGCCCATTCGGGGTCCACAATTTTGGTTCATACCCCCAAGCCATCACCGGCGCCCATCGTTTCTTCAAGTTCTTGACAGGTCATGATGGCAGCCAACATCTTGTCAGCGCTCACCTTTCGGTGCAAATGGCAAACCATCGGAGGTCACAAGGATCCACTGAAGACTGGATTCACTTGCTTCATCTTGGATTCATCTTGCTTCAAAGCAATTCCTACCAGGTCCTACCACAAACAAAGCAATGGCTGCCTCATGAGATGCCAAGCATGCGGCCAGTTTGCTGCCCAATGGTCTAGGCGCGTTCAGTGCAAGATGCGGGGTGATTTGAGTCAAGCACTGATTGCAAAGGAGACGCAGTTTGTAATAATACTGGAAACAAACTGATCAAAAGGCATTTGCAGAACATGCTCTGACCATTGCGTGGAACATGAGATCCCCTGCTGACCCTATACTTAAAAGCGGCTGCTGCTAGTAAAACCTGCTGGTAAACACGAGAAAATCTTGGTTGAGTCTGAATTGCAATAGGGCTCAAAAGGTTTCCCCCTTGGAAAAAAGGTGCTCTCTCAAACCAGTTTATTGGTTGGTTTGGGTGAATTTTTTGTAGCGCCAAACCTGAGTGGTTTACCGTGGAAAATGACCTCTCAATCCACAAAAAAATGAAAGTTGGAAAGAATGAATGGCCAGTCGACTGCAAGTAAGATTATCTTTAGTATGGAAGTATCACAGCGTTTCATGTTCCAGGCGTCAAGTCCCCAATTCTGTTGACCAACCAGCAGCCGGTTTTTTACCCTATGGGCCCTGCCTGGGTCGCAAAGCCCTTCGGGAGCACTCGAGTCCAAATCGCTGTGGCCATTTTGTTCAACGCCCCTGTGACAATCATAGATGTCCTGGCCAACACAAAGGGTGATGAGCAGTTGCTGTTCAACCCATGGATGGAAACACACCCAGGGAACATGATGAATATGTGGGTGTCTTACATTGCTTTAACATGTTCAAAGAATATTCACTTACCATAGATTATTAAGGTACCAAGTGGATCAAGTGGAAACACCGACCATCTGATTAGTCATCCAACCAGTAGGAAATTCCTTCTACTGAGGGCCTCAATCTTTGGACTTTCACCCTGTTTATTGGTTGCTTCAGTCATACCCGTGGTGAAAATCAAACAAATATTTCAGATATTAAAGATTATAATTATGAAGTATAATGAAGTATATCATCTGTAATTTCTGGCTGAACAATGGTACAATCCCACCACTGGTCAAGGCTGGTCGTACCCCAGAGCTGTTTAACATCCCCGACATTTTACACCAAGTGATCAAAACCGGCTCCTTCCCAAATTGGCTAAGCACTCTTGGACGACGTCCAGGGGCTCCTTCACAGCGGCGGAGGCCGTGGCCAAAGTGACCCCCCAACGATTTCTTTTCGGCGGCAGATGGGGACTTGAACCAGAAACTTGTTGTACCCCTTAGACTCAGACTTCAGCCCACTCAAACCTGCCGTGTTTTTCTGAGCTTTCGGAGACCGCTTTCACGCTCCAAATGAGTTGAAACATGTTGAAACAGTAGATCGATTTGGATCGTCCCGGGTTTTCGGCTCATCATCGTTCATCTTCAAAATCCCCCCCGGAAATTGCCGCGAGCAAGTTGCAGCCGGAAATTGCCACGAGCAAGTTGCAGCGGACTGTCTCCAAAGCGGCTTTCCAAGCGCGGATTTGATCCCGCCTCAACCAAGAAATCCCAGGCTTCTCTCGTTGCCATTGGCGATTCCGTCAAATAGTGCAAGGCTGTCCAACCATTGTCCTTATCCGTCTGGTTGATGTTTGCTCTAGCATTCAAGAGCAGCTGCATGATGTTCACCTTCGAAGTCTGTGCAGCCATCATAAGCAGGGTAAAACCACGTTCGTCTGCCAGGTTTGGGTTGATGTGTCTCAACATACTACCCAACTTCTCTTCATTGGCTTCTAGAACGGCATCAAAAGCATCATCTATCAAGGCTTCTATGCGGATCACTTCAGCATCATCATCCTTAATGTTTTGAAGGCCTTGCGAAAAAGCTACTTCCAACGCCTCATCAAGGGCGGGTTTCGGTCCATGACCTTGCACCAGGCAAAGCAACGCATCCCACCAAGAAAACTTTAAGCCTTTGGGGTAAAAGTCTGGGTGATATCTCATCTCACCCAGGTTGACAATGGCGCCAAACCCATGCTCTGCACGGGTCACGCCACACAGATCTGACTCCGTGGGCATGTCATGTGACTCCTCGGATTCAACGTCAGTCTCTAAGATGTAGATTCGCTCTTCTTTGGGCACGTTCTCCAAAGGCATCAGCTTCATCCTTTCCAACTTGTCTGGAGCACCTGCCATGCACAGCCGGTCGACCATGCTGGACTTCACACAATCCGAGCCTGTCTCGCCAGCAAAGGTCCAGGAAAGTCCAAATATGTCCTTGAAGATCCTGTCTTTGGCCAGTGGCTCGCCACCCAGGAAAGCCAGAAATCCACCCTTCAGCACAAATTCGCGCAGGGCCTGGTCCATCTTGGGGCTCCATAACTTCCGGGGTAAATCAATGTAGATATCGCAAACCAGCACAACATCAAAGTTCTGGAGGACGCTACAAACCTCGGGTGGATTGCAGCTTCGTTGTTCCCACACCATTTCCGGGAAAGCCTCTTTGGCATATGCTGTGAGCGTTTCAGCGTAAGCCATATCGCCGCAGAATCCAAGACCTCCAAGGACCAAAGCCCTTTTGCTTTTGAATTGAATCGTCCAGGTTGCGCGATCGGCACGGGGGTCGAAAGAAGCCAGTTCTTTCATCTTCTTGTAGGGATCGAAATCTGACAGAGATGGAGAGGTATACTCCACAACGTAGGCGGGATACGCGTGGTGATTTTCAAACACAATCACTTCCACATTGTTCTTCGAAGTACAGGAATGTGAACCAGCTGGAGCCTGTTGGTTCTCGGGCATTCTCAGAAGTTTGGCCCGCAACTCTCGGCAGGCCCAGAACTTGCATCCCATGTGCTTAGTCTTGCAGTTGTCCACGTGCGTTTGTATGGGCTCCCGAGTCTTGCAAACCCCAGCTGCAACCCGGCACAGGATGATCTTTCGAGCCTTCTCTGGTGCGTCCCGACCACTGCGCACAAAGTGGTTGGCCATCCGGGGATCCACCGCAAAGTAGTGACCAACGCCGTACATGTTGAAGGTCCGATTGGAGTAGGCAGTCTTGAACCCATCACCAGTAATCTGACCAATGTCATCTGCCCCATGCCATAGCCACATCTCTGGCTCCCCAGGGAAACCATCCTTTACAGCCTCCAAATGTGCTTCATACAGGCTCCAGAGCTTCGGATTTTCAACTCGCTCAATGATTTGTAGCTGGCTGTCGGGCGGCATGTGTTTGCCAAAATAAGCAGCCAGCGCATTCCATTCTGCGCAACCTGCTTGTACTCGCTGCAAGGATTTCTCTGTATGAGACTGCCAGAATTGTCGAGCGTCCAGATGTCCAGATGCCATACGCTAGAGCAAAGGCATGTAAAGGCAACAAAAGGTGGAGTAATTAGAGTGGCTGATGTGTGTGTGTGTATATGGTATGTTTGTGCAATTGTCTCATTTGCCAGTGCAGTGCCACAGTTTCCACATGTTTCCGCAGTTGCGACAATACAAGCTTGACACCTTACAGGTACGATCAGAATCACATGGCTCATGGCACTGAAAACTTCACCAGGCCACGGGATCGGAGTCCTGTTCAATCAACGCCCGCGCTCCAGCCTGGGAGTCAGCACGGTGAATCCAACGCTCGCCCGCAACGGGATGAATCCCCAGTCTGGTTATGGTATAACTGGGAGGTTAAACAGCGATTGTGGGGATCTGCCACAGTTGAGTTGAAATTGTTTTGAAAGAATGGGTGCATCCAAGCATGTTTTTGTTATCCATTTATCCATGTTTTGTTTTAAAAAAAGTGGTGTCCCACTTCCCCCAAAAACCCTGCGAAGAACAAAAAACGGCTACATGGTCCACTGATCGGAGACATTCCAAAAGAGCCCATCATTGCCGGGGAAATCAATCTGTCTTTTTCAACACAGCCAAATTACCGGTAGGGTTCAAGCTCGCCGGGAAAGTGTTGCCGTTGATCATCAAACATTGTGCTGCAAGCACATCAATCATAGTCAGTTACCCTCTGGTAATTTAACATAGCTATTGAAAATGGTGATTTATAGTGAGTTTTCCCATCAAGAATGGCCATTTTCAATAGCTATGTTAAATTACCAGAGGGTAGTAGTACAAATCACGACCTTGTTAGTGGAAGCCTTGCGTCACAGCTCAGCTCCAAGTAGTCACGAACGATACCACAGAACTTGTTTTTTTTAGGGAATCCACCCAGTTGTCGTATTGGAAAGGGTCAAAAACTCTGATATCTGGGTAAATTATTATATTTCACTCACCTGAATTAAGGCCATTTGGGGATCATTTCCCTTACTAACCATTATTCCAGTGAGGGAGACCAGTGAGGTCGTTATAATTTACCCAGATATCATAGGGCGGAATGGACATCCATTTGCTGATCAGCGATGTTAATTGATTTTATCTATGTTGCCTTGAACATTTCAGTGTTCCAGGGTTCAAAAGCATACCAAACACGGATATCCCGTGTAAGCATAGGATAGATAAGATAATGATTTTGGGGATAACCAATGACAACCTCAATCCCTCAATCCCTCACATAGAAATCCCTTAAAAACACATTGGGATTCAGGCGAGTTCTTTCGGCCAGGTCGCCGAAGTGCTTTGTAGATACGTCGGCGTGATGGTGGCACCAGCCACACAGGCCAAAGCATCGACGCCTGGCAGCGCCCAGGAGGGGATGGATGGATTAACCCCCAGTTCATGGTCATCTTAATGGAAAAAAAACATCAAAAAAACCATGATAATGTCAGTCATGTTCATGGCGAAAACCATGATCATATATGATCATCCATGAAATTGGGGAGCAGCCTGGTTTCAAAGTTTCTTTCGTGATCTCATTCTGCTTGGAATTCAAAAGCCTTTGGTCCCAAGAGGGAAAGAAGATCGCTCCCTCCGGCTCCCTCCTCCAACCCAAACTGGCCGGAACGCCTATTGGCCACCATTCATCCGAGAGGCCCCTTGACAGGGTTGTGATATAGGCCTTCCATTCACAGTGAGACAATGCTGGAAAGGCTATGAAAAGCAGAATCAGGTGCCGGCGACTCATTTAATCATCCATGTTAGTAGGATTTTCCACTATAAACCATCCATTTTGGGGTACCTCCATTTATGGAAACCCCCAAATGAAGTCTGTCAATGATTGCACGGCTGCCACTCTTAGCATCGAAAATACACTTGCAGGGAGTCACAGAACTCAACCCTTTACAGCAATACCAACTGAAGCGGGCGAAGTTCAACCCCAACCTTTGTGGCTGCATAGTTTGCTACGTAGGCAGATCCTGCCAGCTGCAAAGGCTACAAAAAGACACATTTTTGTTCTCACATCGCCCTTGCATTGTGATCAGAAATCCCAAATCCTCCTTCGAAACTTGGCGAAACTGATTCCTAAGTTTGATGAAATCATCTTTGGGCTCCATGCTTCCACTACACCAACGCCAGGCCTACTTCACCAGCAATCGACGACATCAGCACGATGCCTCCGGGAACGCCTTTCAAGTAGCTGTCCGCTTGGGACGACGAGTGAGCCAGGTATCTTCAAGAAAATGGTGACGTCAGAGTCAATTCCTAAGAAAAAGGTACCAAACATGTCAAGAACATCAATATCATCAATATCTTACAGTAAACAGATTCAATGGTTAAACCAAAAAGTTGGTTTTATAATTAGCATGGGGATGTTGACAGAGGTGAATGAGTAGATATCTGATAACCAAGCAGGATCGGGAAGCTACGCCAACACTTGTAGGGATGTATATCAATGGGCGCATAAAGGCGATCCTTTCCTATGATAGAGACAGTACAGAGCATTAGAAGTAATGGACCCAACCCTAAACATCCCTAAACATCCCTAAACATCCCTAAACTATACAAAATCATAAATTCCAATCAATTCCACTCAATTCCACTCAATTCCAATCAATTCCACCATAAATGAAAGGTCTTTATTCTGGTATAGACTTGTATACCCCATCCCAAAAAAAGAGTTGTGTTTTGTCATCAAACAGCTGGACGACAAGTTTCGCCTCGCCTCGCAGCTTCAACTCATTGCCAAAGACGTAGCTGGCAGTCGCCACGCTTTTCACGTTCACATCAACAGATGACATGAATGAACCTGCGGTCAATACCCTCTGGTAATTTAACATATGGAAAATCACCATTATTAATACTATGTTCATGGCCATTTTCCATAGTTAAATTTCCAGAGGGTATCCATGCTGAGGTTGACGAGTTCTCGTTCATGCTGAGGTTGAGTCCTAAGAGAGTGACACATGCCATCACATGAGAAATCAGCCATGATTGAGGATTTCTTGTGCTCAAAAACTGGCTGGTCTTCTTGCATCTGGGGCCACATCCTTTATGCCACAAAGCTCTCAGTCGGTGGTAAAGTTGAAGGATCATCATGACACATCGCGCTACTGGGTGGCGTATACCCCTTCTCATGCTCTCCACTATCCCTATCCCCACTGTTTGAAAACTTCGGTGGATTTTTTTGATATCCACACCGTTTGAAATGTTGAAAAGCATCTATCTTCAGATTCCATCCTTTCTGGGCACACCAAAAAGCACCCTGTCGCTTCCAAGCCCACCCTGTCGCCTAGGTCAGCATCTAAAAAGCTACCCGTCGCTCCCACATGTGCCGCGTTGTGGATCAACAGTCTCACCTCTGGCGCTGACCCAGTCCATCTTTCTGTCTATCCATGATAGTACGGTGGTGGGGCTCTGGGATATAGTGAGATATGATATATATATATATGTGTGTGTGTGTGCGCACTTACACCTCGCATCGCATAGGTGCAAAGATATGAAATATGTGGCTAGACAACTCCAAATTCACAACAACTGCTGATGCAAGGGGAAATCACGAGGGCATGGTGCTCGCCATGGTAGTGTCTTGTGGGTGAATACGTGGTTATTCCACTCGTCTTCGTTGAATTAATGGAGGTACGGGGGGACAAATACAAGGGTTGGATCCCACATGATCCCACCTTTTTGATACATTGGTAAGCTCCGTTTCCATCCTATTTCTTGGCAGGCTTCTTGTGGCCATCGTCGATAGCAGGGTATGAGTCGCCTACTAACCTTATCTACCATTCTGGCCACGTTCTTTCGATGGTTTGAAATATATAACAGGCGCGCCAACCATTTGTAGCCGCAAATGACTGCCTGGTATCTAGTAGCCTAAGCTGCCTGTTCACCGGGTTAGATGATCAAAGCGTATAGTGACTATAGTGCTCTCCATGTTCCTTTCCATCTGTAACCACAAGAATACCCAAGTTCCATCTCAAGAAAATCCACCAACTTCCATGGCCCATGACTCTAAAACCTCGGATTTTCTTCCATGAAGATGTTCCCAATATGTATATATATATATATACTGTATGTTTCCATGTTTATATATATATATATTATATATATATCATGGGGGGAAACCGCATCGAACTACCATCCTGGTTTCACATATTGAGACCCGTGGTGACTTGGGGATTCCCTATGACTTTTGAAAAGAATAACACACACACAAACATATAGCATATCCCTATTATAATCCCATGATCATCCCATTCGTATTCCATCTTTATCTCATGACCATCTCAGATAATCTCATTATATCAGATTATACCAGATTATATCTGCCTAAGCCAACCACTGCCACATGTTGGACATGTTCCCCTCGCCTCGCGGCCTTCCAACATCTCGGCGATGCGGCTCTCGTTCAGCTGCGCCAGGTCCTGCGTGACGAGATCCACCTGGAGAGTTGACGAGTTGACGACGACCGTCCTTGAGAATAAGGGATGTTATAGGGATATATAGGGATAGGAACTTGTATGAGATTATAAGGATTTTTTGGGTGATTTATAAGGACTATGGAACTATATAAGATCCTTGATATGGAGTTATAAGGATTGATATCAGGATTGACATGGAATTATAGGGATTTATAAGGATTCACAGGGATATCATTCGGATCATAATTGGGGATCATCATTAGAATATCATGCTTCGAAACTTCGCTTCGCACCAAGGCACCTGGATGTTTGGTTTGCTCTTCAGCAGAGCCTCTTTCACATCCTCCAAGGGCTTCAGACGCCTGGCGTCTGAAGTCCATCGCTGGTGGTTGGCGATTGCAAAGCTAGGCGGGTTGCTTCGGACAATTCCAACCGCAAACTAACCATGTGTTATGTGTACATATATATATATATATATATATGTACACATACATACATTACATTCCATTACATTACATACGTATATATAGATATATTATGTATATATATATTACATAGAAATAATAGAAATATGAGGTAAGTGAATCTATATATAACTAACCTCCAAAGTAGATCCTCTTACCTGGGATATACACAACATAAACCATGGCTTTTTCCGGTCATCCTGGTGGCTTCCTGGAAATTGTCGGCAAATTTCGCCCCAGGACCTGGCCACCAACACCAAGTTCATGTCCAGGTGAGCCAGTTGAAAGGCCCAGGCCTCAAGAAACATCTCTGGAATGACCTTTTTTTGGGGGATACAAGGTGTCATACTTATGGTGTATGCCACACTTACAGTATATATATATCCATGATACAACCATAGTGTCTTCAGAATCAGTGTCTTTTTTCCTCCAAATGGGTGTGTCCTTCCAAACTATGGCAATTCCAAAGGGGAAAAATGTCATGTTGCAAATTTCGGTTTTGCCCAGTTTTACCCTCGGGTAATTTGACATGGAAAATGACCGATTTGTAAGTGATTTACCATCATAATCATATAATATATATGTATGTATATATATATATATATAGTTACATATAATATACCTATTAAACATTGCAATGTTCCGTGATTTTTCCCATCAAAAATCCCGCTGCAATAGCCTCCCCCCCCAACTCAGATGGTCGGATTTCAGGTTGCCGCACCTCACCAATACCTTCACTGCCTCCGAGCACCACGGCCCAGTGGCCGGCTTTCACATAGCTTGCCGCTCTGGAAGAAAGACTTCCTTGGCGAAACTTCCAGGGGAAGTTTACTTGCTGGTGCTTAGTAGGGAGGTGGGTAATGATCTATTAGAACTAAATTGTAACTAAGAATAAGCATCCCATTCCCCCTTTCCCTACTAAGCACCAGCAAGTTTCAGGAGCATCACCCCAGTATCAAGATCATTGAGCCATTGGGCCAAAAGATCCAAGAAAACCCTGGCATGGAAATGCCAAAGACGGATCCACTGCAAATTAGAAACAGCTTCACCGGCCGAAGCGACATGTGCACGCCCCAATTTTCTTTGGAGTTGCCCCAAGTTGCCCGAGTTCTGTTCACTCAAAAAAAACAAGAGATCGTTTGACCAAACCACAAGTACCCTCTGGTAATTTAACGTAGCTATTGAAAATGGCCATTTATAGTGAGTTTTCCCATTAAAAATGGAGATTTTCCATAGTTATGTTAGTTTACCAGAGGGTACTGTCCCAAAGTCCCACAGGACTCCAGGGGGTTGCCCTCCCACAGCCAACCGAGACACGGTGGGCTTGTAGCAAGTAGGCCAAGGCAGCCACCAGGAAACCACCCAGTCGCAACCACGCCCTGCCGGAGCCGTGATTTCGACCACTGTCACGAAGTGCCAGGTATCAGGAGGGAGCTACCATGAGACAAGCACCCTTTATGGGTGTGTATGTGTATAAATGTATAATATATTATATGTGGATAATATATATATAATACATATGACATATGTGTGTGTCTAATATAATGATATCACTGTTGCTATTATGATTGTTCTTGTTGCTGCTATTTATCATGATCATTGATATTCTCGTATATTCTCATTACATAATTATAAGAGCTAAGTTGAGTAAGTTGAAAGGATTTAACAGGATCATACCATATCGTACCAGATTTCCAAAAACGCCAATCCGAGGCTGAACGACCCATCCTCGTGGACAAACTGAAGCTGAGCATTGCCAGTGGCCCAGCTGTGGTATTGCTTGGACCGTTGGAAGCTTGGACCGTTCATGACTTCTCTGATGTTGTCCTCCCCATGTCATGCTTGGGAAAATCGTGTAGTTCCTGTATTGATATGAGGTGATGTCGCAAATTTGATGCCACTGATGTCCAAGAGCAATGACGACCAATCCGTGCGTCAGGGTGATAAACATCTCCCAAGATCTGCTTGATCAGATCTTTCATGGTGCATCATCGAGCTTGGCTCAAGACTGAACGGAAGCTTGGACCAGAGGTCATCCACATATCACATGACAATTGCCTCTATTTGGCACAACCGCAACCAATTCAACAGCATCTCATCATTGCGCGCCAATAGCATCTCTATGCATCTCTCAAATCATCCAGTTTGATCATACTGTCATACTTTCATCCACCTTCATCCAGGTTCCCAGCCATTTCTTTCCACATTTGCAGCGCTCTCGTGCACGCAGAAAGCGCGAATTTCACGCCCTCTGTCATTATCAACGCCCAGGCGAGAGAGCCGGCAATTCCAATGGTGGGCCACAGACCAAGCTGGACACACCTGCAGGTTTCAACTCAGCACATTTGTGCTGGTCAATTGCTGGCAAGATCTCCGCGCCCAGAAGAGGGAAGCTAAAGCTATGTGTTGGACCCAAGAGTTGAAAAAAATACCACTGAATCTGAAGATGTGCCAACATTGAGGGATTAGGAAGGCTTGAATCATAGGAAAACATGTGTTTACCAGCAAATACGAGGGTTTCCTTGGGTTTCCTGTAGATTTTATCTTCCAATTCTGGAATTATCTGAAAAAAAGGACCCCAAATTTAATGGATGGTCAGAATCTTCCCCATCAAAATTGCCGTTTAATTTGAGAGGTAAATGCCCCATTTTCACACACACTTGATGCAGCTGTTGTGGCTACAGTAAATGCTGTGGTTCCTTGACTCTCAAGCTGAAGTTCCAGCCTCAGGTCCAGGCTATCATTCCAAAGCTGCGCCAAAGAGAATATATATATATCACTAACAACGAATTAAGGGAAATGTGTGTATATCATCTGTACGTGTAAATATATATATATAGTATTATAGTGATTTATAGTGTATGTATGTGTATATGTATGTATATACATATATACATACATGTTACATATGTGTGTGTGTGGGTGTCGGTGTGTAAAAAATGCAGTATGTGTTCGTACAATTCTATAAATGTGTATGTATACATATGTATATATATATATATGTGTGTGTGCACGTATATGTGTGTGTGTGTGGGGGGTTGACCTGTGCACAAATGTAAAGAGATACAGAGGAGTCCCTATCTGTATGTGTGGAAACATACAGTAAATCGGTACCAGCAGGGACAGAACCTTTTCTGGCCTTCAAACCACATAAATAGGGACAAAAGGTTCTAAAAAACGTAAGTCGCATGAAAGCTTTGCAACAGAAATTGAGAGTTCGGGCATCCCCAATCTCGGACTTGTCCAACGTTGTGACTTAATGAAAAATCATTGAGTTGGCTGAAGGTAAATGTCATATCAAAAACCTTCCAGATTGTGCCAATAAATAGACTTGACTAGAAGCCTTTCCATCCAACTCTGGGATCTGATCCTGTTTTGAATTCCAAAAACAACGTCATCCAATCCTGGGCTTCAACCGCGCGAGTGACAGTGGCACGCTGAATCAAAAAATGAGAAGCCCCACATCCAGAGAATCGTTGGCCGGCACCATTGCCTCAATCTCCTAAGCTCTAGGGTCGTTCAAGCAACAAAAATTCGGACGTCTCAATGAAAATGGGGATATAATCAGTGAAAATGGGAAACCTATCAACAAATGTGGGGCTCAACCAACAATGTTGGGTGTACCCTCCAGTAAATCAACATAGACCCTGCCAAATAGTGGTATGTTTCCACTAACAACTGGCAGGGACTCAGGGTCTATGTGAAAATTTACTGGAGGGTACCTGAAGCTGCACATTTCACCAGAATATAGATGAATATACCATAATACATATTTTCAGGAGGAATTGGTTGAAAATTATATCACCAGTGGATTTGGGTCCCATGTTCTGACAAACCCAGAAAAAGCATGATTTAAGCAACTAAAATGGGGATACAATTAGCAATAAAGAGGATTGAATCAACAAAATTTATCAAAAACCTAGCATGAATCATTCAGCCACAAAAACTGGGATATCATCGCAAACAAATCCAGAGCTAAGTCAACCAATGAAAATGGAGACACGGAGATACGGATGTATCATCAACAAACATATGGGTAAATTATAATATTTCACTAACCTGAAATAAGGTTATTTTGGGATAATTCCCCTTATTGACTATGATTCCAGGGTTCCGGAGACCAGTGAGGTCGTTATAATTTAACCAGAAACATGGAGGAACCGAACCAGTCTACTCCAAACTAAGCAAGTGCGGGCTTTCAGCCACAAAAATGGTGATATTCAGCGAGTCCCGGGAGTCCCTGGGCCCCGGGGTGGGCTCCTTGTGGATGTCAGCGATGGCGTCATCCAGGCCCTGGCTGAGTTTGATTGGTTTGATGCTATGTAAAGTGATTTTTAGGGGAAAAAAGAAAGCATGAAAAAAACTGTTCTTTGATTTTTGAGGTCCGAGTGATTTTCTCCGTATCATCTATATATATATGTATATATGTGTAATCCTTGCCAACATCAAAAGCAGTGTTAGCCGCTCATTGGCGTGAGTCCGCTACACGGCCCTGATTGATTGGCATTTCATCTTCATCGAATGGTACCAGCGCACCACAGACTCACCCAAGGTCTACGCTCATCTTTCTGCAAAAACATCTGTGGAGAGAAACTGGCGTTCAGGATGCCATTTTCGGAGACTACCAAAGTTGTACAAATGCTAATAAAATTACAATTACACCCGTATTTTGATGGTTTACAGCGCTCATTTGTTGTAAATGCGGGTATGGTTTACTATGTCTCTACTAACATTAGTAATATATGCTATATAGTGTGGTAAACCCAGAACGATAAAACATCCCCAATTTTGCCAGCCCAGCCTGGACAGAAGCTGCCACATCTTCAACACCTGCGCCAAATGGCTGCATATCTAATCTTGCCAACTGATCTTATAAAATCGAGGTTTCGCCGCCACGCATCACATAAATTACCGCGTAAGCATAGTCACTTGTTTCAAGAAATTGTATATATATATATGTATATATATATATATTATTTTACATAATATTATATAATTGTATATATACATATAGTTTGCCATTGATGGCGAGTTGGTCTTTCGAAACACAAAAAAAAATGGGCCCATGTCCACTCTGCGGCGCTGATTTCATGCACCGAGATCCGCAAATTCCCCGGTGTTTTAGAAAATTCCAATAGTTATTTCTAACACATTCCATGGAACTCCAATGGATAATGGATTTTTTGATCACTAGATATTATGATGATTTATGATGGATAATGGTTAATAATCATCAATAGTTATTATCAATGGATCATGGATAATGATCAATAGTTATCATCATAATATTCATGGATAATGGTTGATAATCATTGCTAGTCGACTAGTCATGTGGAATACTCCCATCACCCCGCAGGACTACACACCCATTGTATGATGAGAAATATGTGCAAATCCCCTACTAAACCATGGTTTATGAGAGGTGGTTCATATTGAGGTGAAGGGATTCATCATACTCCATCGTTCCATATCAACTCCACACCAACACGCGCAGCCCCAGCATGCCTACAGAGGAGTTGGCCTGGGTCCGGGCACCAATTCTTGAGCCATACACATGGAAAGTGCTAACACTGAGGGTCTACCACCAAGTCGCATTTTAACCACCAGTGCGTTGTGGTAAAGCCAGCCCTTGATATATATATATATATATATGCGTACATGTATATCATCTATGTTTGTATTACAATATATATATATATACGTGTATATATATATATATACACACATAATTTTACAGTACAGTAACTGACAGAGGAAAATCATCTTATAGACACTCCTCGATTCAATTACTACGTGTATTAGTAATATGTATATGATATATATATATATAATTATATAATTTCATGCTTACCAAAAAAAACACGGTGATTGCAGGGCAAAATCTCCCACTTTACGCGCTGAGCTTTCGACCCACTGCGGACTGTTGGGAGAGGTGTTGGGATTCTCAGGGCCTAGGAACGACACCGTTGACAAATGGTGATTCGATGGGGAGTTCACCAATAAAAATACGGCGATATCATCGGGTTTTCATGTCCTGGAGACATTGTGATTTACCATCTGGGAATTTAAGGTAAGTATGGAAAGTCACAGTTTCTGTTGATAGGTAAATCATCATAAATCATCATAAATCATTTATCAATGGGCCAGTTTCCATAGCTATGTTAGTCTACCGGAGGGTAGCTCATGTTCCCAAAAACAAAGCTTTTGTGCGTGTTTTTGCTTGATTTGCTTGTGATTTTGTGGGAAACCCCAAAATGGGACTGGAATTGTCTCGAATCCGATGGAGGACTCAGTGCTGCACTATGCATGGAACTCACCACTTCCTCCAGGGGCTGCCGAGTGCAAACTCATGCCTTTCCCATGAAAAGCATGTCGTGTGTAATTCATGACTGTTCATGATTTACCCTCTGGTAATTTAACGTAGCTATTGGAAATGGCCATTTATAGTGGATTTTCCCATTGAAAATGGTGATTTTCCATAGCTATGTTAGTTTACCAGAGGGTATCATGCTTCATCTATGTCTATGTTGGAGGAAAAGAGATGAAAAGAGACCGTTGGAAATCCAGCTGCATTTCGTAACAATTCTGGTGGCTCCACAGCGAAACATGGTGGCGTTGGACCCACAAAGTTGGTCGTGTTTCTGTATGGAACCCAATTTGGATACCCATTTACATCCTTTATAGATAATATTCTTGTTGAAAATAGGGCTTATCCAGAAAGAAGATCCATTCACGGATGTTAAAACCATTTACAAATGATATCAAATGATATTCCTATTTCCTATTGAGCATATCCATTTATAGATTGATATAGATGGTATATACATCCAAGTCTCTAAATCCATCTAAATCCCCATATTCCATTGATAACACAGCCCTGGCTCCTGCATGGATCGCGCCACAGCCGCTTCACCCGCTACCACTGCATCCACAACCTACAGGTTTTCTCCAAGTTTCCGCACCAAACATGTCTGAAAAACAAAATCGAGTCCTTGGAAAACAATGGAAAACAATGGATTTCCCATGATTTCCCCGGGGAGGACCGGAAAAAATCGAGTCCTCACATACAAAAATCATCAAAAATCTCTTCCGGGACATCCCTTGAACATCCCTTTTGGTCAAACACATCGACACCTCGGACGCTTCCGAGCCATCGCGTGGCTTCGAGCTCCTCGACCACGAAGCCGAATTTGGGATTGAAGCAGTAAGGATGCTGATGTTCACCCTGGAGGAACCAACAAACCTAATATGAGGTACCCAGGGCGGTATCCAATGTTTGAGCCATCGAGGCTGTTGGGAGCCAATATGTTTCGAAACCACTCACATCATCGAAACCAGTCAGAAAAATAGGGATATTCACCGGCTAGGTTTACCAACAAACACTGGTGATTGAACCAAAGCTGAATGGTGGGACAGGCACTGTATGATAGGAGGGATGTAGGTTCCACGTCTCAATCACCATTCCAGGAAGGTTTGAATTTTAGTTGTGATATTGGAAGGGTGACTCTGCCTTGCAAATCTGCCCAAAAGTGGGAGGACACCTGGCCACCCAACATGTAACCATGTGTATTTTTACATAGATCTTAACATGTTCACAATAATTCGTTCATTTATCTATGCAGCTAGATGGATTGGATTAGATTAGATTAGATTAGGCTAGACTAGATTAGCTTAGATTAGCTTAGATTAAGATTTAGATTAATTTAGATTGACTGAGATTCATTTAGATTAATTTAGATTAATTTAGATAGGTTTAGATTTAGATTTAGATTGGATTAGCTTAGCTTAGCTTAGATGGATAGATAGATAAGATAGATAGATAAGATAAGATACGATTAGATTAGATAAGATAGATAGAGAGAGAGAGAGGTAGAGAGATAGATAGATAGAGAGAGAGAGAGAGATAGGATAGGATAGGATAGGATAGGATAGGATAGACAGATAGGATAGATAATTGATAGAAATGAATCAATGAAAAACATACAATAAATAAATAGATAGATACATGGATAGATAGATAGATAGATGGATAGAGTAGATTGGATTGGATTAAACTAGATTAGATTGGATACACTAGATTGGTTTTGCATAGATTAGATGACAGATATGCACATCGATATAGATATAGAGATAGATGTAGAGATAAGATTAGATTTCATTAGATTAGATTCGATCAGATTAGATTTAGATAATGTGAGACATATAGGTGGATAGATGGCTAGACAAATACATCGTCAATTTCTTCATATCTATTGGAGTCTATAGTGTGTATATATCATGTGTATATATATATATATAGTGATATTATATCTATATATATATCATATAGTATCATATAATTAGTATATACTTATATGTATACTATATATATACTCTATATATAGCATAAAATTTATAAATACTATACTGTGTATATATATAATGTATATATATATAATGTACATCCTCAACCACCCCAGGGAAGAACTTCCCTGACGTCTCAAAAAAAAAAACGCACTGCCTTGCCACGCTGGTGTCAATCACCAGGCCAACCATCACATCTGCCTCCGCTGCGGTTTTCATGGGATCTCATGAACTGAAAGGGGTTTTTTCAGGGGCTTCAGCGACAAAAAATTGATGAATCTAAAGAGCCAAAACTAAGGGCTATTATCAAAGGGACTGAACCATTCAAGAATGGTATTAAGGATATGTGGATGTCACCACTCAAAATCAAGGTGTTAATCAACAGGAAGAGGTTTGACCAGTCAAAAATTGGAATCCAGCAACGAAACCCAGGTTTCAACAAGGAAAACTGGGGATGAGTGATACCAAATGGAGACAAGCACTATTTCATTTGGTGGGAAGATTGCTAAGGAATCAAGAATCTGCAAGGACCTAAGTAGTGGCAATCCCAAAAATCTCTCCACTTGACGCTCAAAAATTGCTGCAAGATTGATGGCTGGTGATTTGAACCATGGCCAATCTTTCATAAAAATATCTTGCAGAAAAGAATGGTTCAGGCCCCCGGCGTCAGTGGTGACCTGAACGACGGTTTTTCGATGTTTTTGGGGGGTACAAGAAGGATTTTTTGTGGTAAACCATGGTAAACCCAATAAGAAACCTCCATTGAACACATTATCAGGTGTTGATCTCTATAATATATATATATATATACGTATATAATTCTATAATATATATCTTATGCCTCCAGCAATCAAACGTGGCATTGAAAAAAAAAACATTTAAGTTTGCTGATTTTCCTTTAAAACCATTTAAAACCTCCATTTATAGAGGATTTGCCATTGCGACATTTGATTACCAAAGAGTACTAATCATGGCCAATCTCTCGGGATAAGTTGGATTTTGGCCTCTATGGTCAAACAAACAAGGAGAAATGGAGAAATGGGTGGAGTGCTCATTTTTTGTTCATTCTTGTTCATAGCTGTTCATACTTATTCATCCTGTTTCAAGAAAAAATAGGTCCCAGCAGCTTTCATCACTGCTTGTGGCAATCATCAACCATCCGAACTTGGCCACTAATCCGATGGTTCAAACATTCTGACCTTTCCCTCAAGCGATCAGAAAGGTCGCCATCTCTCTATCAAACAGACCATTGGTCGCCGGATTTGAGGGGCCCAATGTTTGAACACACCCAAGTGTTGATCATATCATCTGGGTGGTAAATAATCGATGAAGGTCATCCAATCAGTTGACAATATCGCCGGCTACATCCCCATGTGGATCTTGAATCTTCCCACATCTGGATCCAGCCTCAAAGTCATTCACCGTAGCTCCAGATACCGGAGACGCCTTTTTGCAAAGAGAATGGATGATGCATGCAGCAAAACTGATCCTAAATGAGGGGGTACCAACAAACGCTCTGCACTCTGCACATTAACCACAAAAATTGGGATGCCAGCGAAACTGGAATGGAGTATGTCTCCACATGTTTGAATCCACCAGCCTGCATATACACATGTAATGTATATCTACATGATGTTCATGCTCACCAAATCTAGTGGAGTATCTCAGGTTCAGGCGTTTGACCTCAGTTCGAGGGGAATGTGACTGGTGGAAACTGGTGGCCTTTTCCACAGCACAACGGTTGTGGTCCCCAATGGCCCAAAGTCAAATGGCATCATCATCCCAAACTTATTGGTCTTCCCAACAAAATCATGAAGTTTCCAGATCTGGACACCAGATGGATTTCTCCAGCAACGGGCGGCAACGTGTATCCCAAGTTCTGAAAAGTTTTAGGAGGGACAACCATATTCTAAACCATTGGATGGTTGATTTGAGGGTATGGATATATATATATATAATATTATATATATATTATATATATATTATATTATATATATTATATATATTATATATATTATTTCATATCATTATATTATGTTATATTATATTACATTAATATTGTATTATAGTATATTGTATTATATTATGTATGTATATCATTATATATATGTACATATCAAATATCATATATAATATCATGTCGTACAACGTATGTATACCGCCACCACGCCCAGCTTCACCAAGCCACACATCGTCTTGCCCGCCAACGGACCTCATTGCCTGGTGGTGTGGATCCCCCCATTCTTTGCTGGTTGATGTCCACCCCGGAGTCAATGGATTATTGATGATAATTGATTAATCATTATTGATGATTGTTGATGATTATTGATGATGATTGAATGGATGATTGATGACTATTCAACCTTGAGTGCTGTACTGGGATGTAAGATAGCAATTCACTTGTGAATGCTAGCCCACAGCTTATTATCTAATCACCATTTTAGTTTGAAAATTGTTATGAATGGGAGGTATACCCTTTTTTTTAGGCACATCATCGAATCATGTGGTTGGTTAATTGCTGTATCCATTATATATCCACAATGAATTGTGACTATCCCACAATTATCCCATGATTTTCCCATGATTTTCCCCATAAAATTCCAGAATGCACATAACATACACATTCCATTATATCCCATATCACCAGCTTTCCAAACTAAATCACCACTTTTGATGCTTTCTGAATGGTCGTTTTGTTACCGTTTCTCCTTCCTGACCCCGTGCCATGCCTCTGAGGCATCACATCCAGGTAACACTCGCAATGCATTGGACAGGACCCTGTCAACCACCTTCTGATTGGCCTCCCAATGGGGACACAACCCCTAAAATCTGACCCCCCAAGACGCCTACCCTCTGGTAAACTAACATAGCTATTGAAAATGGCCATTTATAGTGAGTTTACCCATTAAAAATGGTGATTTTCCATAGCTATGTTAGTTTACCAGAGGGTAATAAACTGAAGCCCTTACTATTGGGGTCACCTGTTTTATGGGGGTTAGTTGAATCCCCAATTACAATATGTTCAAAAATACTGAGAGAGTGATAGGCAGGACCAACTTCACACTCTGGCTTTCTGTAGCAAAAGCAGGAAACGGGCTACACTGCTGGTATGATCTAAGCGATGTGATGCTGACCATCCCCTCCCAAGTGCTGGCAGCGTGGATCCCGTACCACGGCTGTGAATGTCCCATTTGAACACACTATCAGCGGATCATGTTGGGGGACTTGTTCATCTCCACTCTGATGATCAAATACTTGATTCGACCTTGGAAGGTTTGAAAATTTAGGGAACCCCGCCTTTTTTGAGGGTTGATTGATCATCATGTTCCCCGAGTCATTGAGGATCATTGAGGTGTGTACATCATGTTAGATCTTCAGACACCCAACTTGATCACCTTGATCATAGTGGATCCAAAAACATGGGCACCTATGGGCACCATCTTGTTGGGACCTCCCCTGCCCACTCTCCTCTTCCTTAGCTGTTTGCTCCACGGCCACCAGGGATGTATCTGCCTACACCAAGGAGCCATCATTTGGGGGGGCGCGTAAAATGAGGCACCCGGAAATGATCCAAATGTGTTATCTTAAAAGGGGGTACTTGCGGAAGGAATCATCCACCAACAGGGGTTACAACTAGCAGCCGCTGCTCAGCTTTCTTTTGTAAAGGCCCGGATGCCTGGTGAAACTGAGGCGTCCCGGGTTTGAACTGGCCCATGCCGCCGAAGACCACGTTGTCGACCACTTCCGTTGAAATAAAGCCGCAGTCCTGCGAGAGCAGCTGGCCGGTGGTTGGAGCCACACCTTGGGCCCCAATGGGAGCAGTTGGTCGGCCTGTTGAACTACACATGAAATACGATATCGTTGGTTTAGTCAATGGAAATATACATTCCCAAAGAAATTGAATGGTCAGTTGCGACCAAAGATCACCTCGAATAGGTCTCGTTCAATGAAACCACCAAGCAGCCAACCGCAGTTGAATGGATGATGGGTCCAAAAATGGGTGATCCCCCGGATCCCCCCAAAAAAATAGTCATGTCATGGAAAAAGGGAAAGGGACGGAAAGGGATGATTCTTCCTTACTATTACTCTGATTACTTGTTAGCTTATATTACTTAAGTTTAACATCTTTTAACATCTTTTAACTATGCCCAAAATTGAGTGAATGTTAACATGTTATACTATTCACTATTATTTCAACCATCAAATTCGGGTGGATGTCCCCCAGATTGAGCTGGCCATTCAACCATCGATCGCCTGAGGATCATCCAAGTTCTCCACGTCACAAGTGTCCTGGTCGTCTCCAGCCAGATCAGGTCCAAGGGCTTTCCGGGAAAACTATGGATTTTTCATATCAAATATATCAACCACCATTGAATCACTACTGCTTCTCTGTTAAATCTTGAGTTTTAGAATGTTTTAGATCGTTTTAGTAGCTACTTCCACCTGAAATCCCATTCCGAATCACCATGAAATCATGAAATCCCATGCAATCACCAGTTGATCTACATTGGAATCTACATTTTGGATTGGGTACCCTCCGGTAAACTGTCACATAACTATGGGAAAATCCACCATTTTTCATGGGAAAACTCACTATTTCTATGGCCATTTTCAATAGCTATGTGGGTATGGGTCAAAACCCTGGTACCTAGTGAACCCCAAAATAGCTGGTAAATGGATGTTCATCCCACTAAAAATGGTATTTATAGGTATTGATCCATACCCATTTTTTACCCGCATGGGAATCACCAGGAAATCCCATGGCGAGCCTGCGACATCGGCGAGGCTGCGGCCAGCCGCGCCTGTGCCAGCGCCGCCTGAGCCAGCTCCGCGGCATTGCGAGTGGCCTCAGCTGGAAACGCCAGGGATTGACCCAACGAAGATAGATCAAAATGATGCTTTCATGGTGATAAAAAATGATCATCTAATGGGATTTCATGATAATTTGCTGGTGATTTCATGAGGTGATTTGATGATAATCTAATGGGATTTCATATGATTTCATGATAAGTTGCTGGTGATTTCATGAGGATCCATGAAAAATGGAGAACTATGGAAAACTGTGACTTCATGAAGATTTAGTGGGGATTTAATGGTGATTCAATTGGACTGCAAAAAATCTAGATTCCATTGAAGTGGGGATAGAACCCGCTTCTACACCATTGAGATCTATCAAGTTTCGGGGATGCAATTGACCCAAATCGCCATAAAATCATGCCACCACAAATACTAGGCACATCAATCACGTCAAAAATTCATGCTGAGAGTCTTGGAGCATCGCTCGCTGTATATCCCAGTATCTAAGGCCACTCCACACACATTCAGGTCCCCATGTTGGTTGCTTAGATCCTCCATTCCTGTTGGTTACCGCACCGGCGAAGCCGATCCATCGCTCAGCGGAGCTTCCCAGCCTTGGCTGGGGAGCTGACCAAACAGCGAAGCCGCAAGAAATTGGTCCGGAAAAAGCACCAGATATGCAGAAAGCAACATGAGGTTTTACCAGATATGGAGATCACATGAGATAACCAACAAAAAATTAAGCCATTACCAAGGCCATTTCCACATTTGTAAAAAGAATAGGCCCAAATCCAGCGGATAGTGATCACGTTCCCAATTCAAAGTGCCATGTGGGGGGGATATATTTTCAGACACATCCAAATTTTCGGTCTCACCAGCAGAGATGTGCCACTGTCAATTTTGAGGGGTGATTGCTCCTCAAGGTCCCTACATGTACATCCCTTCACCATCTCGTGACCCTTGCTCATATGGAGGTAACGAAATGATAGGAAAAGAGCCATCACCAAGAGAATTGGGGTCTACGAACTAAAGGTAGGAATGAAAAATGATAATACCATTGTTTTACATCAAGAAAATGAAGAGATGTCACCACTCATGTCACCCACAAGACTCGGCCAGGGTCAAAGGGTCATCCATCGCACAATAGGAATCCTCACAATGGGTTGTTATATAATGGATTGATGACCACCCCCCAATATTGGTGTATAATATAGTTTTTGACCATGGCTCATATGACCGAAAAGAATGTAAATATGTCACCAAGGACAATGGGTGAAAGAAGTGTCCTTCTCCGTAAATGCTTGGCTCATCTCACACCCCAGTTCTCGCACAGAGCTTACGATTCTCACTGAGATCCATGCGGTCGACGGGATCTGCCACCTGCACACAAGTTGCAGTGTGTACTTTAGGGATCGATGCCTGTCAACACAGAGGTGGTTGACTGTTTAGCACTGTTTAAGAAAATTGAAACAACGACCCCAAAAAAAAACGGACATCATCTGTAGAACCACTAGCCGTCAGCACCAAAGCCATCGCTGTTGCTTATGCCACTTCAAACCACTTGCAACGTGTTGAACCCAATAATTGGCATCACAGCAGGAGTTGCATCACCGCTTGAACCTTCCATCCCAGCCATGTTCCCACAGAGGGTAGCCGGGCGAACCTTCGGAAAGGACGGGAGAACTCGGGGCAGCACTGTACTGCCGAGCCGAGCTCATTTCAGGTCTCACAACCACAATGCTTCTATTCGTTGATCCAAATTGCCCTGAATACCTCCCAAATTCGCACACATTGGATTGTCCATGCTTGGTAAGTTATAAAAGGCTTGACCCATACAAGCGGCTACTGTGGCGAGATGCCGTAGGCATGACGTATGCATTCTCAGGCTTCTCAGTCCCGGACGGCACAATCTCTGACGGCACAATCTCTTCAGCCTCGACTTGTCATCAACTGATGGCATGGAAGGCCGATTCGAGTTGGTAGTGCAATTTTGAGTTTATCACTGGGCATAGCATTTGTGGTTGCAAACCCTCTTGCATTCATACCCCAAAAAATGCCCCAAAATTACCAGCAAGAAAAGAACCCAATAGCTAACCAGAGCAAGGTTTACCAAGATTTACCCAACTTATACAGTACCAGCACATTGAAATGGGCCTTCCATTGCCGAAGGTATTCAGCCCCAGACAGTCGCCGGAGGCGCAGCCGAAGCAGTTTGTTTCTCCACTTGGAACTTCCCGTACAAGTTCTGGCGCTGGTGGGGAAAACACGACAGTTTGCAGCAATCAGCAATCCCGGAAAGAAAGACATGTATAACAACAGTAAACATCATTTCATTAAACCAGAATATTCTAATTCTATCTAATTCTGTCTTTCTTGGGATCTCTACGAATAGGTTTTCCATCACAGTGTATATTTGAGGACCCTGGAGATAGTCGACATTTGGCACCTCAAAGTCTGCCGTGCCAAGGCAGCGGAAGTGATGCTCATAGTACGGCCTGCGCAAACCGCGCCAGCCAAACTCTGAAGTTCCATCCCTGGCTCTGGAAATGAACTTGGGTCGTCAAAATTTAGATGGTGATATATGGTGATCCATCATTTCCATCATTTCCATTTTTTGTGGCTCCATTTAAAAGTTCCATCCCTGGTTGAATGGCCACAACTGGCTGCAGAAATTAGGTCAACCTCCGACTCGGCAGCATGACCTGAATGGAACCATTTCTGCTGGTCTTGGCAAAACAGATCTGGGCGAAGCAAGCTCCACCTCAGTTGTGCTGTGGATTTCTCTCTTTCCGAGCAGCAAACCGATTTGAGATGCCCTAACCCGTGAGGGCCACCCAATGAGGTTCAGCCCAAACTCAATCCCACCTGACACACTGACACCCAACGGCTTGTGCCAAGAAAACGAGTGGCATCTTGAAGCAAGGTCGTCAAGAACGACACATACAGCGCGGCTGCAGATGCCTCACAAGTAGGGTGCTTGCGGCGTTATCAGATTGCTCCCTAAACTGAGAACGGCAACTTCCATGGTGTGGGTGATCTTCATACTGACTATCTCTTTGTGGTATTCTCCTCAAAATTGCATGTGGTACGAGGGATGATGCTTAAATCATTAAACATCAATAGTTGAGGTGTTTTTACATGTTTTTACATTAGGTTCAGACAAACCCAAATCGACTTGTGCCTCTTGATAGCCCAGTGGGCTTTTATCTGCAATCCGAGTGACCGGGGAGGTCACTGCTGGGCCAAGATCTGCACCTCACCAAGGGACACCAGTGTGAAGTCTCCCACCATTTCAGAGGGGTTAGACACCCCTTGGATGGAAACGCAAATGAACTTATTTTAATCCAATTAGATCCGTGACGATCCGTGATTGATTGATCATGTCCGAAGTTATTTTGATTTAGTTCCCATATCTATTCGTGAACTCCCCAACTTGATGGTAAACGCCCCACAAAATCTTGTTTCACATCTTTCAAATTTAAGATCTCAAACTTTGCAACCACTACATTCCTCCCAAAAAGAATGGGTGGTTTACAAACCCAAACATGGGGATACAACTGGATATTCACCAATCATCTTTATGGGAAGTTTACGAATCTGCATCCCAAAGTTTACTTTCCCCATATCCCCCATGATCTTCTCTTGGTGCCCAGTTTTCAGGCTGAATTCAATCGGGAAATCTCCCATTTTTCAGGACCTGAGATCAGGACCTCCAAGCGTCGCCTTGCAGTTTCGTGCGCTTAAAAAACCCCCCTTTTTCGGCTACCAAGAGATGCTGTTCACTTGGAAGGAACGTTTCAAAATATGGGTTGAACATGGTTGAACATGATTGAAAAGGATGAAACATACATTCAACCTCAAACTGGTTGAAAAATGAATGAAACTGGGCGGGAAATGAATGAAACAAGGAAGAAAATGCTGGAAGATAGAAATGAAACCGTATGTCAAACCAAATAATTGATGATTCATCGAAGTAAAGTGGCACAATAGTTATTCCTCCAATAAATGCAGTGAAACACATGCAGCAAGATAAGTGATTGTTGACATAACAACGCACTGTATATATGAATAAAATGTGTATGTCGTGTATTATATATAATTATATATATACACAGAGATGTATATGGATATAATATATATATACATCGTATACATTATGTTTACAGATAATATACATTAGGTATGGTATATAGATGGTATACATGGTATACATATTTTATATCTCTATATATATACAGTGTTTATATACAGTGTATATATGTATATCACTTGTATTGGTATGCCAAATTTAGAGTCATACTCATGTCGCAGGGTCGTTTCAAGCAACACAACTCTTGCAGCCGCCTGAGAGGCGTGAGAGGCCTCAAGCGGATCGTCTTCTGCCTGACCGCAAGGACTTCTGGCGTGTGATAACCCCCAAGAAATTCTGCAAAAATGGATCGAAAAATACTGGTACTAAGATGTACTAGGTACAGTATAAGTATATAATCATACTATACAACTCTACCCTAAAACCAACTTTTGTTGGGGAGGTTGGACACCAAAACCATCCAAAACCCATACCTAATCGCTGCCTGCAGGTGCAAACTTGTCAAGAAAGACACGTATTGCGAGGCTGGCGACGCCTCAGTTTTTGGACGAGTGAAGGAATGGGTGCAGCGGTAAGTGTTACCCTCTGGTGATCAAACATAGCAATGGAAAATCCTCCATTGATATAATTCGTTCGATGGGAAACCCCCTCCATTTGGCCGTGTTTGATCACCTCGGAGGATGTCGTTCTTCGTCTTCCTAAAAAATGGCTCTGACACCTTTTCCCTCGAAAATCCACTGAAAATGACATGGATCGCCAGGGTGCAGCGGTTCTCTCTATCAAACAGATCATCTTCAGTGCTGGTTTTGAGGGTCAAGGTTTGAAAGCACCCAAGTGTTGATCATACCACCATCTGGGCGGTTTCCAAACCCCTGGACATGTTCATCAGTATGAAATTCATACTCAATGAGGATCATTGAATCATCATCCAATTGTACAGCAGGATGGAACATTTAAAATTTTGTTCAAAAAAAAAGAACACAAAACTAACCATTGCAGTCACTTGACATCACTTGACCATCTCTCCAGGTCTCCATGGTTGTTTCCGGCTTTTTTTTCCAAGTGGATCCTGAATCTCCCAGCCTCAAGCTCATTCGCCGTAGCTAACGATGCTGGAGATGCCTCGCCATATTGGAGCTACCTACCATATCTATAAGGCCTATATAATATAAGGCCTATGTAAGGGAATATCCCCAGAAAATATGGCCTGAAATATGGTACGTTTACGTACCTCCAATTTAGGATCATGGTCCTGGTAGATCACTATTCAAAGGTTGAAAACTGTGTTTCTATTGGTGGGTTGGTCAAATGGGGGACCCAAAAATCCTTCCGCTTTGTTGTCTTGATTGAGGAACCCACAATGGTGTTGGGGTATGTACGAAACACCTGATTTTTGAAACATCCAATTGGATACCTCTTGCGAATTGTTGCGCTCACAAACCTCAAGGTCTTTTCCTTACAGTCGATCTTGCACAACAGGAGCTTTTGTATCCAATTGGCGTGATGCATCAATTGAGTTTTTCACTTGCAACAAAAAAACACATGCTCTGTTGGAGAGAAAGGGAAGGAAACATGGATCAACCATTAGTAACTCTGCAGCTCGCACCACAGTAACTGCTAATTCTCCATGTGCAAATGCCCGCCTCGTGAAATGCCCTGGGTGTTCCGGGTGAACCAAGCTGGTTCACACCCTGGAAAACCACGCGATCGACCACATCCTTTGAAATGAAGGCGCAGTCCTGCGGATCGTCGTCTCAAATAGGACTGGAAGTTGAACTGACTGTATAGTCAAAAATAGGCCATCATTATTATATTATATTATATATTATAGTATATTATATTATATTATATTGCAGTGTATTATAATCCTGTTGATATGATATGTCTATTGGATTATAAACGAGTACTATTATACCATATTATACCAGAATATAATATCATGAAATATGATATTCTGGTAATATACTCAATTGGGATCATGCAAATAGCATCATCTCATAATTAATGTTGAGATCGCATCGGAATGCTCGAGCCCAGGTGGTATCCCCAAAAGCACACATGGTTGGAAAGCGGGACAGTAGCCAGTGAACACCTAACGAAATCGCTTGCATGGACACAGACATGAATGTATATATATATGATTATATACGCATACATTCTGAAAGAAAACAAACATCATGACAAGTGAAGTGCGACCGACAGCAGTCTGTTAGAGTTGTAGAATACAAAACCACTGTCACTTGGCTGTAAAATGATGAAAAATGTGTATACATATATTAGAGGAGATGTATAACATCACAAAAGACTGAAACCTCTGCAACCACCCAGAACCGGTAACTAAACCCTGGTCGCTGCCACCGTGGGGACCAGCTCCAACGCTCTTGGGGGACACATGATCTTTCGGCGTGTAACTGCTTGATTTTTAGGAGAAAAATCCACCAAATTCTACAAGAGCTGAGCTTTGGAAGAATGGATCATGCAGACGATCGTGGCCACCTGGGCGATATCAGCAAAAAACCCATGTCCTGTGGAGCATCCAAGTTCTCCACGTCATAAGAGTCCTGGCAATCTCCACTGGGCAAACAATGGTCACGCCGTGGATTTACCCTAAAGAAAATAAACCTGGATATGATAGAGAAGCTACATGAAGCTAACATTCATAGATTGATAAATCATGTCCTACAGTGCTCAGGAAGCTAGTTTTTTCCATGATCTATGTTTACCCCATGTGCACCGTGGCCCACTGTGGATCACTTTCATGGTTTTTCCACATGTGCTGCCACCAAGATTCACCATACCAACAACCCAAAGACATCCAAAGACCATCTCCATCTTGTGGTTGGTCTCATCCCATTCTGTTGATGAAATCTCTCAATGGATTGGTTTGTTCGGGAAAATCTTAACCGGAAACCATGGGTTTTACCATCAAATTGGTTGGGGTTTTCCGGTTAAAATTTACCCATCATCCAATTCTATGAATCTCTTTTTTGGGGCTGGTTGTTGCTAATCCCCCTGGCCAAATCTCATGGATTGAATCCCAAGCTTCGTTGAATCACGTCCTTGGCGCCGCTGAAATGTCTGGTTCGTTCAATCCCCCGTTGGCGAAATCCCGTTTCTTCTTGCCGGTGAAATTAGAAAAATTTCTGGCTGGAATAATCCCCTGCATGTTGCTTAGTTAATTTTTTTTATTGGAAAAGTTTTTTTTTTAGTCCAATCCTATGTAAATCATCATATCCCCATGATCAGTACATCAAACCCCCAGTTACTTCCCATTCTCAGTGGCTAAATCAGGCTAAATCCCATTTTTCTAACCCTTCAACCCGTTCAACCCGTTCAACCCCCCATGAAATCCCCAGGTTTATGGGCTAAACCCTGGTTGGATCCCCATGTTTTCATTGGTTCCCATGACGCAACTGCACCAGCTGCCTGCGACAGCGGCGACATGGGCGACATCGGCGATGCCAGCCGTGCCACCTGTGCCGTCTGGGAATGCTTGGGAGAGTTTGTTTGGTAGTATATCATTATATATATATGTATATGTATGTATATATATATGTATATGTATATATATATTATATATATATGTAGAGATACAGATAGATATAGTATATACTGTATTTAAATACTATAAATATGTGTTAAACACTGTTAGTGGATGTTACTTGTAAAGTGTTCAATGTGCTCAACTCCTTAAACACTCTACTGACAATACTTATCTTATGCTTAAATATGGTAGATAATACTGAACACCCTACTTATTTTCAGGTTAGAAACCAAGGGTCAGCTACTTACGGTAAGCACTGCATGCTACTCATTCCTGAGGTTAGATACCAAGGTGCTCTTCAGTAGCTGTATAATGCTGTATATTTGTCATGTCAGATCCCAGGTGCTTGACTATTGAACACGCTACTGATCTTACAATTGATACCAGGAGGCTCAACGACAGGAACGGATACCAAAATGTTGACCTAGTGAAACAGCCTACTGATCCTATGTTAGAAACCACAGTGGTTAGCCTCAGGAACGCGCACAGGTCAACCGCATCACTCTCAAGATGATGCCGTGGATTCGTGGATGATGAAATTGTTGATGCAGTCGTTGATGATGATGATGATGATGATGATGATGATTTGTCATTTTTTAAAACATATGAAACATTTCCTGTTGAAATCGTGCGCGCGCAGGCGCGCGAGCATTTAACACATGCGCGCGCGAGGGGCGCAAGCACAGACAGGCGCGCGCGCGCGAGACGCGCGAGCAAAGTCATGCGCGCGCGCGCGAGGTGCGCGAGCAGGCGCGCGAGCACTGCGCGCGCGCTCACTTCGGACACGCGCGCGCGCAAATAAGCTCTCCAAAAGTGGATTTGGTGAGCTTATTTCCGCGCGCAGAGAGCTTATTTGCGCGCGCGCGTGTCGGACGGGCGCGCGCGCGAACACGCGCGCGCATCTTGACCTTGCTTACGCACCTCGCGCGCGCGCGCCTCTATTTGCTCGCGCGTCTCGTGCGCGCGCCTGTCGTTGCTCGCGCACCTCGCGCGCGCACGTGTTAAATGCTCGCGCGCTCGCGCTGCGCACCCCGCAGCTGGTGAGGCACCATATATGAATTCATATGTTTTGAATCAAGCCAAATGATGATGATGATGATGATGATGATGATGGGTCGTGCGTGACAAAGGGTCTGCAACATTGTTGTTAAACCCCCGGTGTTACTGGGGGAAAGAATCCCACTATACTGGTCATCCCCGAATTTATTGTCCATTTGGTGGTTTCAGTCACCACGTCGCACGTGGTTGACAGATTGAATCCCAAGAATATGCATCCATCAGGATCATCACTCGGATGGAAATTTGAAACCACAACCCACTCGCATCTCTGCACTATTTGTTCTGCTTCAATCCCTAGTTTGGATGGTCAAATCAAGAAAAACATATTTATTGAGGTGTGGGCGGGTCGTTCAAAAATCACCACAAACCAGCAGTTCAGCTTCGGACCGGAGAAGTCACCCTTCCACCGCTCAGCGGATGCATGTTCGCTCCTCGGCAAAAGGCTAACATGGATTAACATGGGGGATTTGACGAAACAGTGGGCATTGAAGCAAGAAGAAATTACTGAATTGGTCTGGAAAAAACACAAACCAAAATGACGTTCAAGCAGATATGGAGATCACAAAACGAGCCATCAGCAAGAAAATTATAGAAAATTGTTTTCCTGCTCTCACTTGACCGCAGCACGATTCTGAGATCCATGCGGTCGATGGGATCGTCCCCCTGCCGCTAGCACCAAAACCATTGCTTTGGCTTCTGCTATTTCCTACCACTTTCGCTCTCCCTCCTCTGACCAAAAAAAGGCCCACATCTACCATCTGATCATCCCTGTCTTACACAGACACGGTTGCATCTCTTCCTATGTTATCGAATACTATGGATAAAGCTGCAGACTGAAATGGTTGCAAATATGTAAAATTCGTTAAAATTCCAAGCACACCGGGCAGCACCGGCTGAACCTTCCATCCCAGCCATGTTCCCACAGAGGGTAGCCGGGCGAACCTTCGGACAGGACGGAAGAACTCTTCGCTTTACTGCCGAGCTCATTTCAGGTCACATAACCAGAATGCTGGTATTAAATGATCCAAATTGCCCTGAATACCTCACAGATTCGCATAATTTTTCATAAAATTGTCCATGCTTGGTAAGTTATAAAGGGTTTGCCCCAGACTGTGACAAAACGCCGTAGGCATGACGCATGAATTCTCAGGTTTCTAAGTCCCATACGGCACAATCTCTTCAGCCTCGACTTGTCAGCTGATGGAATTGTTGGAAGGCCAATTCGAGGTGGCAGCACAGTTGTGCCCCCTGAGAAACAGGGCTTGTCACAGGGTAATTATAGCATATCATAGCATTTGTGGTTGCGAACCCTCTTACCCTGCCTGCAAATATCCCAAAATTATGGACACAAAAAGAACCCCAGTTGCTTATGCACATCGATGCACGTTGGCCTTTAAGTACCTGTCTTAAGTGCTGGATATCCACAAGAACTCAGCTCCAGACGGCTGCAGCTGTAGCCGAAGCAGTTTGCTTCTCCACCCGGAACTTCCCGTACAAGTTCTGGCGCTGGTGGGGAAAACACCACAGTTTACAGCAACCCCTGAAAGGCAGACATGTATACATTAAACCAGAATAGCATGTTAATTCCATCCAATTCTATCTTTCTTGGGATCCCTGCGAACGGTTTTCATCACAAATGTATTTCGGACTACCCAGGAAGTAGCCGGACGGAACATCCATCCGCCTCAAAATCTGCCGTGCCAAGACAGCGGAAGTGATGCTCATAGTAGGGCCTGCGCAGCTGCAGAGCATTGGCAAACTGACAAAGCAGAAATATCCAGAAACCATCGCACCAGCCACATGACCCTCAGTTCCACCCCTGGGTCTGGAAATGATGAAATGGGCTTCGAAATTTGGTCAACCATCCAACTCGGCAATGACCTGAAGGGCACCATCTCTGCTGGTCTTGGCAAAAAGGACTTGGGCAAAGACAGCTCCACCTCAGTTGTGCTGTTGATTTCTGTCTTTCCACAAACTACAGGTTGTCCGAGCAAGAAACGGATTTGAGATGCCCTAACTCAGCGGCAGCTGACACACTGACACCACTGACACCCAACAGGCTGTGCCAAAACGAGTGGCATCTTGAAGGAAGGTCGTCAAGAACGGCACATACAGCGCGGCTGCAGATGCCTCACAACTAAGGGTGTTCAGTGTTTTCTCAAAATCGCTCAATAAACTGAGAATTGCAAATTCCATTTTGTGGCTGACCTTCATACTGACCATCTCTTTGTGGTATTGTCCCCAAAATTGGACTTGGTATGAGGAATAAGGATGATTATATAAATATCAATATGGCAATAGTTCAGGTGTCTTTACAGAATTTTCAGAGAAGCCCGCATGGACTTGTACCTTTTGATAGCCGTGTCCGTTTTCATCTTCAATCCGAGTGACCGGGGAGGTCACTGCTGGGCCAAGATCTGCACCTCACCAAGGGACACCAGTCTGAAGTCTCCAATCTGAGGGGAGAGACACACACTTTGACTTAATTTTCATTCAATTAGATCCCATCATCGATTGGTCATATCAATATCCGAAGTTCTGTTTATTTAGCTCCCATGTCTACTAATGAAATCCCCAACTTGATGGTAAAGTCCAAAAAAAAATTGCTTTGCATCATTTATATTTTGGGTGTCAATCTCTGTAACCCCAACATCCATCCCATTGAGAATGGAAGGTTTACCCACCCAAGCATGGGGATACAACTGGATATTCACCAATAATCTTTATGGGAATCCCAGGGTGTATTCCCTCATGTTACCCATTTTCTAGTCTGTACTTGGATAATTGGGTTGGGAAACTCTGATTGACCTGACTACAGCTCCTTGCCCTTCCACTTGGAAACTAAGATCAGCACCAGCACACTCCGCCTCAGAGCGGTTCGCACCCCCTCTTTTTTTGACCATAAAGAATGATTGAGAAACCATGTATAAATGAAACTGTGCGGAGAATGAATGAATCTGGGCAGAAAACGAATGAAACTGGTTGGAAAATGTTCGAAGTAAAAGTGAATCCCTGTTTCACACCTTACAAATGAATTCAAATGATGTTTTTTGGTCCGGACTTCATTGAACATGAAGTGGCACAATAGTTCTTCCTCCAAATGTAGTGAGGCACATTTAGCAAAGTAAAACATCTTGATATAACAACTTTTTTTGACACCCTGGACACCCAACAGGCTTTGCCAAGCAAACGGGTGGCCTCTTGAAGGAACTTCGTCAAGAACGACACGTACACCGTAGCTGCAGATGCCTCACAGGTTCTCATAACTCGGTGTTTTCTGTTGCAAAATGAAATGTGTGGCTGAGTATCAAAGCTTGTCCCTAGATTGAGAATCTCGGAATCCCATTTTGTGGCTGACTTTCATAATAGCCATCTCTTTGTGGTATACCCCAAAATAGACATAGTATGACACAGTACAGATGACATAGTAATGGTGAGAGTGAGGATTAACCATCACTAGTCGGCTTTGTCCTAAGTGGAGTTCATGGCTGTTGACAGCCCCAGTCGGTTTTCATCTTCAATCCGAGTGACCGGGGAGGTCACTGCTGGGCCAAGATCTGCACCTCACCAAGGGACACCAGTCTGAAGTCTCCAATCTGAGGGGAGAGACACACACTTTGACTTAAACAAAAATGACTTGTTTTCATCCGAATTTCTGTTTATTTGGCTCCCGTGTCTACTAATGAAATCCCCAACTTGACAAAAATTCTTGCTTTGCATCATTTACATTTTGGGTGTCAAACTCTGTAACCCCAACATCCATCCCATTGAGAATGGAAGGTTTAACAACCCAAGCATGGGGATATAACTGGATATTCACCAATAATCCTCATGGGAATCCCAAGGTGTATTCCCTCATGTTACCCATTTTCTACGCTGTACTTGGACAATTTGGTTGGGAAACTCTGATTGTAGCTCCTTGCCCTTCCACTTTTACGGGAATGAACAGAAACTGAGATCAGCACCAACACACTCCGCCTCCGAGCAGTTGCGCTTTGCACCCCCTCTTTTTTGGTCATAAAGAGACTGCTCACTTGGATCAAACGCTCCAACAAAGCGCTTGAGAATGATTGAGAAATCATGTAATATGTAAATAGATGAGAGCTCAAACTGCTGGGAATAATTGGATGAAAGCGGACGGAAAATGAACAAAATTAGGCCGAGAATGAATGGAAACTGAATGGAACATGCTGAAAGATAGAAATGAAACAATATTGCAAGCCGAAGAATTCATGATTCATCCAAGACAAAATCGCACAAAAACTACTTTGTCCCCCAAATTCATTCAGAAAAGTCAAAGTAAACTATGTTTGCTATAACAACTTTTTTTGACACCCTGACACCCAACAGGCTTTGCCAAGCAAACGAGTGGCGTCTTGAAGGAACTTCGTCAAGAACGACACGTACACCGTAGCTGCAGATGCCTCACAGGTTCTCATAACTCGGTGTTTTCTGTTGCAAAATGAAATGTGTGGCTGAGTATCAAAGCTTGTCCCTAGATTGAGAATCTCGGAATCCCATTTTGTGGCTGACTTTCATAATGGCCATCTCTTTGTGGTATACCCCAAAATAGACATAGTATGACACAGTACAGATGACATAGTAATGGGGAGAGTGAGGATTAACCATCACTAGTCGGCTTTGTCCTAAGTGGAGTTCATGGCTGTTGACAGCCCCAGTCGGTTTTCATCTTCAATCCGAGTGACCGGGGAGGTCACTGCTGGGCCAAGATCTGCACCTCACCAAGGGACACCAGTCTGAAGTCTCCAATCTGAGGGGAGAGACACACACACTTTGACTTAATTTTCATTCAATTAGATCCAAATGACTTGTTTTCATCCGAATTTCTGTTTATTTAGCTCCCATGTCTACTAATGAAATCCCCAACTTGATGGTAAAGTCCCAAAAAATTCTTGCTTTGCATCATTTACCTTTTGTGTGTCAATCTCTGTAACCCCAACATCCATCCCATTGAGAATGGAAGGTTTACCAACCCAAGCATGGGGATACAACTGGATATTCACCTATAATCCTCATGGGAATCCCAAGGTTTTTTGCCTTGTGCTTCGTCTGTTCAAATCTGTACTTGAGAAATTGGTTAAACGATGTTAAACGGTTAAACTCTGACTTGACTGCAGCTCCTTGCCCTTCCAGTCTTGGGAATAGGGATACAACATGATACAACCATAGCTCCTAACCACTCCCTCCAAACCACTGGATAGTCAAACCATTGGATGGTGATGGCCAGAAAACGGGCGTAAACAGAAACTGAGATCAGCGCGAACACGAACTGACTCCGCCTCGAAGCAGTTACGCTTGGCACACCCAGTGCTTGGTCAACTGCTCACTTGGAAGGAAGTCTCCGCAAAATGAGTTTGAAAAAGGATGAAAATAGTTCCCAATTCATACTTCTTGTTAACGGATAATTAAACGTGGACCGAACATGAATGAAACTGGGAAGATGAATAAAGCTGGGCAGAAAACAAATGAAACTGGTTGGAAAATGTTGGAAGCATGAAATGAAACCAGGTTTCAAACCTTACACTTGATGATTCTTGATGATTCAAGATGATTCATCGAACCTAAAGTGCCACAATAGTTCTTTCTCCAAATGCAGTGAGGCACATTTAGCAAAAAAATATATTGGCATAAGCTGTGTCAAGCAAACGAGTGGCCTCTTGAAAGAACTTTGTCAAGAACGACACATACAGCGCGGCTGCAGATGCCTGACAGGTTCTCATAACTGCGTGTTTCCTGTTGCAAAATGAAATGTGTGGCTGAGTATCAAAGCTTGTCCCTAGATTGAGAATCTCGGAATCCCATTTTGTGGATGACTTTCATAATGGCCATCTCTTTGTGGTACACCCCAAAATAGACACAGTATGAATCAGTATGACACGGTACAAATGACATAGTAATGGGGAGAGTGAGGATTAACCATCACTAGTCGGCTTTGTCCTAAGTGGAGTTCATGGCTGTTGACAGCCCCAGTCGGTTTTCATCTTCAATCCAAGTGACCGGGGAGGTCACTGCTGGGCCAAGATCTGCACCTCATCAAGGGACACCAGTCTGAAGTCTCCAATCTGAGGGGAGAGACACACACACTTTGACTTAATTTTCATTCAATTAGATCCAAATGACTTGTTTTCATCCGAATTTCTGTTTATTTAGCTCCCATGTCTACTAATGAAATCCCCAACTTGATGGTAAAGTCCCAAAAAATTCTTGCTTTGCATCATTTACATTTTGTGTGTCAATCTCTGTAACCCCAACATCCATCCCATTGAGAATGGAAGGTTTACCAACCCAAGCATGGGGATACAACTGGATATTCACCTATAATCCTCATGGGAATCCCAAGGTTTTTAGCCTGGTGCTTCGTCTGTTCAAATCTGTACTTGAGACATTGGTTAAACGATGTTAAACGGTTAAACTCTGACTTGACTGCAGCTCCTTGCCCTTCCAGTCTTGGGAATAGGGATACAACATGATACAACCATAGCTCCTAACACTCCCTACAAACCAGTGGATAGTCAAACCATTGGATGGTGATGGCCAGAAAACGGGCGTAAACAGAAACTGAGATCAGCGCGAACACGAACTGACTCCGCCTCGAAGCAGTTACGCTTGGCACACCCAGTGCTTGGTCAACTGCTCACTTGGAAGTCTCCGCAAAATGAGTTTGAAAAAGGATGAAAATAGTTCCCAATTCATACTTCTTGTTGACGGACAATTAAACGTGGACCGAACATGAATGAAACTGGGAAGATGAATAAAGCTGGGCAGAAAACAAATGAAACTGGTTGGAAAATGTTGGAAGCATGAAATGAAACCAGGTTTCAAACATGATTCTTGATGATTCAAGATGATTCATCGAACCTAAAGTGCCACAATA